TCATTGGTTCCCTTCTTTGGAAGAATCAAGACAGGTGATGTGTAGGCTTGACTACCAACTGCAAGTATTCCTAACTTCACTAATTTCTGTAACTCTTGATCAACTATACGTTTTTCTTTTTCGGTTTTAGGGTAAGGCCTAATATAAAAAGGTTTGTCATCAGTGACGTCAATATCAACTTGGATATTGGGACATTTTCCGATTTCGCCATTCAAGCTGAATGCTTCTTTATGTTTAGTCAAAAGCTGGTAGAAATTGTCTTTCTGGTTGGCTGTAAGAAGACTTTTGGTAAGGTCAATTGTAGAGCGAAATACAGAGTCTGATGAATGACTGGTGTAATTAGACTCATATTCTGTAGATATATTAATAGAGTCACAAACGAAAATGTCATGTAGTGAAACATGGGATATAGGTCTAGATGATGGAATATGTAATGTCTTGGAAGTTGTATTACATATTGGAATCACAGCACTATTTCTTTTTAGCTTGATAAGAAATGTTGAAGGACAAGCACTTTTAATCTTACTATTACATGTCATTAAAACCTCGCGATTGCGAAAAATACCTGGAATTTTACCATGAACAGTAACATAACGTTGCTGATTGGGTTTGACATAGACTGAATTAGATGTTGAGAATGAAATGTTGGTAGATCGACACTGCAAAACATTGTTATTAAAACTAAGGTTGGCATCCAACTTTGCCAATGTCTCTTGACCAACGATCAAATCAATTCCAACAAGATTGGAAGCAATATACACTTCAAAAACTAAAGTATGACCTTGAATAACTATCTCAAGTTGTAGCGAATGAGAACAAACTATTAGTTGACCATTAGCCATTCTAAATTTTAGGGATTGTTCTAATTTATGAAGTGGTAAACTACTGAGATATGAAGATGACTCAATAGTAAATGATGAGATTAGTGATCGAGTAGCACCACTATCAAACAAAAGTAAAGCAGAATGTCCATCAGGGAAATTACCTTTACAATAATTACGTTTTGACAATTGTATGTTTAAAGGTTTGGTCTGTGATGATGACATCGGGAATTTATTCGGAGCAATGGAACAAATTCCCTGTATTAAAAATCCTGATTATGTTTGTCAGCCATGTGCCTTTGGCGGACGAAACAAGAGCGCCAAGTATGGTTAGGCTTTCCACAGTAGTCACAGACAATTTGACGATTCCTATGACTTTGAAAAAAATCTTGACGTCTTGGAGAAAATTCTCGGTGATTTGGAGAAAAATCTTGACGACTTGAAGAAAATCGACTGTTATAATATGATCTGTTGTTATGTCTTGAGAAATGAGAATTTCGATTTTGTCTAGGGCTATGAGGTCGAAATTCATTGGTATGGCGTGCCTTAGGACTGATTGAGTGATCGATGAGTCGATTATCATTGGAAGAAGAATGATGAGAAGATGACCGTCTCCGAGGAGAAGAAAAACCTGAAGCAAATTGTCGTGATGGGCGTTCCAGCTCTAGCTTAAGATCAGCTAAATCTTGTTTTAAGTGTGCTATCTCAGTATCCTTGTCATTTTCTGCCGTGAAAAAGGTTACTTCCTTAGTTTTACTGTCACTCTTGTGAATGTCAAAGTAATACTGAGCTTTGAGAGCTATGTCAGAAATAGAAGTCCTGTCATTAATTGACATTGCCACAGCTTGTTGACATAATGATGGCAAAATGGAAACAAACTTGTATCGCAGTTGTGCATCAGCTATGTCCAACTGTCTTCCTAATCTCTGAAGTTCCTCTAAATTTTCAGAGGGCGGTTTAGTTTCGTCATAACAAAATGAAGCGTAATCCTTATGCAAACCAAAGGGCGTCCGATTATCAGAAAATCTCTCAATAAACTGAGTGCGGAGATCTGCCAAGCTTCGGAACACTTTACCTTCTATCCATAGACGTGCTTTGCTTTTTAATGTTTGCCTGAAGAGACCAACCATCACATTAATTCCTGCAACATTGACAGGGTTCTGATCATGATTATGATGTTCTAAATAATCCACGAAAGTCAAATAATGTGCTGTAGCAAGATCCCTACTTAGGATAGACCCATCAAATTTATCAGCATTAAAGGGCTTACCTTGAGCCATTTCAAAGTTGTACAAAATGAACTTATGAAATGCCACAAAATTAATTATGAAACAATATATATACATGTATCAAGCTTACAAAATGTTAGAAAACTAATTACTAAACTATATATCAAATTAACAAAATGGAAATTCAAGTACTGTACACAATAACACATTCACCCAACACAATCATACAATACAATCATACAATATCCTAACAACGATAACCAAGCAGGTAAAAAAAACACAAGTCAATAATATTCAATGAATGTCGATAATTGAACAAATGATTTATATAGGAAAATATCGCACAAATGTCACTGCAACTGCATATGCATCAAATCACTGTAGACTGAAGATTTCAAAATGTTACTATTACTATTAAATACTATTCAGTATGAAGCTAAAAACTGGCATGTTATGTTATAATTGTCACTGGACTGTCTAAGGCTAGAATTAAAAGTCGGTAGGCCTGTACTACATCTACAATAATTGGTCTTCTCTGGGATTATGATCTACACCACACTGCCTGCTCAAGAATACTAAATAATATTACTACATTCACAGTCACATAAAACTAGAAACTGGATCGAAATCATAGTATGAATTGAAAATTAGGTAATGATGATGTAAGTTGAACATAAACATGGTTTAAATTATTCTGTCTTCAAGACTAGGCTCTCCAAAATAATTTCAGACTTTGGATAATTGTAGGCAATGTAGGGCTATCTCAATCTGATCTCATCTGTGATTCATTTAGTAAATTGTAAATGTAATTCTCTGCACAATGAAAATTCTCAAAATTAGAATGATACTAGATTGATTAAAGTTCCATCAGTTGACTAATATCAGTAGAGTTCAAGATATACAGTAAAGTCAAGCAGTATTGCTTAGTCCATTCTAAGAAAGCACATGGAAAGCACATGGCACAGATATGAAAAGCACATGGTACTCTTAAACTGTCACAAAAATCTGATTAAATCCATAGTTTGGTGAAAAACATACAAAATATGAAGCACAATAAGTTTAGGATGTTTTGCATCTCCACCATGTTGTATTCGGATCCTTGGATCCAGGGGTGTTACACATTTATATGTGGGTGAAAATAAAAATCAACCATTCTCCATGTTAGAATTCCAATCTCTATCTTTATTACTCTAAAAGGCAGAAAAACTACAACATAAGGGAGACAACTTGTGTCTGCTTAAACATAAGGTTTCAGATCACAATGATATAGAATATACCACAATATGACAATATGATAGTGTAAAAAAAGCTCAATAAGTTTATCTCATGTGGGATCTGCTAAATTACTGATTAAATAATTGATCAAACAGAAGTGTAGCTATTAATCCAATTGTCTCTAAAGTGCCAACCCATCTACATATTTTCAAGGAACTTTGAAACTAATAGAAGTTATAGCGGTACCTTCCATTCTATAACTTGCTGCTTCTCTCATTATTCGGTACTGTTCTGTTCGTCTCTTAGCCACACCCACCAAATATGTCTGTTGATCTGATTGGTCCATCAGTTTAAGATTGACAGACAGCGCTATGAGTTGGGCTTCAGTTTGGATCTGACTCTGATCTTTCTGTAGTTCAGTTAATTTAGTTTTTAATTCCTGCAATTAGAAGAAAATAAAAATTTGTAGTTCAGCTCTTTTTTCACATATTCAACCAATTCTTATAATATAATACTACACAGAAAAACGACAAAAAGAATTTAGGGTTTCAGTATATAATGCTGGATGTTTGGGAACAGACAATAGCTATCGCTCCACAACTCTTATAAAAGCTAATCTTGATAATTTGTAACATAAAGTGGCTGCGTATTACAGATCTGGTGCATACACATTCATCAACAGCACCTGATATTCACCTATAAGTAGACATGATATTCTCTAAATATCTATCACAGTAATATTTAGAGTGTCAGTTGTGACAACAACTTTAAAATATTATGTTAGGTTTTGTTTCAATTTGCTATTTTATAAACTGTGAATCCAGTAGAACGTTCACTATTTCAGTAAACTCTAAGACTACTTTTAATGAATAAATGACATCGGGTTTAATGTCCTATTTTTCTACACCAAAAGGGCTATTGAAGATGACAGACCAACTTTAAAATGATACAACTTACAAAATACAATAGTGATGATAAATAAGGAAACAGTCCAGGCTTATTCATGCATAAATATAGTGGTGGCATAATGATCTATATATCTGAATTTTTTTTTTTTTTTTTATTCTGGAGCACCCGACGTATTACAGGGAAACCATCTCCATTAATATTTACTGGTTCTTTTATCTGCTATACTATTATGCACAAATTCTTTGTGTTGTCATTTTGCTGTTCACTCTTAGCTTTGTATGATTGTCAAGTTTATAGTATAATCAGCAGATTACTTATGTGTTTAGTTTCTTATGTAGCTTTGATTGTCAGGTCTATAGTATAATTAGCAGATTACTTACATCTTCCGTCTGCTGTGCAGCTTTGTTTGTCAAGTCTGTATTATCCTCAAGTGATTTTAACAAATATAGTAAAATATCTCGTTCATAATGATGATGTCTATCTAAATTCTCCATTAGTTCATCTTTCACATCTAAGTCTATATAATTTATAAACAGAATCATGACCAACTAGCACATACATTAGGAACAAATTTTGTTGTGAACTATAACTGAATCAAAGACATGTTATTATGACACAAACTTGGTTGTGAGATTAACCTTTTTGGTCCAGAATTACCCACTTAATGATACAAGAGTAAGGGTTGTTATTGGCCAGTCAACATTAAAAATTATATCACCATCTAATTAGACTATGGGTAGTCCGCTAAATCCAACCTAATTTAACATAGGTTTCTCCTTAACACCCAATTTTTTTACTAAGATAAGGGGTTGCATGTCCCGCACATTCAACTAAATTAACAAAAGTAGTAGTTGGATAAATTTCCATCATTTTACTGAATACTTTATGTTAGATTAACGTCCAAAGCTAACTTCATATTTATGTAAAATTGATGTCTGATTTATATTAGATTAACATCCTTTATAAAAAAAGAGCAAAAATGATGGTCAATCGACCGACCATTTTGACGTAAAGTTTACGTAAAATTAGTGTCAACATGTTATCTAGGACACACTCATCTTTAACACAAGAAGTATATAACTTAACAACCGTTATACCCATACCCACCTGGAGGAACAAGAGCCGGGGATGCCGTCAGATTATTTTCAAGTTGTTTTATTAAATCTGGCTGATTATCTTCAAGCATTTTTTTCTTTTCTTCATGTTTATGTTTCAGTCTATCCTTAGCTAATTCTCGTTGTCGTACTCGTTCCTCAATAAAACTCTTCTCCTTCATCAAGTTATTTTGATTTCCCATATTAAAAACTAGAACTGCCGAGTCGATGTTATCCTCTGCTTTCAATAATTTTGCCTCTCGCTGTAATTTAGCCAAAGCTTTCCATCTGGCTTTGGCTTTCTCCAATTTACTTGTTTTATTCCGAAGAGATTTCAATAATCTTTCCTTGTCAGATTCCAACTGTTTTTCTAGGTTATCAAGAATATTCTGAAATATTAATCAATGATAAATGTATATCATTTTTGTGTGGGACCAAAAGTAGATTTTTCAAGATTATTTTAGAATAAAAAGTGAAATAAATTTTACACTATGAAAAGAGGAGTGAATTTTGTGTTGTTTTCTTTTGCAATATTACAAACAAGTCATTGCATTTAAATGTCCCAAGTCAGTGTAATGGTTGAAGTAACTCCTCTTAGGTATCTTTTTCTACTATGACCTTACAGCACATGTCCAGAACCTGAACCGTATATCGAATGCTATTCATAATTCGTCCTGTGAGGTATATACTGTAACCATGATCAATAACATTAATTAGTATAATAAACACATGAGGGACATCAGATCAGAATAATATATTGCTGGGATATATGGGAAAATTGGATGCAGAAATATTTGTTAAATTAAAATAAAATATTGTGATATTTTATGAAAAATATCTATATATTAATTCATGATCAAAAAATAAATTACTTAGTGTAATTCATAATTCTTGTTCCAAAAGAACCAAAATTTTTTTTTAAAAATGTTAAATCACCTTTTTCATTTCCTTCTTTTCCTCGAATTTTTGTTTGTCTTCTAAACTACATGTACTGTCTTCTCTCCCCAGTACAGTAGCTTCTCTTTCAATCTTCAGCAGTCGTCTTCGGGCTAATTTCTCTTCCAGTCGACGCTGCTGTTCAATCTTTGACTCCCCGAGTAAGGTATTAACGGCTAACATGAGAGAAAAGGGATTATTTTATATTCACTTATTACAACTAGGTTATTTTATATTCACTCATTACAACTAGGTTATTGAATATTCACTCATTATAACTAGGTTATTTTATATTCACTCATTACAACTAGGTTATTTTATATTCATCATTACAACTAGGTTATTTTATATTCATCATTACAACAAGGTTATTTTATATTCACTCATTACAACTAGGTTATTTCAGAACTATCTTTTGTAAATGTATATCGTTATCTAATTAATTTAAGGACGGAAAAGGCTCTTTGGCAGATGGCAGGAAATCATAGAGTCACGGAAAGGTTATTTCAATAATTCACTTGGGCAATAGGGGTCTATTTTACAAGCTCAGAATCAAAACCATGCCACTTGACTCAATGACAGATCTTGCACACGTTAGAATACTCTACTACACATACCCCCAGCTTGATACAAGACTTCTCTTAAGAATCTGACAGTTCAACATATAACATTCTGTTGTTATATGAACAAGAAGTTATTGTCAACTTCTTGTTGCACAAATAACTAACCTTTAGCATCTTGTAGATGTTTTCCAATTAACGCTGATACTTCTGCATCCATTTTACCTTCTTTCTTCAGTTTACGACTTCTTAACTTGATCTGGATAACCTTTCTCTGTCTGTCGAGTTGAGAAAGTCGGTTCCAATCAGCATGTCCCATTTCCTTCATTAAAGCCTATTTGTAAAATGATAATATACTCAGTGTACTTATAACCCAATTTTTGCCAAGGCAGCTGTGTTTCCAGGAACTCTTCAATGCATTCCAAATGTACACGGGACCTCATTTGTTTTGTCCCATCCGAACGATTAGACACTTATCCTTGCCAGGTCCTCCGTTTTGCACCACTGACAAGGCGGAATTATGCTGAAAAATCTCGAAGAAGTGTCGCGGCAGACCAGAATTAACCCTTGTTTAGTTAGCCAGCACTTTACTATCTGAGTCACTGTGGCTCTCAGCAATTCGAAGTTAAAAATAGTCCAACAGTACACATTAGGTAAACATGGGGGAAGAGAGAAATGGGTTTTAATGTCCCCTTGATGCAAACTGGGTCATTTTGAGACTAACATATGGTTCACTCTTATTCCAATAATTAATTTGCTGGTAGAAGTCTTAAGCAATGGGAGGAAAGCAAAGGACCTGAAGGAAACTCACATGGTTAGACAGGCGACCCAACTCCTTGTCATATATAAGCAGGGAATCAAAACCATGCCACTTAACTAAATGAAATACCTAAAGTGCACCTTTAACCATTTGGCCACTCAACCCCCTAGGTAAATATGACCACTTTTGTTTAATACAGGTCTTTGAAACAATAAAACATAAATAATTACCTCAACAATAAGCTTGTCCTTCATTACATCATATTTCTTTTCAAGGGCTGCAATAACAGCTCTTTCGTCTTGATTAGAGTTATCAACAGTTGCCCCTTGACCCAGGAATAATATAACTGCCACATTATCATGGCTGTTAGTTCCCTTGACTTCATTAATTTTTGTCTTTAACCACAGAATGTTCTAAAATATTCACATAAAAATGAAAAAAAAATTTGAATGCAGGTCAATCATGGGTATTTCCACATAAGTAGGGTGGTCCATGGAGGTTTACCTCTTCATTCGGTAAATGTGATCACCTGGAGAACTAAATGACGATAAATAATTTCCCTTAAAATGAATTTCTCATGCAATACCAAGTTACTTTTAACAATTGATTTCACCAACCAGGTTTCATTTGGTATTACAAGCCAAGTGACACATGACTAAATACCCCCTTAAAAATGTCTCTAGCCAAAATAAGCTGATAAATATAGTGTAAAAACTATCAATATTTCTATTCTCTCAAAATCCATTTGCAGTTGACCTTTTTCATTTGAAAATTGTAAATAAATTCTTTGACTACCTCAATAACTTTCTATGGTATTCTCATATTACACAAAACATTCATTTGGTTATCTTAAACACAGGTTTTTGAATTTAAAAAACATTAAATCCTGAAACTTGTGTTTCGCGTAAACTTCCAATGAGTAGTATGTATTGTGTGGATTTAGGTCTTGAGGTTTCAGTTTCATGCATTTGATTAATTATTACCTGTACATGATTGGCTGAAATTTGATTTTATTTCTAATTTTTTCAACAAATCACATAGTATTTTATCCCACATTCTGGGTTAAGTGATCAATGGAAATATCCAGAAAAAGACAAAGATTATATCAAATGACACATCGTTCAAGATTTCGTGAATAAAGTACATTTGAAGACTATTCTGACTGTGTAACATGAAGATGTAACCATCATTATTTTACCTTTTGTGGAATTTGTAATCTCAATTTTCTACTCTCTATATCCTGTAGATGTTGCAGGTCAGCTAATAATTCAACCTTCACCTCATCAAGGTCATAATATTGACCCTTTTCACGACCTTTCACCTCTACAGTATAGCCACTGACTTCCTGTAATATTGATAGATAATATTTTATGGTAGATATATTTCAACAAGGGTACATTAAAAGATCAAAACATGGTTCACAGGTATCAGCTGATCAAACCGATGAAAGCTGCTATACATTATAATGGATTCTTAAAATGTCTATATCTATAATTTTGCACGTAACTTTCAAATCATGGCCAATAAAAAATTATCTTTCATCCTTAGAATTAACAAAAAGCCTGTTGTTTTATAATTATTTACAGCCATCTAGCTTTGTGGAGGGGTGATTAGTTTATGACTTAACTGTCTAGTTTTAAGGATGGGTGTTTAGATTATGACAATTGTTAGTTTAAGGATGTTATGAAAGATTTTTAGTTTTGATGATGGGTGTTTAGATTATGACAATTGTTTAGTTTTGAGGATGGGTGTTTAGTTTTGAGGATGGGTGTTTAGTATTGAGGAAGGGTGTTTAGTTTTGAGGAAGGGTGTTTAGTTTATCACAAGTGTTTAGTTTTGAGGATGGGTGTTTAGTTTTGAGGATGGGTGTTTAGTTTTGAAGATGGGTGTTTAGTTTTGATCACGGGTGTTTAGTTTATCACAAGTGTTTAGTTTTGAGGAAGGGTGTTTAGATTATGAAAATTGTCTAGTTTTGAGGATGGGTGTTTTGAGGATGATGGGTGTTTAGTTTTGAGGATGGGTGTTTAGTTTATCACAAGTGTTTAGGTCTGAGGATGGATGTTTAGTTTATCAAAAGTGCTTAGTTTTCAGTATTTAGCTTATTGCGAGTACATGTATTTAGTTATCAGTGCATCGCTTAGAAACTAACGATGTGTATTATAATTACTACCACAAACTGTTAGTTTCTACATGCACAAGTCCAAAATTTACAATATTCATACATGGGCTCAACAGGGAAAAAAAGTTCCTTCATGAATTTTTGTACACACCTTAAAAATACTTCGTTGATCTTCTGGGTTTTGATCGGCAGATTCTTTCCAATTAGAGCGCAGTTCACAAGATTCACTAATTTTATTTTCCAAGCTATCATTGGTCTGTGATTTAAGTGTTGCTACAACGTCACCATCAACCTCTTCTAACAGCTGAAAAATAAAACATATTCATATATTGATTTCGTATGGGCGTCCAATCCTTCAGAAGGCCACAAACTCAAAGATTTGGGTGAGACAAAATACTTGGTTAAATCTGATGTGTTCATTTGTTTTTAAAAGACTCATCTGTTTTTAATATTAAATATGTCATCACATTCCTGAAGCAATGGTATCAAGCATTATCAACTCATTAACTATTGCCACAATAGAAAATAATTTTAAAATGCAGAAGTAAAGACATTACGAACTGATATCTTAAAGTGAGCATAACAAGTCATAACAACATATACAGGGGACATGGGCTAGTCTACCTCCATGTTGATACAGGAACTGAACCCAGGGGGAGATAACTAACCCATAACAACCACTTTACCACTGTAGTGGAGGAATGGTTAATGTGCTGGTAACACGTGTAACAATTCCTTCAGGAACATGATCTGTCACCTGCATAATACATTACTGAGATATAAAAACTGTCCAGGTGTCAGTCAAGTACCCATTCCGGTGAAAAAAACAGAAGACATTCTATAGCACGAAATGAGAAATTAACAAAGAACAAAATGAAACTGTTATTAATGAATAAGGACCAAGTCAAATAAGAACAGTTACATTAATAATTAGATCTCTGTCATTGCCATGGTTCCTATCGGCAACCATTAATAATATTTCTTTTAGTCTTGTTTTATCGTTTATATTTTCTATATTTTCATCTAAAATCTCTTCTGGCTGTTTATATTCAGTCTTTCTCTTTCTTTTCCGAGCAGCCATCAATCTTTCTTTAGCCAATCGCCATTGACGTTCTTTTTCTTCCTGTAAGTTTTCTTGAACTCTGTAAAGAAATATCATACAATAATTGAGTTAAAGTGGAATTACTGTAGTCAATTGTTTACACTTTCTACCTGTATTAGAGCAACGTGCACTGACCCGATCTAAATCTTAATTAAAACTAATCTAAAACTTAATTTAGGCAATATAGACACAGAGAGAAAAGAGGTTTAATGTCCACTCGACACAAACTAGGTCATTTCAGGACTAACATATGGTTCACTTTTATAACTCATTTGCGTGTAGGGGTCTTTAGCAGTAGGAGGAAACCACACGAGGTTGAGAAATCAAAACCATGTTACTAGACTCAATGACAGACCTTGTGATTTCACAAATGCGTTAAAAAATAGTTTATAAACCGTAATGTTTAGTTGAATATTTTGACGGGCAGTTTGAGATAAGATACAATACTCTCAGTCAACCAGTGTATTCCTTCTACACTGGAAAATGATACAAAATGCTATTGTTACAAATGCACACTTTTTTGTCCTCCAAACACACATTTTAAATAACTATGGATAGTGAAAAGTGTTGAGTAAATCACATCATCTAACTATGAATATTGACTGGCATTTTGCAAAGCACATAGTATGATAATTCTTTTTAGAACCTGATACCATACCTCACAAATTTGGAGTGTTCACATATTTAACAATTTATGAATTACTTTTAATAATTCTTTAATCAACACTAGTTATATTAATATTGGTTATTCATTGAAATTAACAAAATTAATAATTACTTTTCATTATCCATCTGTGCAAGACCAAGCACAAGGGCTGCCGATTCAAAACTCTCTTCTTTCCTAGCTTTACGTTCTTCTTGACGTAGTTTTATCAACTCAGCCTGTCTCTGCCTTTCCCGTTCATCCTTATCTCCAGATGCCAATAGCTGTTTCATCAACTGTTCTTTTTCCTGGTAAAAGTTAACCGAATATAGAAAATATAAATGAATAGAATAAACATAACCATCAAAGGTAATTATATATAACCAAATACATTAAATTCAACTGAACTGAGTAAATATGACCTAATACAGTAAATTGTTAGCTAATGTGAATATATCCAACAAATGATAAATATCACCAACAAATGGTGAATATATATCCAACAAATTGTAAATATCACCAACAAATGGTAAATATCATCAACAAATATCACCAACAAATGATAAATATCACCAACAAATGGTAAATATCACCAACAAATGGTAAATATCATCAACAAATATCACCAACAAATGATAAATATCACCACCAAATGGTAAATATCATCAACAAATGGTAAATATCACCAACAAATGGTAAATATTACCAACAAATGATAAATATCACCAACAAATGGTAGATATCATCAACAAATGGTAAATATTGTCAACAAATGATAAATATCACCAACAAATGATAAATATCACTAAAAAAAGTAAATATCAACAATGTGAATTTATCCGATTTGAATATAACCTGTTTGAGTGACAAAATTATGTTAAATATAACCCAGCTGGAAAATAAAACCAAACAAATTAATATTATCTGATAAAACAGAATATGATTTAAACAAACCTGGTCAAATCTATTTTCTAATTCCAATATAATATTTGTGTTCTTTTTTTCTTCTTCCTCTTCTTTTTTTCTATCTTCCTCTTCCATATTATCACATTCTTCCTCTGTTCTTCCTTAAATTGTCAAAAATTATTACATTTTATTACATTTTCACTATTGCATTGAAATGTGGTTGCCACAATGAAAATAAAGAAAATAATTTGTTCATTATTCATATCAGGAACATTCAAGTTATCTGTCCAGTGACATAACCACACAACCAACTGCCTAAGCCACAAGAAGTTATCAAGCCATAAAAATCAGTCCTAGTTTGGTATACTAATTCATGCCAATGACAAAATCTTCCATAAATTTGTTGGAAAAAGTGGTAATAAATCGTAAAAGAAAGTGGGGCTGAATGATTTTGACTGACCTTGTGCTTTCCTCTGTTTCCGTCTTTCTAGTCTCTCTTTTAATTTACGTTCCTGTTCAGCCTGATTATGTCCCATTAATTTCGCTAATGCATCCTGGTTCTTTAGAGACTCACCTGAAAAGTGAAAGCAGAACATTGTTTCAACTTATCAAATCAGGTCAATTTTTAACTTAAATTATCTAATGGTCTATGGGTTGCTAGGGGTGTAATATTATTTAAAACAAACAAATATAATTTGTCAATTTTTATTTTAAATGAAAAAGATTGCTAAATATGTTCAAAACAATATCATTTTTTAATTTCTATTCTAAATGAATAACATTGCTAATTGTGTTCAAAACAATATCATTTTTCATTTTTGTTTAAAAACAAAAAATCATTCAATACTCTCAATAACAAAATATTTACCAATGAGTTTATTCACGTCTCCCAATTTTCCATCCCTACGAAGTCTTCTCTCCTTTATTTTCAGTTCCAAAATCTTCTTCTGCCTTTCTTCATCCGTTATCTTTGACCAATCTAATTCTCCATACTATAAATAAATAGAAAACAACATGGATTTTTCGGCGTGGTTACCCCTAGTCAGTGATGCAGGACGGAAGGCCTGACAAGGACAGCTGTCTAGTCGTTCGGATGGGACAAAAAACGAGGTCCCGTGTACACATTGGCGTGTACGTAAAAGATCCCTTGACAGTTGGAATTCGATATAAGAGTAGGCCGTAGTGCCGCTGTCTGGGCAAAATTTTGCTCATAGCACACTGTATGGCGTATGCCCGTCTTCATTAGCCCAGTTCAAAGCAGAACAGTAGGACATTAAACCCCATTTCATTTGTTTTAAGATTTTAGTTCGACTTACCTGATTAATTAATGCTTCAACAATAAGTTTATCTCTTAAAGCATCATATTTTCCTTCTAGTGCTGTTAATAGTTCATCTTCAGTTGATTCCCTTATAGCATAGGTGGAGAAGACGATAGTAGCAACATTATTACATCTTTTATTGTGTTGGTCAGATGTCAGTTGATTTGCTAACCATGTTAAATCTTCACTTGACTGCAACAAAAATGAAAACTCAAAAGAAATTGGAGATTAAAAAGATTTGAAAATTTAAAGAAAATGAAATTGGGTTATAGTTCGTGCCCAATTTTCATCTATTCCCACCATTGACAGAATTTTAGTAAATACATGTGTTTTGTTATTTTTAACCTAATAAGTCAAGAGAAGTTATTTCCCTATTAAGATTTAGGACTGGATAATCTTTACATGATGAGGCCAACACGTGGACAATCTAAACAGTCTACGTGGGTGGAACATTTTTTTTTTTTAATAATTTAGGGTTTTGCTTGAAATGAGTTTAGATATTTACTTCAAGAAAACACAGGATATCTGAATTTATTTGTCACCTTGGGAGTATAAATGCATAGAAGCTATGATTAGAATTTGAAGTCTCATTCTCCTTAGAACAGAACATAACTTTAAATTTACCTGTTCAGGAAAGTGTTGCAAGATTTTTTCTGCCTGTACAAGTTGATGTTGTACAAGAAAAGCCATCATCAAAACCAGTATCATTTCTTCTGTGTAATTCTCATATTCACTTAAAGACTTTAGGTTTTCTAATTTATAAACCATAGCTTCTAACAATATGTTCAGAGTTTCATCAACAGCAACTGAAGACAGAATAGGGTAAAGGAGATGTACAATAGAACCTCACTGTATTCATGGTTTGCCATAAGAAAGGTTTAAGAAGGTCTCGCTATAACAAAGGGTATCAGTATAGGGCATTCTCGCTATAACACCAGTGTCAGTAGGCCTATAAGGCAGTCTTGCTATAACACAGAGCCTGTCTCCATACATTAGTCCAGTCAATGCAGATGCTAAAACACATTTCATTTCATTTCCATATAAGAGAGTCTGAATGAAATGAATAAGGTTTAACATCCTACTGTTCTGCTCTGACTGGGCTAATGAAGATGGGCATGCACCATACAGTATGCTCTAAGCAGAAATTTTGCCTGGACATCAGCACCACTGTCTACTCTTATATCAAATCCCAACTGTCAAGGGTTCTTTTACGTGCACGTCAATTTGTACACGAGACTGCACCACTGAGAGTCTAAATATAATGCAGATCTCAGTATTTAAGTTGGTCGTACAAATTATAAAGTGATCTTTCCATAATGCCGATATTATCAGTGGACAACATCGGCATAATGATGAAGTTTCACAGTAATAAATTTTCACTTCTTTTCTAGTTAAATATTGCAGGAGCCCTAGCAATGGCATGAAACCAGGAAACCCAACTCCTTGTCATAACAATTGCTATTATTTGAGACTGACGAGATAGCTTTGGATGAATTGAGATTACATTTCCAACTACAGACATTTTTACTTGAAATGGTAAAAAATTGTAAAGACAGTATTAAGAAATTGTGATTAATTTTATCTAGAAATAGGATTATTTGAGATGGTAGTTCTGTGTAAAAGATTAGGAATAGGAAATAGAGTTCACCTGGATTGAGTGTTGCATGAGTGTTTTTCAGAGCTATTAAACAATCATTTCGTTGTTGCTGTGATTTTACAGATGCCATTTTACTGATCTCTGCTTGTTTTGTATTCGTTAGCATTTTGAACCAATCCAATCGTTCTTGTAAATGCTGATTGTGTAGAAGCAAAAGTACATTATTTTGTAGAGTTATTTTATCTGTTGACTTTAAACCATTTGTTATTTTGATGTCGTCTTTTTTAGATTTGCACCACGTTATTGTCTCTGCAGCTAAAACTTTATATCTCGGCAAATCCAAATCTGATCTGTAAGAACAATATGGAAACATAACGCTAACGCTACAATATACGTCCACATTCCAATTCTGCTTTGATTGACAAGGTACTTTGTCAAGAAGGCTAGGCTTTTAGAAGTATCGGGTACCGGACGTTTCGCCGAAACGAAATGAATAGACTTAACCTTGCCAAAGTCATGAAAAAATAGTTGGAGTCTACACATGTCAAATGCATTTGCATTTCTCAAAATACTGTAAACTGTGGTAATTTGATCTAGTCTAAACTTTTCAATTTCTACTGTCCGTTGGGGTTTGCTATTTTTATTATTAATCAATTATTAATAATAAATTTGGGACTAAATTTTAATGACGAATGACACCCAAACAAATAACCGGTATAAATGCTTGTAACACTTTTATTAATTTTCTCTGGTTACAAAGCGTTCTGAAACGTCAACAAATAACCGGCATAAATGCTTCTAACACTTATTAATTTTCTCTGGTTACAAAGCGTTCTGAAAAATAAGTTTAACAAAGGCTATCAGAAAACACTCACAAAAACCCGAATTTTACATGGGAGACAACTCTTTAAAGCATATCACGCCGAATTTTACATGGGAGACAACTCTTTAAAGCATATCACGCCAGTTTGACATTGTTAGACGGAGTTATCTCCTCCGAACTAAGTGAAACCGAAGTCTGAAATTAAATCCCAATCTGACAAAAGTACTTAATATTCTTAAAAGACAAATTATTAATAATAAATTTGGTACTAAATTATAATAACGAATGACACCCAAACATAAGACTTTTTAAAAATGTACATCCTGAAAACGCACATGTACTTGCAGTTACATGAATTTATAATTTATTTAGTGTGAGAGAGAGAGAGAGAGAGAGAGAGACATTGTCATTGCAGTACCAAAAGGTCTTTAGCAGTGGGAGGAAAGGGGGAGAAAACGGTGGTTTGAAACGTCAACAAATAACCGGTATAAATACTTCTAACACTTACAAAGCGTTCTGAAAAATAAGTTGAACAAAGGCTCTCAGAAACCACTCACAAAAACCCGAATGTTACATGGGTGACAACTATTTAAAGCATATCACGTCAGTTTGACATTGTTAAATGGAGTTTGACATTGTTAAATGGAGTTATCTCCCCAAAATCGGGCATGCACCCAAAAGAAAAGGGACCAACCTCAGGGTATAAGGAATATGTATTTTAAGTTTCAAGATGATCGATTTAGAATTGTGGCCTGTAGGCGACACACAAAAAGAAAATTGGCATGGCTCTGCCCCTGGGGGTTGGGCATGTAGGGCCTACTCCAAATGATAAGGATGTTCCAAATGATAGGAATGTTCCTTAGGGTACAAAGAATAAGTATATAAAGTGTGGCTCTGCCCCTGGGGGTTGGGCATGTACCCCAAACGATAGGGATGTTCCTTAGGGTACAAAGAATGTGTATGCAAGATTATAAGTTAAGAAATGTGGCCTGTAGACGACAAACAAACAAATACTAGAAATGGGCGTGGCTCTGCCCCTGGGGGTCGGGCATGCACCAAAAACAATAGGGATCTTCCTTGGGGTATAAGGAATAAGTATACCAAGTTTGAAGAAAATCCAGTAAGAATTGCGCCCTGTAGGCGACACAAAGACACACGAAAAGAAAATGGGAAATGGGCGTGGCTCTGCCCCTGGGGGTTGGGCATGTACCCCAAACGATAGGGATGTTCCTTAGGGTACAAAGAATGTGTATGCAAGATTATAAGTTAAGAAATGTGGCCTGTAGACGACAAACAAACAAATACTAGAAATGGGCGTGGCTCTGCCCCTGGGGGTCGGGCATGCACCAAAAACAATAGGGATCTTTCTTGGGGTATAAGGAATAAGTATACCAAGTTTGAAGAAAATCCAGTAAGAATTGCGCCCTGTAGGCGACACAAAGACACACGAAAAGAAAATGGGCGTGGCTCTGCCCCTGGGGGTTGGGCATGCACCCCAAACGATAGGGATGTTCCTTAGGGTACAAAGAATGTGTATGCAAAGTTTCAAGATTATTAGTTAAGAAATGTGGCCTGTAGACGACAAACAAACAAATACTAGAAATGGGCGTGGCTCTGCCCCGGGGGGTCGGGCATGCACCAAAAACAATAGGGATCTTCCTTGGGGTATAAGGAATAAGTATACCAAGTTTGAAGAAAATCCATGAAGAATTGCGCCCTGTAGGCGAACCACAGACACACACACACACACACACACACACACACACACACACATACATACATACACACACACACACACACAGACAGGGGCGACGGCATAATACGTTCACATTATGAATGTGGACGTATAAAAATTACAGGTACACATGCCAATATAACAAATGTTATTAAGAAGATGGTGTTTCGGAAGACTGTTGACTAGACAGAAAATTGAAACATAAATAATAGTAATGAGTGTTGTGCATGGGACAGTGTATGTTTATCCATTTAAAAACACAAGGTACTACGACTATCTGAAAGCACAAAATGGAAGATCCACTTACTATTACACAATTTTGTCTAAATTGTACACAGAATTTGGCTTAATACTACATAACAGTTCCGATCAACTGTAGTATTCACATGAAGAATGAATTTGAATAGTAGAATAATCAAGGGTTTGGGCGGATAATTTACGAAGAGTTTTTCTCCTTAAAGCAAAGGCCTTCATTAAGCGACACAAACACGGGACATAGTATATATAATAGGTGAGAAAGATATAGACTAGTTTTATTCTATACTTCATTTGATCTATAGATGGAAGCAAATTATAAAATAACTAACTATACAGAAATAAAACTTACAAATTTTGGACATCATTTACTTGTCTTTCTAGTAAACCCACTAAAAGACCTGACAGATAAAGACTACTTTCATAGTTACATACAGTCATCTCTCTTGTCAGTCTGGATATCAGTACAAACTTCTCATTATCAGATATAAATGACCCAGATGCTCCTAAAAAATAAAATAAAATAAACTGTAGAAAACCGACAAATAAAAAAAGAAATCCATTAGATGAATCATGCATAAGAAAATTTTACTAGTTTTGATAAAACATATCGCATCAGATACATTCTCTTTGTTGTAAAAAGTTCTATACAGAGTCTAAATCTAGAAATGAATGTTGCTTTTTGAACTGCTGTATTCAGCAATGTTCAATATTAACAAAACCCTGAATTGTCATGGCACTGACTCATTTGAAAGATCTGGATGAAGGTTTTGATCATGTTATTTGCTATTGGCAGACTACTGAAATGCAGAGCCAAACAAATGAAGCAAAGAGACATATATACCATCTAAAACTATTGATCTCTGTTTATCCAAGAGTAGTTTTGGCAAAATGAACTCCATTTACCTCGAGACATATTGATGATGTATTCTTTTTCTGTTTCAAATCTATTCCATAAAAACTTTATAACATCCAGACATAAAACACCATTCTCTGTAAACTCTTCTTGAAATACAGCTGTAAAATAATTACAATCAATTCAATAAAAGAGACACCAAGACAAACTGCCTATTAAAATTGCCACGATTAAAATCAAGATCAAATAAGTGCTAACAAGTGGGAGCCTGTTTAAAAAGCCCAAATAAGGCTAAATTCTCAAAAGCAAAAGTAGGTAATCTCCAAGCTTTAACTGATTTAAGACAAAATAATCTAGACTAGTGTTATGGTTGGTGTATAAGAATCAAGAACTAAGCTTTAAGTGTTAACTTTATTATCAGTGGGTGAATTGAAGAAATATTTGAGTACACAATTATGTTATTGAGTATGTTTATTGTCTTCAGTTTGGATATAGTTTTCTTTCTTTCCTACTTTATGCTCTGTGCATGAAACCTGTGACAAGGATGGATATAAATAGGATTTGAATTTCACTAGCTTCACTAACATATTGATTTTATAAAATGACATTTTGATAGTAATAAATCAAAAATGTAATAAAATGTATGGTAACCTATTTTTCCTGTTTTGTTAAAACTTTCACGATCTGCTCCAAGGACATTCTTTAAGTCAAAACTTAGTTTGAATTCCAAGCCTATTGAAGCTGCAAATTCTTCAATATTTCCTGAAAAAAAGAAGATTTCATCTGTCAGTAAATGTACAATACATGTACAATACAGTATGGAAATCATCTGTCAGTAAATGTACAATACAGTATGAAAATCATGTCAGTAAATGTACAATACAGTATGAAAATCATGTCAGTAAATGTACAATGCAACATGGAAATCATCTGTCAATAAATGTACAATACAGTATGGAAATTATCTGTCAGTAAATGTACAATACAGTATGGAAATCATGTCAGTAGATGTACAATACAGCATGGAAATCATGTATCAGTAAGTGTCAACCACAGCCTCATTCAGACACGGTCGACTGGAATCTTGGAAAAGACAGAATTAGCACCCATAACATTCAAACTTTGAAAGACGCCTCACCTTGTCTCCATGACTTTTCTGTGGATTCTTTGAGCCTGTCAACAAGTTTTTGTTTGTCGTGGCTGTTAATTTTACTCCAAGCTGATGTATCGTGTGATTGTTTTATACTTTCTAATAAAACTCTGTCTTTTAAAACATCATACTTTCTATCAATTATCTGCAAATAACAATCAGTATTAAAGGTGCCTTTCTGCATACAAACTGTGTGATTTGATGATATATTTGGACTAAAATGATATTCAACCTAATTCATCAATCACAAGTTTCTTCAACTGTAATGGCACAACAGATCAAAACATTGTACAATGGTGTTATTTGTGAATCAGATATTTGTAGATCTCCTGATTATGCTTACAGACCCATTTCACCAATGACAGTTATTTTTCAATTTAAAACATAATTGATATGAGGGAAAGAAAGAATGGGGTTAAACATCCATTCCAAGCATATAAAAAAGCCTTATGATCTAGATTGCAAGCATTTGACCACTCAACCACCCAAAATAAAGAGGGTGAAAACTGGAAGATAAATCAAGAATAAATAAGAATCCCATATTGTTGTACCTGTAGTATGTCATGTTCATGTGCAGCTCCTTCAACCATGGTCAACACTTTCATAACATTCATTGAAATATCTTTCTTTCTCTTCTCTCTCTCTTTTAACTGAAGAGCTCTAAGTTCTTCCTCTTCCTGGAAACAGACATATAAACAAAATTTGTAACAATACAAGAGGTCTAGTCGCTTTAAGACGAAGAAATTTTTCTTCATTAAACAGTCAGTCAAATCTTTGTAACCAGTATATGGATCCAGGACAGTAATCAGTTGATAATTAAAGATGCATTATGTAAAATATAAATAAAGAGCCGGCCGTTCATGATCAATTGCTATAATAATTCAAAAATAGATAATGAAAAATGAATATATTTAAAATTTCATTCAAGTTACATTATTCTGAGTGAAGTTATGACTGTTTAGAGATGCAGCGTAGATCATTTATTATAGGTTATAAATGTCTAAATAATAATTTATATAAGATTTGAAGCCAGAAAAAAGACATACATTAGGCAGATTTTGCTCTTACATAATGCATCTTTAAGTTTATTTCCTTAAATAGTATCTAAAATGATAGAACTGAAAGTTTCAAACTTTAAGAAATTAATTTGACATTGAATCCCGCTAGGGGTCACGGTTGCTAAGCGGGTAAGACGCTGGCTCGCTAGCCTGGAGGTTGGGTGTTTGATCCCTGCATTGGCCGAGAAAGTTCATCCAGATTTTCAGGTGTGGTTCCCCCTTGTCAGTGATGTCTAGTCATTCCGATGGGATGATAAACCCGAGGACCTTGTACACATTGGCATGGACGTGAAAGATCCCTTGACAGTTGGAATCTGATAGGCCGTAGTGCCGCTGTCTGGGCAAAATTTCACTCATAGCACACTGTATGACGTATGCCCGTCTTTATTAGCCTAGTTCGGAGCAGAACAGCAGGACGTTAAAACCCATTTCATTTCATTTCTCGAATCCTGCCAAAGTGATTATTCCACAAAGGTCATGAAGTTGACTGCTATATGAAGTTATTTATACAATAGATCGATTGATAGTATTACCGGAGGAAGCAAACTTTACTAACCATTTTATCAATCTTTACATATAATGACCTCAAGTCCTTGTCCTGCTGTCTGTACAGATTTTCTAGTAAAGATGCGGCTGTCATGTCTGGTGTCACGCCCCTCTTCCTTTCTTTTTGTAAAGTAGCCTTGCGACAAATTACTTGAATAGCACCAGCTTCTTCCACTATAGACCTATACTCATTTATATCATCTGAAAACAAAAACAAACTAACTCTGTAACTTGAAAGTAAACAGAGAGAGGAATGGAATGGACAACATACAATTAATAGCATTCAGTGGATATACATGTGCAATACTAGGGAGGAGAATCTACCAGACACCAGCAATTCTGTTTACTTTCCATCCAATATGGTCAAATTTTATTTCAATAATTTTCTTGCAAGCAGGGTTCTTTAGAAGTCGGAGGATACATTTCTTTATTAATTTTTACTTTAAACAAACATAAAATATACCTGCGTTTGTCAAGTCAAGGCTTTGGTATTTAGTCTGAAGTTCTGATAAACGTTTCTGTCGATCTCCTTCTCCCATCATAGCTGCTGCCTCCTGTAAATCCTCTGATGATACTTCATTAACCAACTGTAATAACTGCTCCCGTTCATCACCATGACGATGTTTGACCTCCATTAGGCAATGAAGTTGACTGTCAGTTATGTCACCTGAACCAAAAAACAATAAAATGTTACATTCTTTTCAAAATAACCACAACAGTATATGTACATGCTGACAATAACATTATAGCTAAGTATTATATGGAAATCAATATATAAGGCTTTATGTTTGGATTGCAGATCATTCTTGATTGTGCTGGACTTTTTATTATGATCATCATTTCTCCCATTTAAAATACATGGTACCCGGTAATTAACTTGTATTTTGGGGAAAACCACTAATTGCTCCCATTTTAATTAATGCAAAAATGTATTCTAATTGATTACATGTATTTAACATTTTATCAAGAATATCAATGGTAAATAATCGCTGGGCTTAGATTCAATAGAATTGAAAAGAGGCCCATCAAAAGCTATTACAAAAAACTAATAGTTGGTGTTTGCTTGTTTATATTATTTGCCGAAAATGACAAATGTTGTGAAATTTTTAATTCATCATATCTTTGTAAATACTTGACACAATTGAACATTACCAGACTGTAGTTTGCAAGGGATTCAAAATCTTTCAAATGACAATCAAAGGCTTTAAAAGTACAAATGTAAAACCTTGTTTTTGTTTCTGATAATCAGGATATAACTTTTTGTATCTTTTTCCTTCTTCCTTTCGATCTCTCCATAACTTGACATTTAATTCGCCCAGTCTGGTTACTCTAGTCTTGTCTTCTTTATCTCGATCTTCCAGTCTTTCTAATAATCCTTTTAACAAAATAGGTTAAATCAAATTTTATTGAGGAGTGGAGTTCAAAGAATGGAATTAATTGTGGGAGTGATCGAGAATGGTGGTTAGCTACCATTGGTAATCTTTTTGCACATTGACTACCTACATGAATGATGAAAATCCTGCACTTTTAAGACAAAATCTACCCACCGCTAAATCTGCTCTTTAATCTTCCAGTCATCAGATAAAGATCATTATTTTGACCAACAAATTGGTATGTCTTTTGATATCTTTAATACCTTGCCAGATATATCACGATTTTCTTTCCTCGACTTTATTGTTTTAAGCGTACACAAGATTTTGAGACAATGAAATTGATCAGAGAGAGAGAAAGAGATAAGGGTTCAACGTGCACTCGACACAAACTAGGTCATTTCGGGACTAATTATGGTTCAATTTTATTTCAACAGTCTTTAACAGTGAGAGTAAACCAGAGGACCCAGAGAAAACCCACAAATTTTGACAGGCAACCCTACTCCTTGTCATGTACAAACGGGGAATCAAAACCATGCTACTTGACACAATGACAGACCTATGATGCAATGGGCATGCGTTAACCATTCGGCCACCAAACCTCCCAAAATTGATTAGAAACAAATCTCTATTGTGTGAATACAATCAACCAATAGCTTGAAATTTAATGCCAAGGTAATAAAACACTGAAAATATATTTGCATATCATACCAGTTGCTATGTATGCAGCCTCAAGATCTGTATCAAGACTAATTGTTCTAGTCTGTAGTCTTGCATATACAATCTCTTTTCTTTTTTTACGATTTGGGTAATTCTTAACTTCACTCCTCTGTAACCAGTTCAACAACCCTTGCTGTTCTGCATCATATCGACCAATCAAATCACTCAATATATCTGTACTTGAATTATTCACCACATTATCTGCAACGGAAATATATATTAAGGGATGTATGGGAACTTGAGTCACACAACTCGGACTCGAGTTTGACTTGCATTAAAGACCCGACTTATGACCCAACTTGAGATATTTGTCGGGACTTGAGACTTAGCAGTCGTGGCAACCTTGAAAGTGCTAAGGACCTAAGTTGCAGTGAGGGGACATGACTCTAACTTTCCTTATTCACCAGGAATTACTGACTCATTTGATGAACTGGCAACATGAACAGGACACCAGCTGTGTAAAGACTTTGGAATCGACTTTGTACTAAATCCAGCGACTTGGGACTCGACTCAAGACTTGAGCTGCAGTGACTTGGGACTCAACTTGGACTCAAGTTACGGTGACTTGGGACTTGACTCAACATTCTGTGAAATGTTCCCATCTCTGGGATGAACTAAAACAAATACAATAGAAGAACTATAAGCTGACCTAACTGTTAATCATTAAGCAAATTCTGATGAACAAATAAAGCCACAGTTATAGCAAAAGCAAATGGGGGAAAAAATGGATTTGAAAACATGCTTTTCTTAAACATTTCTGCAGATCACCTGATTGCTAGTGACAGATCTAACATCTACAGCTTCAGACCACTTGATCAGAGTAATGTTTCTGAGCAAAGTTGATGGTAAGTTCTTAAACTCTGCTAAATATATCGAATCGTGGTTTTAATAATACTGCTAGACCATTGTCACTAACCTGCATTTCTCCATTTCTGTGGTCCAAGTAGACTGTTTAATGATGGCAAAGCCTGGAAATAAAAGCCATTGGGTTAACATGTTGAACTAGTATATAATTATAAGAGTACAGTAAAAAGTCAAAGGATCATGTTCATGTAAATTATTGACTGTTTTACATTTAGAGAATTTGATTTAAACGATATAAAATTAATGATGTGTATTATGCTACGTGAAATTAAAGTTTTACATGACATGTGTGCAATTTATTGTTATATCAATTTGGCAGATTTAGTCTCAGTGTTTCACAGTTTTCTTTTACTGAATTTGTTAAGGGTTAAAATTCTCATGCAAATTTTAGCTTTTAGCCAATGAAAAGGCTATATTCTGAAAACCGCAAGGTTCTTCTTGGTCCAAGCCCAGATTTAAACTCAGCACATTTTAATAGAGAGTCTAGAATGGACGCAAATCTGACTAGAAATCAAAAAACAAATATAGAAATATACCAACCATTCCCTTTGTGCCAAGAAATTGAATAAAATCATCTGTTTGACCAGTTGATCGTATTTTCTTCTCCTCACGTCTCATTCGGACAATTTCTTTCTGTTTAACATCAACAGGTAAACTAAAACATAATTCAATCAAAGTGTCACTTTAACATCTTGTTTAAACCTGTAAGTGCTGAGGATGACAAACTTGTGCAAATACAAAATGTAAAATTTTGGTCAAAATCCTGTTAATTTCTCTCTTTTTTGATCCCACAAAGTTGACATAAAAACTAACTTGCGAAATATGACTGCAAGTCAGTCAAAAAAAGACATGTATATCCTTTTCAAGCAACTGTGATTAGTTTCGAGCAGGAGTGTGGTCAATATTTTATGTATGAAGTTTGTCATCCCATTCGAATGACTAGACGCTGTTTCCTTGCCAGGAACATTCTCAGCAAACACCAGAATGAAACCCCGGACCTCCAGGTTAACAAGCCAGCACCTACCCACCAAACCACAGTGGCTCCTGTCTGATTATAAAGGGCAGATAATCATTAATCATTTTAGAAAGATTACTTATTTACTTCTTGAAATTCTACTGGTCAAAACTGTTTAGTTTAAATAGACTACAAAGAAACCAATAAGACTTACTTGATCCAGTTTAGTCCATGTTGTTGCTGAAGTAGGTAGAGGAAGAGTTTGTCACGAATCGCAGAATATTTTTCATCAACAGCATCAAGATATTCTTTCTCTTCGTCTGATACCTTTAGAGAGCCAAGGGTAATGGAAGCGATTCCTTCAAAACATTCATTAATACATAAACAATATTCTGTCTTGATTAGTTTTTTTAGTTCTTTAACTCCCTGAAAAAAAAAAAAAAAATAAAAACGTAAAAAATCATATTTAAAGCACAATATTCCAGACTAAAAGGAGAATTATAGACTTTCAGTCTAGTCCAAAAATTATTTAAACTGATCGGTCCTAACATATATTATGGCCATCTAAAGTTCCTATTACTTTCTATTTCTAGGAACATCTATCCATGACCATCAATCTGATCATAGTACATGTGTTGCGAAAGCTGTAAACATGTTCAATAGCACTGTATGTACTTATGAAACTTTTCAGACAATATTTATCAGAATGATGGAACAGGTTTAATTAAGTTGCAATAATGGCATCCTTAATAATATAGTATAACTCATTAGGTCATGTACTTCATGACCAATTTAAATTTAATTGTTGTAATGGTCCAGTACTCAAGGTTTCGATTGCACCCACGCCTATGATCAATATACCAAATCAGAATAATAAGCACTCATGAACATACATTTACATACTGAATTTAGTTAAAACCCATTTAGTTATGAATATACATTTACATACTGAATTTAGTTAAAATCCATGAGAAGACGACAGATGTAAATAAATAAAATATATTTACCAATGACTGTATTTCTTCAATTTTGTCTTTTATTTCCGTTTCTTGAAATTTTTGTAACTCAGACAAGATGGCTGCAGATATTTGGTCATCTGCTATATTTGGTTGTGATATCTCCATGGTAACCTGAATATGACACCAGTGTATTGCTACAGCTACAATATAAAAATAATAAATTGAATGAAAGCACAGTGAGATTTGAATTAATATAAGCAATCATACTATAACCCTAAAGCCAGCAGAATCATTTACATAAACATTTGGATTTTAAAATTCTCATAATGCAATCAAGTTCAAATTTGTTTGTGCTTAATTAAATATGAAAGCCAACAGTTTAATAATCAATCATCCTGTACCTTGGTGAAGAATATTTTGATGATTATTTAGAGTCTGTGGATCAGGTTGGACGCTTGATAAATTATTCATCCAATTCTTCTGTTGGTTACGATATTTAGTTATTCGACTATCCTGTTCCATTGTTGGTAAATTTCTCACTTCTGCCAGCCACTGGTTACTCTCTGGTCCTTCCAACATATTTATCAAGGCCTAAAATATAAGTATTATATATAACTCCTAGTGTTGTATTATGAAATTTAAAGAATGAAAGAACACATAATAAGCAATAACATTTGTTTATTCCACATACGTGGGAAGCTTCCATATTGTTCCACTTAATCTTTTCACATGAATACCTATTTGTTTTTAGTTTTGAATTAATTTTCTCTTCCACTTTTAAAAACAGAATAAAATTCTCACTTCTCTTTCAAAAAAATGTTTTCTGTCGATTTCTTCTATAACTTTCAATCGGAGATCAATGGTACCCAGGTCATCAGTTTTAATCAAGGTCAATTTGTTATCTGTGACCCTTGTCTGTTTCCTTCCTTTCTTATCTTCCAGTCTCAACTGTGCAAGTTTCCGCCATCTAATAGCATCTAGACCTTGTCTGAAATTAATAATAATTATACTATCATTTCTTCATCAACTTGGTTGATCAGATGGTTTCTTTGTGTAATTAAAAACACATCTCTGCAGTCTAAAACAGCATTTTCGGTGAATTTTAGATTTCTGCATTCTTGGTAAGACAAACATTAGTAAGCTTATATCAGATTGCTGGTTGGCATGATCAAAATAAATTCCTTCAGCTGAAAACAACCTTTTTATATAATTCTGGTTTAAATTTTAAGTGCAGGGGAATCGTGCCAAACATAAACAAACAGTCAGACTTCTAGCTTTACGGGAAGATCAGAGGTTTTGGTGTAGATTTCATCTTCATTTAAAGGTGTTGCAGAAAATGATCAACTCTAGAGAATGTCATAGACATGTTCTAATCGAATGACTAAATCACATTGCTTGTTAAACTCAAATCACATGACTACACCAGGATACTGTTAGTCCATTGCCGTATCCATACAATAAAAAACCCCAACAAATATTACTTACAGTTCATCTTTAGCACCTCGTTCTCCTAATCCTAAACTAAATGCTGATTGGTTGATAGCCGATTCATATCCCAGGAGACTGTGTTGATGTGAAAGTGAGGCTAGTTCTGTATTTAGAAGATTTGTTGTAGTTTTACGATCTTGTCCACTGTGTAGAATGGATAAACAGTAGTCTCGTTCCTGTTCATGTCTTTCATTGAGCTGAACCAAAATATCACCACAAGTTTTAGAACCTGAATAAAAACACATGCCAAGTAAAAGAGTTTGTCATTTATAACTCCGTTTTATAAATTTATTTCTGAAAGTCAGTTTATTACAATATCTCAGTTTGAGCGAGCAAGAGAGAAATGAGTTTTAATGTCCACTCGACACAAACTAGGTCATTTCGAGACTAACATATGGTTCAATTTTATTTCAATAATTTGCTTGCGCGTTGAGGTCTTTAGCAATGGGAGGAAACCGGAGGTCCCGGAGAAAACCCAAAAAGATGGACAGGTGACCCTACTCCTTGTCAAGTACAACCAGGGCAGGGAATCAAAACCACGCCAGCTGACTCAATGACAGACCTTATGATACAACGCACAAGCACTAACCATTTGGCCATCCACCCCCCACCCACCCCATCTCAGTTTGAACCTATATAAATGTTACATATTAAATTTTCAAATATAAAATGTGTCATTCTGAATGGGATTGGGGAACAGACTTAGCCAATGTAAAACCCCTCTCTCAATGTAGTATTGGCATGTGTAAGTTGCCAGCATACACATCAAAAGTTATCATCTTATATGGAAGTAGGTCGGAGAAACTTTAAAATATCTATCTCTCAATAAATTATTTACCAGTGACAGTACACCTAAATACCAACATTTAAATCTCCATTTAAGTCCTGGAAACTTTCAAATTTTATCGACCTCCATTTACAGAAATCGACTCCTGTATATACCTACCTATATATATATATCAACTCACCATTATTTAAATCTTCAAACTGATTTTCATAAAATTCATTTATTTCTTTCTCTGTTTTACCTTCTTTCTTTAATTTCAATATATTTGCCTCCATTAATTCAAAGTTTTTATCAGATTTATGATGTCCCATGACAGCAGCTAGTGTGTATGGAAGCACAGCATTTGCACCGGGCAAGTCACTTGAATTATCTGATAAATTTTTGTCTTTTAATAATTGTTTCGTATGTTTTCTTAGAGACTGAAAAATTTCAGTGACTTCACTTTCCATATCTAACAGAAAAAAACAAATCTGCTATTAAAAATGGACTCAATATAATTATAAAGATAGGGTGCCAGAAAATAAAACATGTCCAACAGCAGCTAAGCTGTGTGCTGATTAAAAAGGTACATGTAGTTATTATTTCAATGGTCTGAAAGAACTTCTCCAGAAATTTACATACCAATAATAAAACCAGCAGCTGCCAGGCAGGACACGCCCACATTTTCGAGAAATGGATAGAGAACAAGCTAAAAATAAAGTGATTTTTCCTACAATCAAGGGCCATAATTCAGGAAATTACAATTCGATAAGCGCAAATAATGAAAAGAACTTACATTTCAAGTTTCAACAAAATCGGATAAAAATTGTGACCTCTATAGGGTCCACAACCTTGATATACCATATTTTTAGGCTATTTAAGAACGAAGGGCGGCCATTTTGTCTGTCAGTTTTGGGCCGATTTTCACGAAATTCGAACTAAGCCGTCCTTAGGGCGTAACGGTGATATAATAATACGTTTTTTTAAATCGGATAAAAATTATGACCTCTATAGGGTCCACAAGCTAAAAACGCGATTTTTCGTACAATCAGGTGCCATAACTCAGGAAGTTACGGTCCGATATGCACAAATATCGAAAGGAACCAAGATCTTTGGGTTATAAACTTACATTTCAAGTTTCAACAAAATCGGATTAACATTGTGACCTCTATAGGGTCCACAACCTTGATATATCATATTTTTACGCTATTTGAGAACGAAGGGCGGCAATTTTGGGCCGATTTTCACGAAATTCGTACTCAGCCGTCCTTAGGGTGTAGCGGTAATATAATAATACGTTTTTTTAAATCGGATAAAAATTATGACCTCTATGGGGTCCACAAGCTAAAAACACGATTTTTCGTACAATCAGGGGCCATAATTCAGGAAGTTACGGTCCGATATGCGCGAATATCGAAAGAAACCGTGATCTGTGGGTTATAAACTTACATTTCAAGTTTCAACAAAATCGAATAAAAATTGTGACCTCTATAGGGTCCACAAGCTAAAAAACGTGATTTTTCGTACAAACAGGGGCCATAATCCATGAAGTTTCGATCCGATACATGCCAATATCGAAAGCAGCCAAGACCTTTTGGAGATAAACCTATATTTCAAGTTTCGTCAAAATTTGATAAGAATTGTGACCTGCAGAGTGTCCACAAACAAATTGTGGACGGACGGACAGGGGCGACGACAATTATATGTCCACATGAAAATGTGGGCGTATAAAAACAATAGGCAGGTTAAAAAAAAAATGGTTTCAAGTCCAAACCTTTTAAGACGAAGTAATTTTGTATGATGTCGAAAATCAAAGATACACAGCAGAATGACATGATTTGGTCATGGACCTTAAAAATCTAAACGTTTCGAATGATAACGTAGCAGCGGTTATATCCGGGACTAAAATCTAATTACACTCCATCTCTCCATGTGAGTAAATGCTAGCATATCACATTCACAGGAGAGAACGTGGTCTAATTTTGAATTTGTTGTTAATATATTATATTTTATGTTGTATTTATCCCTCCCCACTATACCATCAAATCTCCCTGAAGCTCGATCTTTATTGTATTTGTAATACTTATAGAATATTATCCGCGTACTTTATCCAGCGATGTGTATTTTAATTTCCACTGTCGCAATATAAACAGTTAATATTAAGACATTTGAAGGCATGGGTGTATTGTTAAAACAACTTTGCGTTTGCGCATGCGTACAGATGTCAAATTCAATCGTCTCATGGAGTGTATTCCACTACGTTCCAGCAAGGAAATAAGCGACGTTTTCTGACTGCGATAAAGACATATTCATTCCAGGGGCGTGATTATTTTTTCAAACGCGACCAAGGGACATAACTCATATTGTCACTAAGAGTTAACTGCCTTGATAATGGAAGCTGGGAAGATTTTGAGGCATTTATAAAAAATTTCCAAATGGTTATATCCTCAAAAATCAAATGTGGTCAGACGTCCATTGCTGAAAAATGAAGTTTTTATGGCAAGTCTTATCATATAACGTTAAAATAATCCCGAAATAGTGTCTGTCTGTTGTAAAAAAAACTCAGCATGAACCACTCTAACAAGTTGCTCTTCGTCCCAGGGAATTTAAAAATCTCCTCTTCAGACATTTCTTCGCAAATTCCTTGATGAAATAATAAAGGGAAAGTACGTGTTTGGCTCAATCTGATTAAAATACAAATCTATATTTCGTTTTGTTTTTTATACTTTCGATGGCCTACACCACACGAAGATCTGACCAGTTTTGATGCTTGATTAACCAACCAGCATTAATGTTTCTAGTGGATTGCCCACAGTTCAGTGCAGCTCACGCCAAAAAAACGTCGCAACAGACCGTTTCATTGGCTAACCCCTCACATCATCCAGAACACGTCAATGATAACAACTCTTCCAGATCCTAGTGTCGTAAAGACAAGTAAAACGAAATTTAAACTTTAAAAACGAAACGAAATAGGATCTGTGTTTTAATCAGATTGTGTTTGACTTAGAAACAGAGAAGATGAAAGAAATGAAGGGTTAAATAAGGGGCACAACTGAATGTTTACGTGAAACCATTGACTCTCATCATAAGCGGCCAACATTTCTCAGCAGTGGCGTCTCGCGTGAAAAAAACAAAACGTGTGTGTTTTATTATGAATATTCTCTTTAATTACAGATCTAGACCCAAGCACGCGTTGCAAAGAATACAGTGATAAGGATTATTTTTATGGACTTCTTCTTACAAGTGAGGTACCTATAATTGCGTGATAATCGATATTTTAAAACTGTATCGATAATCGATCTTGAAAACGCTTTACCGACGATTATCGGCAATATCCTTCTATATAACTGACTGACGTGACGAGTGATAGCAGATACATGGGCGAAGTTTTGCTCACTAATAATTCTTTCGAAGACCACATTTTGACCAAAAACAACAATTTCCAGTTATACCGGAAGTTGTCATGCGTTCTCATAGACTAAGTATGATTGAAAATTGCTATCCCCCAGGGTTATCGATTTTTTTCAATTTTTTCAATTTTCAATATAACATGATCGGCTGATAAATATAGTCTCTTAGAGTGGACGGTGGGGCAGGGAGACGAACGTACAGGAGCGACAGCAATATACGATCAAATTACAACGCAACATACAAAATGTGTTATCTGGTTATTTCAATCTACTCAGTTGTAATTTCAACTTACTAAGTAGACATAATAGTTAAAAAGCAAAATAACACATTTGCAGAAGCGGATTATAGCCTCCGATTCCAATTATTTTTTTTAAAAATCTCAAAAAAGAAAACCCCTGAAAGAATACACTGAATCCGGAAAGAAAACTTGATATGGACCCCCTGGGACAGGGCCCCCCCCCCCCCGTGTCCCGTGGAGGGGCCCCTAGTCAAAGACTAGGGTCCTCGAATCGTACAAAAGGGCCCCTTTGCCTCCAGTCTAAGGGCCTCTATGTGTGTGTCCAGTCGAAAGGCACACGATTCTTGAGCCGTGCGTCGTCCCATCATTCATTATGCACGGGTCAAGTTCTTATTCGTTTGTCTAAAGTCCTCCTGGACTTACTATCACGGTGATCTAGAGCGAATCGCGAATCACGTGCATCAGTCCATAGATATATTTATTTTTATACGTCGTCGCCCCCGTCCGTCTGTCAGCCCGTCCGTTCGTCGTCCACAATTTCTTGTGAACACTCTACATACTATATTTATCATCTCATTGTTTTGAAATTGATATATGTCGTTTGCATTAGTGAGATGAAGAAGCCTATTTAATTTCAATAACTTCCATTAATTACTTCTGGAGTTATGGCCCTTGTTTCACTTTGTTGCACCTTGTGAACGCTCTAACGACAAAAGTTATCAACCGATCTGTATGAAATTTATATGCATCATCTAAATTAGTAAAACAAAGAAGCCTATTGAATTTCAGCAATTTCCGTTAATTAAATCTAGAGTTATGGTCCTTGTTTCACTTTGTTGAATCTTGTGAACGCTCTTATGACAACAGTTATCATCCGATCTGTTTGAAATTGATATGCATCATTTAAATTAGTGAAACGAAGAAGCCTATTGAATTTCAGCAATTTCCGTTAATTACGCCTTGAGTTATTGCCCTTGTTTCACTTGTACCTTGTGAATGCTCTCATGACAAATGTTATTATCCGATCTGTATGAAATTTATATGTATCACTAGCAGGATACCCGGCTTCGCTCGGGGGTCATAACTCCGAAACCGGAAGTGGTAGACTAACGCCACCTGGCCTATGTTACTCCCCGGTCCGAGCTACCCCTATACCCCAAATTTCAGACTCGGGGCAGACCTAGTGTAGCTGCCAACCCCGAACAGACCGGCTTCGCTCGGGGGTCATAACTCCGAAACCGGAAGTTGTAGACTAACGCCACCTGGCCTATGTTACTCCCCGGTCCGAGCTACCCCTATACCCCAAATTTCAGACTCGGGGCAGACCTAGTGTAGCCACCAATCCCGAACAGACAGACTTCGCTCGGGGGTCATAACTCAGAAACTGGAAGTGGTAGACTAACGCCACCTGGCCTATGTTACTTCCCGGTCCGAGCTACCCCTATACCCCAAATTTCAAACTCGGGGCAGACCTAGTGTAGCCGCAAACCCCGAACAGACCGGCTTCGCTCGGGGGTCATAACTCCGAAACCAGAAGTGGTAGACTAACGCCACCTGGCCTATGTTACTTCCCGGTCCGAGCTACCCCTATACCCCAAATTTCAGACTCGGGGCAGATGTAGCCGCCAACCCCGAACAGACAGACTTCGCTCGGGGGTCATAACTCCGAAACCGGAAGTGGTAGACTAACACCACCTGGCCTATGTTACTCCCCGGTCCGAGCTACCCCTATACCCCAAATTTCAGACTCGGGGCAGACCTAGTGTAGCCGCCAACCCCCAACAGACTGGCTTCGCTCGGGGGTCATAAATCCGAAACCGGAAGTGGTAGACTAACGCCACCTGGCCTATGTTACTCCCTGGTCCGAGCTACCCCTATACCCCACATTTCAGACTCGGGCAGACCTAGTGTAGCCGCCAACCCCGAACAGACAGACAGACAGACAGACAGACAAACGACAGTCACAAATATATATATAGAATTAAATTAGTAAAATGAACAAGCCTATCAAGTTTCAGCACATTTCCGTTAATTACATCTAGAGTAATGACCCTTGTTTCACTTTGTTGAATCTTGTGAACGCTTGAACAACAAAAGTTATCATCCGATCTGTATGAAATTTATATGCATTATTTGAATTAGTAAAACGACAAAGCCTGTCGAATTTCAACAATTTCTGTAGATTACTTCCAGAGTTACGGGCCATGTGTTAGTTTTTAGAACCTTGTGAACCCTCAAACAACAAAAATTATAATGTCATCTGTATGAAATTGTCTATAAAATGCCCCTTATTACCTACAAAAGAATAAATATACGACAACCCTTGTCGACCGCACGGACGATTTAGCTGCTGTGGGCGTATGTTTTGTTGCTTGGCAACCTATCTTTTAGAAGGCTAACAACAATTGGAAAAAAATTCAATCCAATGTCTTCAAAAATTACTTTAATTCAGCATTTACAAATGAAAAGATAGGTTGCCAGGCAACGAAACATACGCCCACAGCAGCGATATTGTCCGGGCAGTCAACAAGAGTTGTAGCATATTTTTACTTTTTTCGGTAATGAAACATTTATAATACATTAAAATCTGATTAAGAGTAACAACTAATTAGAATTTGTTCTGCCCCATGCTAACGTTTAGTATATGAACTTTTAACATCATGGATTTAGCTGTTCAAGTCATAAAGATTCATTAAAATCAATATACTTGTTCGTCTCAAGACCTTAAACTCTGTGTATCAATCTAAAGTCAATCGGATATTAACTTTAGCCTCTAGAGCGTCCACAAGATTTTTCAAAGTGATCAAGCGCCATAACTCTGACAAAAATTATCGGAAATCGCTGAAAACCAATAGGATTCTTTGTCTCATGACCTTAAACACTCTGTATCAATTTAAAGACAATCGGATATTAACTTTAGCCTCTAGAGCGTCCACAAGATTTTTCAAAGTGATCAAGGGCCATAACTCTGGCAGTAATTATCGGAAATCGCTGAAAATCAATAGGCTTCTTTGTCTCATGACCTTAAACACTGTGTATAAATTTAAAGTCAATCGGATATTAACTTTAGCCTCTAGAGTGTCCACAAGATTTTTCAAAGTGATCAAGGGCCATAACTCTGGCAGTAATTATCGAAAATCGCTGAAAATCAATAGGCTTCTTCGTCTCTTGACTTTAAACACTGTGTATAAATTTAAAGTCAATCAGATATTAACTTTAGCCTATAGAGGGTCCATAAGCAATTGTGGACGCCGGACGGACGGGGGTGGGGGGGGAGGGGACAACAATATACGACCACATTTCAATGTGGGCGTATAAAAACTGTTTACTTAATCTCTGTAGGCCCTCCAGGCTCCAGTTGGCGAAGGCCATTTTTTTTTTTGTCAACTTTGTTTCCAGGGATTGAGTGGTTAACAATTGCAGAACCATTGTCAAATTAGAATCCCCATCTGTCGAAATACTCTTTTTACGTAAAAAATGCCTATTGCTCGGTAACCATGATTAGTTCAGTAGAGCCTTGTCATATTCTTATTATCATGTGTTTTACCTCTGCATATACCGTGAAAATGCCAGATGCTTTGCGTGCAATCAATTTGTAGCCCTTGTTTTTCGTCGTGGCGAATATAAATGAAATCGGGTTTAACGTTCTACTTTTCTGCACCATCAGGGACAATGAAGACGGGCATACTCCATACAGTGTACTATGAGGGAGATTTTGCCTGGCTACGATTTACTATTATTTCGATTTACAACTGTCAAGAATTTTTTTACGTGCTCGCCACGTGTACACGGGACACAGGGTTTTCGACCCATCCGATGCCATTCATTGCCAGGCCCTCCGTCCTACACTATTGACAATGGGGAACTACGCTGGAAAATTACGAGGAACTTTCTCGGCCAACACTGGGGTCGAACACGGGATCTCGATAATAGGTTTTAAATTAGATATCTATATTACTTACTATTGTAAACTTAAGATGAACTGTCGAATCATGAGAAAAGTGCATGTGATGCACAGTAAAGCATAAAATAACTTAGAAGACAAAATGGCACAGCGCCCTCGATAAACAGAGAAACTGTAATATATTATCAAGGTGTTAATCTGTATGTTATAATAATTGTATAAGGTTAAATTAACGCTTGACTTAATATACTACTGTATATATCGATATCATTACCAAATAGGTTTATGTATAAAGGGAGTTATAGACGGATATACAAGTATTTGAAATTTTAAGATATATATGTATATAAGCTTGTTTGTATAGCAAATACATTTTTATTTTCTTCGCTCAACCGATCACAAAGTATATGAAAAAGCACACCTATTGAAACTCTGTCACTGTAACCTTGGGAGCTTTTGTTTGGATTCGCTCTTTATAAGTAAGTGAGGTATAGGATCTTACATTGAACCACACTGAGATGTTAATTTAAGGCTTTTGTATGGAGGCTACCTATCGCCAGTGTTTACAACAGAGATACTTTATGGTCAGATCATAACAAGTAAAATATATGTAGCAGAACTGTGATGTGAAATTCATTAACAGAAAACTGAATATCGTGCTGAGATTTTTTTATAGTTTTAAATAAGTATAACAGATTATTGGAAATGAGTAGCAGAGTTAGAACAAATTCTCAAGGAAAACGATCATTAAATGGATGGGACAGTGCTCGTGGTGATAGCTCTACCGTCCAATGGAGTTCACAATCATATTCTTTAAAAGACATCCCACAGCAGTTCAATCTACCACAAGTAGTACGTTGTAATCCACAGATTTTATTAACAAAACGTCAACAACCATTGCCAGTAAATCTAGGACAACCTATTTTGTTCTACAAAACCCGTACGATCAGAAAACTACTTGCAAGAAATGTTCTGTTTGACACCAGGGTTGAAAGATTTGGAGAAACAGATGAAACCGTCGTCATACCAGAGGATTACGAAGGTAAGTATATATAATAGCCTTTCGATTTAAAGGGACAATAACACTCTTGCTGGCTTGAAAGCTCCAGAAAATAAATAATATCTCTATCTAAGTACTAGATGTTTAAGTGTCCTACCTGTTCTGTAAATTATCCATTACATCCTATTTTACTTGTGCAGAGGGTTCGAAAATATTTTTAAATCGAAGTTTCATTTGAAAAGGTTTACGTTAGACGTTTCAAACCATTATGTTGAATTTTTCAAAATTTTTAAATAAGGTGTGTTAAGATGAAATTTGTATCATCAATTAATTGAAATATTCTAAAATAGTACAATTTGTTGACCAGAATAAAGATTGGGACATATTATTCAGTTACAACAAGAGTGGTATTGAGCCTTTAAGGACTTATTGAAGCTACATGTACTCAGCATATTTCGGAATTTATTAGCTTCGTCCCCGCTCTGCACCAATATATATGTGGTATCAAAGTGACCAGCATGACCCCGTAAATGTTTTAGGCCATCGAATTTGAAATGAAATGAAATGGGGTTTAACGTCCTACTGTTCTGCTCCGAACTGGGCTAATGAAGACGGGCATACGCCATACAGTGTGCTATGAGGGAAATTTAACCCTGACAGCGGCACTACAGCCTACTCTTATATCGAATTCCAACTGTCCAGGGATCTTTTACGTGCACGCCATGTGTACACAGACCCTCAGTTTTCCGTCACATCCGAACGACTAGATAGCTGTTCTTGTCAGGCCCTCCGACCTGCATCACTGACAAGGGGGAACCACGCCGAAAAATCTGGATGAACTTTCTTGGCCAATGCAAGAATTGAACACCTGACCTCCAGGATAGCGAGCCAGCGTCTTACCCACTTAGCCACCGTGATCTGTTACAACCCCTATTGTAATAACAACCCCTATTGTAATAAAAATTCGGGTAGGGTCGCCTGTCCAACCTCGTGGGTTTTCTCCGGGTCCTCCCACTGCTAAAGACCCCTACGCGCAAGCGAATTATTGAAATAAAATTAAACCATATGTTAGTCCCGAAATGACCTAGTTTGTGTCGAGTGGACATTAAACCCCATTTCTCTCTCTCTCTCTCTCCGTAATAAAATTTCAATTAACCCCTATTGTAATAAATGTAATAATTGTTATAAAATTTTACTTAACCCCTATTGTAATATCAACCCCTATTGTAATAATTGTAATTAATGTATTTTACCATACAATAAATTCGATATCTAAATTTAAAAGTCAATGGATTTTGATAACCATTTGAATATCAATATATAAGACAATGGTATGCCTTTATGCTGTATAGAACATTATGAAACAAAACCACAGAAAACATGATTAAAAGCCGTTAACGAGTTTGGAGAAATTATTAAAATGAAATGTCAACCCCTAATGTAATCAATGATATTTCAATAAACGTAAAGTATGTTCTCTGAAAATTCTGTTGTCTGAGGATTTTGAAAATCTTTTCTGTGTGCATCAGATAACATAATCCTCCTGATAGCTTTTTTAAAATCCTTCTCACTTCAGTGGGCCAGATTGGCACTGTACCAGGCGCGGCACGCTTACGTTTGACCCGTTTAAACTACAAAAAAAGCGAAGCGTGCCGTAGCTAGTACGCTTAAAATTTGTAATGTAAACGGGCTTGTAGGTTACGAAACAGTCGTCCTCATTTAGATTTTGGGCTAATGTATGTAATCCCGAATAACATATCTTATATTTGGCAAGTACGATTTAAGTAAGATATCAATGCGAATTGATAGTCTATTAGTAGACAATTATTGGTCTGAATGGTCTGGTTGGAAAACACTGATGAATTCGGCATTCTGGTGTTTAATGGACTCCTTGATCATCTTGGATTTATGGAAGACCATAAAACTGTCGTATTTTGTACTCAAATTTTCAGAGATAAGTCTGTTCGCTGTCCATCAGTTCGTTGTTGTTGTCTATGTCGTTTTTGTGGACTAGGTCTATATACCACCCCTCCCTTCAGAAAGATCAAATTACAATTAATTTACATATATCAACAAAAAATGGTAGACCACTAAGGTGTACCACAGGCATCGGTTTCAGGTCCAATTCTGGTTAGTCTGCATACTATACCGCTCGATTCAATTGTCAAGAAATGTGTCCCTCTCTTCCCCTCCCCACCCCCTTGCCCCCCGATGGCTACGGGCCTGTTTCGGATGTCATCAAAGTTGAATTATAATAAAATGGAATATGAGTTGGTTGGCTCTCAACAACAACTACAAAATGTGTCCTAGGACAAATTACGTTGGTGACAGTCAAATTAATCCATCCTCATCAGCCAGTGACAGTATGGAAGCCCAGATGAACAATGTGCGTAAAGTATGTTACTATTATATAAGAAAGAAATGAAATGGGGTTTAATGTCCTACTGTTCTCCGCCGACTGATCTAATGAAGATGGGTCTGCACCATTCAGTGTGCTATGAGGGACCATTTTGACCGGACAGCTGCGCCATGACCAACTCTTATATCTTTTACGTTTACAGGGACCTCGGTTTTTCTTCCCATTGAACGACTATATGTTGTCCCTTGCCAGGCGCTCTGTCCTATACCACCTAACCACGGCAGAAAATCCTGATGAACTTTCTCGACCAATGCATGGATCGAACACGGGATCTCCAGGTTAGCGAGCCAACATCTTACTCACTGAGCCACCATGCCTCCCTATTATATATGGAAAATTAGTCAGATTAAAAAATTTATCACAAATGATGCAACAAAAACTTTAATCAATTCGTATGCCACGTAAAGACTAGACAGTCTCAATTATTTGCTCTATTAGTAAGTGCAGGGTGTTCCTAACGCATAATTTATAAACTGCAAGTTACTTACTCAAATTAAACTATCATGAACTTATGTTCATTTGCTAATTGTTCATGTCATTTGCTCTTCCCTGGAGCAAGCATCCTTAAAATATTAGAAACCGCACTTATTCTTAAATGTCATTTTTATATGCCCATATTTCAGTGTGGGCGTATGTCATCACTCGGTCTGTCAACAAAGACTTGTGAACGCGATAGAGGCTGTAGTTTTCGACGGATTTGTTTCTTTTTTAACGATCCTTTTTTAACAAATTTTTGTTAAAGCTTTTAATGGATTCTTTTCAAATTTGGTTTGAAAACCTTGTGGCTACAGTTTTTGACAGGGTCATGAGAGAATGAACCCTATCAATTTTCAGCTTTCCGTTCCGGAGTAATCCTCCCTTCGACGAAAACCTTGCGATATAAGCTTAAGTTTTTAACAGATCCTTTTCAAATTTGGTTCGAGAACCTCGTGGCTACAGTTTTTGACGTTTTTTTTTTCAAATTTGATGTGAAGCATTGTGGTCATGAGAGGACAAACACTATCGATATTCAATTACTGTGACTCTCCTTTCCGGAGTTATTCCCGCTTGTGCTGAAAACGATAGAGGCTGTTGGTGGGAAGCATTTGGCTCAGGAGAGGATGAACGCTATTGATTTTCAGCGTTCCGCTATTAAAATTCACCTTTTCCGAAAACATTATGAACGCGATACAGGCTATAGTTTTTAACGGATTTCTTTAAAATTGGTGTGAAACATTGGGTTCTTGAGAGGATGAACCCTATTGATATTCAGCGTTCTGAAACTTTCCGTTTACCAAGTTATTCCTCCTTTTCCGAAAAACCTTGTGAAAGCCATCTATTTTTTAATGGATCTTTTTAATATTTGGTTAGAAACATTGGGGTCATCGATCTCTATCGATATTCATAATCCGCAGCCTTTCGTTACCCCACTTTGCCGAAAATCTTGTGAACGCGATAGAGGCTATAGGTTTCTCCATGGATCTATTAAATTTGCTCAACATCCAAGTTTTCCTTTCGGATAAGCAGCAGTTGTGTGGGCATATTCTACGCTTTGCGTGGCTACCTTAATGCATGCATAACAATCAATATTTTGTAAACATAGTTTATTAATCCCGATATTAATTCAAGAGACGCGAGGCGAAGCCTTGACAGATCGCAGGCAAGAAGGAGCGAAGTAACCGAAAGTAATAGCTTGAACAATAGGAGTGGGAATGCCAGATAGTCCACAAACCAGAAGGTGAGGTGAAATCACTTCTTGGTTTCTTGCCTTCTCATTCCGGTTATAGATAGGCCCGTAACTAAGGGGGGGGGGATAAAAACAATAGATATACATTGTCCGTCAATATTACAGAACCCCTGAAAACAATCCCCCCCCCCCCATGTTCTGCCCTAGTTACGACCCCGGTTATAGACTCAAAGCAACGCGAGGGCAAGAAGGCAAGAAATTAACAAGGCGAAGCTAACAAGTGACTTGGCTTCACACTGATTATTTCATGCCTTCGAGCTGAACCATATAGCGAACCATTTGTCGCGGCTTCTGGCCTTCACCGTTGCAAAAAAAATATTTTACATGGCTATCTTTTATGGGTCCATTTGACTTTGCGGAACCCCAAAATATTTTCACGGACCCCTGGTTTGGGGAACGCTTGTTTAGAAGAATCTCACAGTCTAAGTTTTAGATACAGTCGGATTGACATTGCAAGATGTTAAAAAGGAATTCGGTTATTTGTATTCTGTCAATAGATTGTTTACTTCATTGGTGTTATGTTTCATGGTCATTTCCATTTCAGGAAACTTTTTAAGGTTAAAAAGTAGAACAGCTAGAGACAAAGATGTTCACAAGAGTATCGAGTCGTTAGTATCCAACAAGGTTCCCGCATTCATCAATCTCTCTCGAATCTCTGCATTCCAGATTGGTAAAGATCAGGGCAGCAACCAATACCCACGTCTTAATTATTCAGCTGGGAACGTGTTTATCATTGACCGAATATTCAAAGGATCCACTACACGAGCAGATGCAAGTGCGATTGAAGAAGTGAGACCATCTAGGCAAGAACTACATTATCTGAAATGTCGTGATGAACGAGACATTGATGTTTTAATTCCAATGAGCCACCCTGGGGAATTTATGGAAGTTTTGCCCAATCCTAATGGAAAAGTCAAATTATCTATGCAAAGCTCTGATATCATAGCCACACAGAAATTCCCCACGTTGATACGTTATGTGTATGGCGGAACAAGACCCCGACTAACATCTTACTCTGGCCTCTTTACAGCTCTTGATTCGTTCGATGAAACAAGTTTAGTTGGCTGTGTTCTTAGTTCTTCCGGCTTTACATTAATAGAAATGCCTATTTCCTCACCATTGGCCTTTCAGATAGCGCTAAACAACAATATTTTCAATGCTTCTGTTATAAAACAGGCTGTAAAGCTATGTCACCAAAAGTGTGCATACTTCGCTGCAGATATGAAGTTCAAATTTAAATTTGCCCTTAGAATTATGGAAAACAGCCCAGAAAGCCTTTGTGTCAACGATGAAGATGACCCCCCTAGTGTAACTAATAGTGCTAGATTTGGCATTTCTCATACATATATTTATTTATAAGATTTGCTACTAATTTTCTCTAACTATTAATAATTTATGGCTATGAACATACCCCCACTACATCTATTCACGTGACCTGTAAACCATTTACAGTAGAATCTGTATGAGCAGCCACTCCTATTCAGCGACATCTCCTTGTAAGCGGTCACGATAAATTCCCCCCGTAAAAATTCTATTGTTTCATCTCTTTATTCAATGGTCACTCCTCTCACGCGGCCAGCGGTCACTATTTTACTAATAACTTCAACAAAACATCGCCCATTCAACGGCCATTGTTGAATGATACCATCTTGTTGTTCTTTGTAACAGCCCCGCTAATCCTGTGAGTAGTAGTTAATTAACTGGACCCCCATTGATCAGGTAAAAAGAAATGTAAAAATTACAATCAACCCGGGATTATCTGTTAATTAATCTTTTGTTTTATTAAACGACTACTTGATCATTGTTTTCACGAGTAACGACACATTATTTGATACTGATTGAATAAAATAAAAGTACAGAGTTTTGTCACGATCATCTAGTATCTCTTTTCCATTGCCACATTGTTGTTAAACAGACGTTTTAGCACTCCTATAATATTACATACAGAGTTACACCCCCTGTAAATAGGTGATAAAATCAGCGATGGTTTTTTGTTCATGTGCTGTTTTGATCAAATAAAATTAATTCATCGATTTTCTTCACAAAAATGGATAAATATTATCAAATACATCACAATGGTAGACAGTAGTATCAAAGGTTGGTACAAAATGACAAGTTTACAGAAGTTATGTAAGAGACTTGAGTAAAGAATTTTCGTTCGGCGCAAGATTCAACTACGGTCAAATTTACCGATGCAAGTATTGATGTTCGTTTCCAATGCATCTAAGCGTAATATTTAATTTATGTCAGCACAAAAAGCACCAAGATTTTATTAAGAGGCCACTCCCGTTAAGCGGTCAGTCGTGAGAATTCCCTTGGGTGGCTGCTTAATGCAGATTCTACTGTACACATTATAAATATATTATTCTATAAAAAAAATGTATGTCATATAATATAGTATATAGCGCTTTCAGGGCTGGATTAATCATTAAGCAAACTAAACACATGCTTAGGGCATCATGGGACGGGGGGCGAGGGGCGGGGAGGGACCACAGAATTCTACTTTGTTAGATGACAAATATAAAATATTTAATTTAAAAATTAATTAAGAACTTTTAATTAAATTTCCATTGTTTTTTATCTTTTCTTACAGTCACCTGCTTTATCTCAATTAATAATGACGTGTATAAACCTCATTTTAACAAATGCAAATTTATTTTGGTTATAATGGTTTATATATGGGGGCACCGAAATCTTTCAAGTGCCTAGGGCCGCTATGGGTCTTAATCCGACCTTGGCCGCTTTATGTATAAATCCTGTCAGTGATTATGTGCTTGTATCAAAGCTTAAGCCATGCGAGTCTCAGTCTGTAGACGATAAATACAAAAAAAGGGCGTGGCTCTGCCCGTGGGGGTTGGATATGTAAACAACATAAATAGGTACCATCCTGTTATTGAAATGATAACATCCATAGTTGCTGTCCTTATGGTATAAGGAATAAGTATTACCAAGTTCCAAGATAATCCATTCAGAATTGTGGCCCTTGGGCGCTAAAGGCAAAAATTGGGCGTGGCTCTGCCCCTGGGGGTCGGGACATTCACAAAAATCAAAAGTTGATGCCCTTAGTCTATAAGGAATACATATGCCAAGTACCAAGTTGATCCATTCAGAAATCTGGCCTGTAAACGATAAACATAAAAATTGGGCGTGGCTCTGCCCCTGGGGGTCGGGACATGCAGTTGTCGTCCTTAGGCTATAAGGAATACATATCCCAAGTTCAAAGACAATCCATTAAGAATCGTGGCCTGTAGGCAACTCACAGAGACACAAAGACAAAATGGGCGTTGCTCTGCCCCTGGGAGTTGGACAATCACCAAAAAACAACAGGGGGCATCCTTAGGGTGTAAGGAATAGGTATGCAAAGTTTCAAAAGGATCTGTTAAGAATTGCGGCCTGTAGGCGACACAAAAGGCACACAAATTTTGGCCGTGGCTCTGTCCCAGGGGGGCGGGCATCCACCAAAAATAATAGAGGTCAGCCTTAGGGTATAAGGAATAAGCATAAAAAAGTTTTCAAGATGATCGATTAAGCATTGCAGGCTGTAAGTGACATACAGACACACAAAAAGAAAATGGGCGTGGCTCTGTCCCTGGGGGGTGGGCATTCACCATAAACAATAGGGATGTTCCTTAGGATAGAAGGAGTAAGTATGCGAAGTTTCAAGGTGATACATTAAGAAATGCGGTCGGTAGATGACAAACAATGAATACAAGAAATGGGCGTGGCTCTGCCACTGGGGGTCGGGCATGCACCAAAAACAATAGGGATCATCCTTAGGCTACACAAAATAAATGTCTTGTTTCTCGGGCAACTGACAGCTGAAACTGTAGGGGGGGGGGGGGAGGGCGGTTTCTTTCTTTTTTTTTACCCCATTGCTGGCAAGAGGATGGTGCAAAATAAAATTTGGCTAATGTTGAAAATTGTTGGGGCAGGAGGGCGGCCTTGTATTTTTTTTTTTTTTTTTTTTTTTAATGAGAAAGTCATTACTTGTCTACGGTTTTGCTTTCAGTTATATATTATACATACTTAGAACATAAACCCAAAAGTCAAGTCTACTCAAACACTGAACACTGATTGAAAGGAAAATAATTTTCCATATTTAATTCACGTAATGTAGCTTACTATTAATACTAATGGTAATGGTGACAAACATAATTGAAATTGGTTTAAAATAAAAGTCAGTACGACTATTAATAGCCGTCCATAATAACGACAATATTTTAAAGAGTAAGCTTCTGTCACCATGTGTAGGGTGACCCACCATAAATAAATATCTCCAAATATCTCGACAATTACGCCACAATATTTATATATATGCCAAGCCTCAAATCAGTTTCACACAATTATAGTCACTAAATAAACGATCATGTTGTACTTAATAAGCTATGACCATTAATCATCTATAAATAATAGACTGAAAACTGGTTCCAAGTGTCGTCCATAACATCCAGACACCTTTTAGTAAAAGATAGGTTACGTGCCCTTGTTTTGAAATTAGTCTCGCTTAAACAGTCTATCGACCATTCTACATCTGATTGACAGGTCGGGATAATCAAGACTACATTTTACGAAACATAACAGAAAGCTAGAACAAGAAATTGAATTTAGAAATAAGCACTTTAGACAACTCAACAATTGTTTTAAGAAACTTGTAAAAGTAAAATGAAACTACTGCTAGTATCATGTTCTTGTCTAACCTGAGTGTTTCAGAGATATTATTTGTACTAAACCAAAAGATGCGGCTCTTAACGATACAGTTAATGATAAAGCAATTTAAAAAATAAAACAAACGTAATTTCTAAAGCTGCTGTAATAACCAAGAAGCTAAATTTTACTGCTATTCAAAATCGTCAACAATAGATTTTTTACGGCTGTAATAGTTGATATATTTGTAGAGAATTGCACGTGCCATGGCTATTTATCGACTCAAAGAGAGTGCGGGGTAGTCAGAAATCAGTTCGAGACACGCAACTGAAGCGTGCACATTTATCCGTGTCGAGACCAACTTTCTGTAGAGTGCACGTGTCACCCTACCATGTGTATCAAAAATAATCATCACGGTAAACGACACTTAGAACTAAATCTAGTATCGCTGGTTTATAATTATTGACCTAATTCCAACCAATGCATGTCACATGTCATCGGGATTCTGGAAATGACTGTTTCTCAGGATATTCGGCGTGTTTCTCATGATGTTGGGTGTTCTATCTAGGGTTTATATCGAATGACTATTTAAATTTAACTAACAACTGGTCAGTAAAACCATCAAATGTGTAATCCAATTATTATTTTCCGGATTATCAAAACTACCGTTAAATGTGCTAATGACCCAAATTCTGACTGAGGTATGGTGAGTATCATCGTGTCGTATTCGTAGCCACAAGTAATAATTAACCTGTTCTACGATTCATTGTTTTATCAGTAGGATTTTTCAAACATGGACCGACTGAAGCCGGCAATAATGAGCTGATTAATATCGAATGATTGAAATACATTGCATTGTTGTCAATGACTTTCGGTGTTGAACACGAATCAAATTCTAGTTCACCAGGGGAGGTAATTAAAATCATGTGATACAAAAATGGAGGTTCTTTCGATATCAATAAATGAAATGAAATGAAATGGGGTTTAACGTCCTACTGTTTTGCTCCGAACTGGGCTAATGAAGACGGGCATACGCCATACAGTGTGCTATGAGGGAAATTTTGCCCGGACAGCGGCACTACGGCCTACTCTTATATCGAATTCCACCTGTCAAGGGATCTTTTACGTGCACACCAATGTGTACACGGGACCTCGGTTTTTCGTCTCATCCGAATGATTAGACAGCTGTCCTTGTCAGTCCCTCCGTCCTGCATCACTGACAAGGGGAAACCACGCCGGAAAATCTGGATGAACTTTCTCGGCCAATGCAGGGATCGAACACCCGGCTAGCGAGCCACCGCCTTACCCACTTAGCCACCGTGATCCCCCAATATCAATAAAAAAGACCCGTAATTGAGCATTTACATCTGGATCAGTTTAATACATTTGAATGGATATACACGTATGACGCATATTCTTTTTATGACTTGATTATCGATGTTCGGGCGGGCAATACATATTTTTTATTTTTCATCAAGACTAATAAATAGGCCGCACACGCAACCAATTTTGCGTGCGGGTGGTGCCCGAGAAACAACTTATTTTATTTGTGTTGCCTTAGGGTATAAGGAATAACTATGTAAAGATTCAAGATGATCACTTAAGAATTGTGGCCTGTAGGCGACACAGAAACACAAAAAGAAAATGGGCGTGGCTCTGCCCCTGGGGGTTGGGTATGCACTCCAAACAATAGGGATGTTCCTTAGGGTACAAAGAATAAGTATGCAAAGTTTCAAAATGATACGTTAAGAAATGCGGTCTGTAGACGACAAACAAACAAATACAAAAATGGGTGTGGCTCTGCCCCTAGTGGTCGGGCATGCACCAAAAACAATAGGGATCATCCTTAGGGTATAAGGAATAAGTATACAAAGTCTGAAGAAAATCGAGTAAGAATTGCGCCCTATAGGCGCGACCCACATACATACATACACACACAAAGACAGGGGCGACGGCATAATACATCCACATTATGAATGTGGACGTATAAAAATGGATGTGGCCCAGTCCCTGGGTGTCGAGTATTTACCAAACACAATAGGCAACATCCTTAGGGTATAAGGAATAGGTATGCAAAGTTTCAAAAGGATCTGTTAGGAATTGCGGCCTGTAGGCAACACAAAGACACACTCAACAAGCGTTTGCCATGCAAGATATGTCCAAGAAATGGACAGAGAACAAGCTCAAAAAAAGAAGTGATTTTTCGTACAATCAAGGGCCATAATTCAGGAAGTTACAATCCGATTTGCATGAATATTGAAAGGAACCAAGATCTTTGGGTTATAAACATGTATTTCAAGTTTTATCAAAATCGGATCAAAATTGTGTCCTCTCAAGAGGGTCCAAAACCTTGATATACCATATATTTACAATATTTGCGTACAAGGGCCAGCCATTTTGTCCGGCAGTTTTGGTCCGATTTGTACGAAATTCGGACTCAACCATCATAAGGGTGTAACAGTGATATATTCAAACGTTTTTTATAAATTGGATAAAAATTGTGACATTGTACAATCAAGGGCCATAATTCAGGAAGTTATGATCCAATATGTGCGAATATCGAAAGGAACCAAGATCTTTGGGTTATAAACATGTAATTCAAGTTTCATCAAAATCGGATCAAAATTGTGACCTCTACAGTGTTCACAAGCTAAAAACGTGATTTTTTGTACAATCAAGAGCCATAATCCATGAAGTTACAGTCCGATACATGCCAATATCGAAAGGAACCGAGATCTTAGGGTGATAAACCTATATTTCAAGTTTCGTTGAAATCTGATAAAAATTGTGACCTATAGAGTGTTCACAAACAATTGTGGACGGACGGATCGGGGCGAAGACAATATACGTCCACATGAAAATGTGGGCGTATAAAAATTGTGACCTCTATAGGGTCCACAACCTTGATATACCATATTTTTACACTATTTGAGAACGAACGGCGGCCATTTTGTCTGTCAATATTGGGCTGATTTTCACGAAATTCGAACTCAGCCGTCCTTAGGGTGTAACGGTGATATAATGTTTTTTTTTAATCGTATAAAAATTATGACCTCTATAGGGTCCACAAGCTAAAAACACGATTTTTTGTACAAGCAGGGGCCATAATTCAGGAAGTTACAGTCCGATATGCGCGAATATCGAAAGGAACCGAGATCTTTTGGTTATAAACTTACATTTCAAGTTTCAACAAAATCGGATAAAAATTGTGACCTCTATAGGGTCCACAACCTTGATATACCATATTTTTATGCTATTTGAGAACGAACGGCGGCCATTTTGTCTGTCAATTTTGGGCCGATTTTCACGAAATTCAATATTAGTCATCCTGAGGGTGTAACGGTTATATAATAATACGGATTTTTAAATCGGATAAAAATTATGACCTCTATAGGGTCCACAAGCTAAAAACGTGATTTTTTGTACAATCAGGGGCCATAATTCAGTTACCGTCCGATATGCGCGAATATCGAAAGAAACCGAGATCTTTGGGTTATAAACTTACATTTCAAGTTTCAACAACATTGGATAAAATTGTGACCGCTATAGGGTCCACAAGCTAAAAATGTGATTTTTCGTACAAACAGGGGCCATAATCCATGAAGTTTCGATCCGATACATGCCAATATCCAAAGCAGACAAGATCTTTTGGAGATAAACCTATATTTCAAGTTTTGTCAAAATAGGATAAGAATTGTGACCTGTAGAGAGTCCACAAACAATTGTGGACGGACGTCCAGACATACGGACAGACAGGGGCGACGACAATATACGTCCACATGAAAATGTGGGCGTATAAAAACATGTAGAGTAATTACGGTGAACAGACAGAGGTGAAGGCACACATAGGACTGAAAGAAAAGATCTTGAAACTTTCACGACTCGGCAAATACAGCTGTTGCAGGTACATGTACATGTATGCGGTGAACTGGCAACTAATAAATTTTAATAGCTTGCACCAAATTTAACCCACCTCCCTCATTAATATAACTTACTAGAAGAAACTTCTGCCATATGTAAAAGCAATCTGTCTTGTAGAATGTTGTATTTTTGATCGAGGGCATCCATTAGATCAGACATGTTGATACTATTACGTGGCTTTAACGGTTGATTCCCCACATTCATAGCCAGATCTAATCCATCATCATATAACATGGCTTCTACACCTTGTCGGGTCCATCTGAAATAAGTCCAATTATATGAGAATGAGGGATCGTGGTTTACCCAATAAAAAGAGTTTCTGGGTGTATTTCATTGTGATGGGTGTCATACACTTTTCTGGGTATGCTTACTCTTTATAGCCTGATGCTATTTCAAATTTGTGAGTTCACATCCACATATCTTAGAATTTTTTATGGTACTTTTAGCAGGCGTTTGGTGGCCCAGTGCTTTAACACGGCACTTTAGATCATTAGGTACAATGTATGTCACTGAGTCAAGTGCTGTAGTTTAAATCCTAGGCTTGTACATGTACATTGTCAGTAACAGGAAGTCAGGTCACCTACCCATCTTAATGTTTTTTTTTCCAGTTTCCTTACACTGCTTAAGACCCCTGCGCACAATCAAAATAGTTTTTGTTGAGTGGATGTTAAACCCAATCTCTGTTTTTTATAGAATATACTCTTAGACTTTATACTGGGGAATTATAGTGAAATAAAGAAAATATTATGTCTCTTCAAAGGAAAGCGAAGATAATTATTTTCCTACAACATCTTGTAAGCAAACAACACAGATGATGACAACAGGTAGAAAACCTTTATAAAAAAAATACTGATTCTCACTTGTTCAGTTTTCTCTGGGCTTCTCGATTTATATCATTCCGATAATCTTCGTCATACGCATTGTCCTCCTGTAAAATATAAAACCCATGAAATAAGAAAAATATCACCAAAAGTAGCAACTTTGAAATAAGAACATTTCAGTAGAACATTTTTATATTAAAATGGATATGATTCATAATTATAAAAGTAGTGGCAGTGAAAAGTAGTGCCACTTATGACACCCTGCAGTCAAAAAAGTATTCAGACACACATACATGTAGCTCCATGTTTACCAGACTCTAAATCTACAAGATATAATATTTAATTGGTATCTTGTCCTCATGTTTGTCTTGTTGGCTTTGTTTGCATGTAGTGCAGTACTCCTGTTTTAAAATACCTACCTGGAAACTATTCCAGGACACATATTCTTGCCATTTAGATTCCTCGGTTAATTCTTTTAATCGTTTCTCTTCTGCGGATATTTCTTGGTCGGTACATGGAGGACCATCTGGTATTTCAGAGAGCCAAGATTTAATCTCATCGTAGTAGACATCACAGTTTGGATATTCCCGACAAGATAAAAACCTCTTCCAAGTATCCAATGAAAACTTCTCCCCGTGAAATTCTTGAAATAAGATGAAGGCATCTCGTAGCATTATCTTGCCATCGCCATTTGTATCTAAAGCTCGGAAGTCCCAGTAACACTGTTCTTGAAGAGTTCTCTGACGTTCGATCTCCAACAACACAATAATAAATAACTCACGTGACACTTTACCTGCGCTCGATACTCCACAGATCTGTTTTACAGTCGAGTTAATTTGAGATAATGGTATTGAACTAAAGTAGAGAGATTTGTGGAAATCATGGAGCTGATTGACTGTTAAATATCCTTGACAAGAAATGTCAATCTGATCAAAAACGGAATCATAATCTCTAATACTCATTTTTAACTTCTTCAAACTTTTTTCCTTTGATGTGAAATTTCTGGAAAACAAAATTAACGGATTATAGAAGAATATTTTAATAGGGTAAACATGTGATGTCCTCTCCATAAATAAAACCAGTTTTGATTTCATGCAAAAAAATATCCGCCATTAAAAACATCAGGGGACAGATTTACATATACGGTCGTGTTCACATAACAATGATTACAAAAATAAACTATGTACGATACATTTTATCAAACTAATAATCAAATGATCTTGAATATTTATTGACTTCCCATACAACATAATAAAATTTCTTTCAAATATTACACCTGGATAAACATTTACACAGTGGGAAATTGGATATGTTTTGGATATATGTATAAATAAACCCCATTTACACTTGGCTTAGAAAAAGTGTTCTGCAACAGGTCTGGCAATGGCCATGATAACATTCCAGATGTTTAAACACCTGTGCTCAAACTGTTTCATTTCAAACATTTGAACTGTACATAAACTACTAGAGTCTGTTTGAGCCTTGACACTGTACAGTATCAATATTACAAATTCAATAAATATGTCTTAAGTCATTAAAATTTGATGCAAACATTAATGAAATATGATACAAAATATATTATGGCGATTAGTCGAACTGTGAAAGAGACTCAATTCTGTGCGTCACTCTGGACATTCCATGATCGATAATCTAGACATTCCATGCTGCATGATCTGGACATTCCATGGCCGATAATTTACATTCCAAGATTGATAATTATTTCTAACACTCCTTTACGTATTACTATATATGTTAACTTTATGGACATTTCGTGGCTGATGTGTTGGCCTGTTGTTTTTTTTTTTTTAATTTCTGTTTGGATTAACTGTTTCTGCGGCAGACTTATGAAAGCAAACAGTATAATGTATATACTTTAACACACAGACAAATTTAATATAGAAAAAGAAAACATTGTGTATTATACAGCATCTATTTCGTCCATTAGTAATGGGACAATATCTATACAAGTAAATTGTTTTTGAAGGATTTGAGGCGAGTCATGCAGTTTGTTTTAATACTACTACTATAAAAATGTTTGGTTTTATAATTTTACTATATATCCATGAATACAATTACTTTATTGGCTTCATAATATCTATATAGACGTAATATTTTGTCTAAGGAAATCAACAATTTTAGTTTTGACCCACATTATTATGGCTGTTGTCACAGGTACATGAGGACAGGAGCGCCTTTCTTATGCCTATGATGATGCACCTATGTAACATGTGATTTTTTCAAAGATTTTGACATCGTTTTTTTTCTTCATATTTTTATTTTTTTTTAATCTTCTTTACTTTCTTTCTATTGTTGCTAAATCATTTTATACTATTTAATTCAAAATCGTGAATAAAATTGTCTTGCCTTACAAATCAGCCACTCGGTTCCTTTCGATATACATTCCATTCGATAAAAACACATATTTCAAATTTTTAAAAAAATGCAAAGTCAGTTTATTTGCCATAAATCACTCGAGATTTTTTACAATTCATCGACATCTTAGTAATAAGGGAGACAACTCTGTCAACTGGCCCGAATGAATCGGTATTACAAAAAGATAGGCTGAATGAAAGGTACTGGAAAATCACAGGTGCATACGGACTGGAATATTGTAAAAAATTGTGACAAAAACTACCTGTGGGTAAAATGGATGAATGTTAAAAAATTGGGTTTAATTTAGTATAAAATGGACACAACTTGATCATTTTTCATTCGGCCTACCTCTTCGTAATGCCGATTCAATTGGGCTAGTTGACAGAGTTGTCTCCCTTATTACCACTTCCGTTACTTCTACTTTTACATGTTCAAAATGTCGATGAATTGTAAAAATCTCGAGTGATTTATGGCAAATAAACTGACTTAGCATTTTTAAAAAAATTTGAAATATGTGTTTTTATCGAATGGAATATATATCGAAAGGAACCGAGTGGCTGATTTGTAAGGCAAGACAATATCATTCACGATTTTGAATTAAATAGTGACAGGAGTACCTCACGGAGAAAAAAATATCAACTGAAAAGTGTCTTACCTTTCTCTTTTATTATATAGGCCTACATCAGAAGGTATTTTTTTTTAATACGATCGATGTTTGATAGTAAATATTATATGACTTAGCAACAAATAGGAAGAAAAGTAAAGAAGATTAAAATTGGGACATTTTGGGACATAAAAATTGACACAAGTGGGCCGCAACTCATATAATACTGTAATATGAATGTATATAAACTGATATACATTCAATGGTTTCCGTATTTACTCTAATTTCAAATCAGTTATGTTCCGCGAAATAAGCCAGCAGTCTCATTCGAATTCAAATTTCTAGCGCCTGGTTATTCCAGTCTACATACGCCGTTTGGTTTGATGCAATATGTCTAGCCTCGTTCCTCGAGTCTCTTGCTAGAAATGGGGCTGAAACGCATTATGGTACACGATTCGTGTACCAATGGTAAAATGTTTATTTTGTCTTAAATATTGGATATCAGAAGCCCATCTTTTTCCGGTAAGATCACAGCATCAATGTTGATTTAAATTGACAAATAATTTGTGTTTTCAATGTTGAAGATTTTGGATGATATTGTCATTATTGAGTTAGAGACTTAGCTACTTTAAAATATGAAGAAAAAAAACGATGTAAAAATCTTTGAAAAAATCACATGTGTATTGTGACATAGGTGCGGCATAGGCATAAGAAAGGCGCCCCTGTCCTCATGTACCTGTTGTTACAAAAGTGAATTTTGACCGTTACGGATACGGTTTATGACCGTTATGTCCACAAAGCGCACCTGTAAAAACGTGTGTTGCTGAATTGAAGTGGTCGACTCGTCCGTGAAAATGTATTCACTTCCTACCTGCGAATGTAAAAAATTCTTACGTACAATATGATTTGTCAAGAGTAAGAGGACTTATTACCGAGCCTATTGTCAAGCGGAATTGGTATGTACTTGTATTTCATAAAGACATCAAAAATTTATCATCTTTCGCAGCCATATTGTTTATTCTTGTAGAGAACGAGACTTGATTGTCAAGACGCTGGCAAATTTCGATTTCAATTTTACGCAACTTCCAAGAATATCAATTAAATGAACGAACTGGCAACCGTTTCCGATAAGTAAAACCAAGTCAAAGATACGAATAATAATTAACATTCTAGCATAGTATTCCATAACGGTAATGAAATATTAACTTTCGGTTGTAATACGGTTCCGCGGAAACAAAAGAGGAATCATGCAAATAAATACATTTCTTAGCGGCTTTCTACACCGCTCTTTGATTTGGTCTGTGCTGATCAAGTCTATAACGAGATCGAAATCTCTGACGTCACTGGCAAATTCACTTCACGGATGTTGTCATCTGTTGCATTGTGGGAACGAGCACATGGCCATAGTCGTGTGTTGAAGTTTTAATCAGATCGTCTAATTTATTGTCAATTAACTAAATAATAAACCAAAATGGCTAACAGTAAATTCCACAGTATGTTTATTTTTGGTTTCTTATTAAGATTTTTTCATAAATAGAACCGTAGATAGAGACATTAGATGAATAGATGAATTCGCATTCCTCAAAGTTTCACTCTTTTTCATTTATCATTTATTTTATTATGCCATGGTAGTATTATAAGTATAACCGTACGGTAGTTTACAACGATAACACATTCCGTCGTTGGAAATGGAATATGAATAGTTGATTGTTTGTGGTTTGTCCAATTGGAAAAAGCACACTGTAATTGTTTCATGTAGAAATGACAGCACTGCACAGACCATGTACTAATCCCAGTCATTTGCATATACCTGTGGCTGTGCATGATTTTTAAATCTGTAACTCAACAACAGTCATTTTATGTTTAAAATTGTTCTAATCAAATTATCTGTAGAGGTAATATGACAAATCACACCACTTACATGACAACTCACCACAATGTCGATGCACCACTGCACTGACATGACAACTCACCAAACAATTATATATAGTATATAGACATGTCCATAAGTCATTTGTCGGATTTGTAGTGAGTTGTATTCACATAGATAGGTTACAATAGATATTGACAACTAATGTCCACCAGTTCATTATTCTAATTTTATAACCTAGCTATTGCAATATAATAATATAAGATTGAATTTATTTATTTCAGGAAAAAAGAGTAAAGTACGCTCACTGCGTATGGAAGTGAAGGTTAAGAAGAAGGTCAAGGAACACAAGAAAAAATTGAAGAAAGCAGCAAAAAAAAATCCACAGTTTAAAAAAGGTACAAATGTGGCCAGGGTGTCTTTACCATTTATTTAAAAAAAATAATTTCAGTGGTAAATTTACTGGTGAAAGAAATAATAAAAAAACCCCGGTTTTTGGCAATGATCACATTTCTGTTTGAGAATCTGAAAGCATCAACACAAAACAATGGGTCTTTCATCAGCACTGATATGTTCAGTTGTAAGTAAACATATTCCTTACATTACTGCTTTATCAAAACCTACCTTCATTTGTAAGCTTATTAATACTTCTTTTAAAAGGTAAAAGAGATCCCGGAATACCTAATTCTTTACCAGATAAAGAACTTATTTTACAAGAAGCAGAGAAAAGAAAACATGAGGTAAGATGATAACTTGTTTTACACCAATTAAACAGGCATTATGCAAGAGCTAAATCTGCCTATTGCAGGTCTTTCTTTAGGCCATAAATGTTATTATTAATTAAACATTAACATGACAGGACCATAATCAACACTTGATGCCATTGGATGGCTCCAATTTTTAGTAGATTATAACGGTGTAGCCATTTAATGATTTAATTTAAAAAGGGAATATCAAGACAATCGAGCCACACTGTTCTTCTAACGGCGATAACAACTTGTCTCAGGGTGAAGTAAACTGACTGGAATTTTCAACATATTCCCTTTTAATTATCTATTTATTTACTATTATAGTGAGAACTGTCAGCTCTTTATCTAATCTTACATGATTCCCCTTTAATATTTCCAATGAGATTCCTTAGAAATTGTAATTTGCATGAAATTGTAAGTAGAGCAGTTTAGTTTCAGGTTAGGTCTGTGTGGGTTGATTTGTTGTATTATTGATAAAAATAATCATGTCGCTCTTGTTGGTAACAGGATATTAATTCTTTCTTTATGATTTTATTATTTTAATAAATAGTTAATGCTTTAATTTAGTGCCATATATACAAATTTTACAGGCTGCACAAGAAAGAGAACGTCAAAAAGAACTACGAAAAAAAGAAAGAGAGAAGTTACGAAACAAGAAAAGAAATTTAGACAGCTTTGTTCAAGATGCACTTAAAAAACAGAAAGCTTATGAAAAGAAAAAATCAGTTTCTGATAAAGAAAATTCCCTGTCACAGACGGGTGGAAAACCAATAGAAAACTCCTTAAAATCATTTTATAAAGAATTCAGAAAGGTAGGATTAAAATTTGTACTGAAACATAGCACTTCTTTTCATCTTTCAAAAATTAAGTGTTTTCGATAAAACTTGTTTATTCTATGTGGAAACCTAAGACTACTTCTGTGAAACTGTTGGAAGCTCGTTAAGCATGATGATACATCTCCAAAGAAATTTTTTGTAAACATTTAACATTTTAAAGGAGCTAAATTGCTAATATTTGGCATCTAGAAATTGACACAAATGGGTCGCAACGCATATAATATTGTGTTATGAATGTATATAAACCGATTTACATTCAATCGTTTCAGTTTTTACTCTAATTTCAAATTATTTTAGAAATCTCCATCGAATGACAAAATCTAGCATCTAGTTATCCTAGTCTGTGCCAGAAGTATTTATCTCCAGAAAAGAATATGGGTCACCGTTTGACATGACTTGGGGAATATGTCTAGCCTCGTTCTTCGAGTCCCTTGTTACACATGGCGCTGAAGCACATTATGGTACATGATTCGTGTACCAATAGTAAAATGTTTATTTTGTCTTAAACATTGGATATCAGAAGCCCATCCTTTCTCTGTAAGATCACCACATCAATGTTGATTTAAATTGACAAATAATTCGTGTTTTCAATGTCGAAGACTTTATATTATATTGAGTTAGAGACTTATCTACTTTAAATCCTAATGTTCAGATCAATTTCTTAGGATTTTAAGCTCAAATCTAAAGAAAATGTTGTATCCGTAAAAGGTTTTATTATGATTGACCTATGTTTATATTTTGACTAGGTTATAGATCAAGCTGATGTGATATTAGAAGTTTTAGATGCTAGAGATCCATTGGGTAGTCGTTGTCAGGAAGTGGAACAAGCTGTACTCTCAGCTGGAACAAACAAAAAACTTGTCTTATTATTAAATAAAATAGGTAAAGTAACATTACATTTTCCCCATTAGCTCTAGAGACATCTATAGCACCCCAGAGCTTCATATTAGAGCTGAAGTTAGTGTCAAAGTTGGCCCACATTAAAACAAAGTAGACCCCAAATATTATTAGATTGATGTTGTCTAGATCAATTTGGATAAAAGTGAAGTTAAAACTTGCAAATTTAGTTTTATAAAGTTAATTTATACCGGTGTAAATGTTTTTGAAATAGATTTGGTACCAAAAGAGAATGTGGAAGCTTGGTTGAAATATTTAAGAAATGAATTTCCTACCATAGCTTTTAAAGCATCTACACAATCACAGTCAGAAAACTTGGTAAGTTCGATATTAATACTTTATTCTGATTGCTTAAAATCTGCCAATCGAATCATGATTAACCGATTGCTGGTAAGATAGATCTTGATAAAAAAAAGTGAAGGCTGAGAAAAAAACTTATACATATGTATTTCTGGGAAGTTGTGTCTGTATTGCTCTTGGTGCCACAGGGAAAATGTTTCCCCCTTTTAATACCTTTTAACATCATAGATCATAGAACTAGTGTAGAAATTCAGTGTTCTAAAACAACCCCTCACTGTCAGAAAGAAATCCAACTTGAAAGAGCTATACCTGTTTGAATTGTCATTTTAGTGGAATTAACATTTGCTAAGTTTTCAGGTAAATTTGACATATTTTGTACAATTACATGTGTTATATTTATCTTGAATGCAGTCATCCATTCATTCATCCATTTTTTTCAGTCTCATTCTAAGTTAGACTTGAGTAAAATAAGTGATGAATTGTACAGATCCAGTCATTGTCTTGGAGCAGAGATGTTGATGAATTTATTAAGAAATTATTGTCGCAACCAAGGATTTAAAATGGCTATTAGAGTTGGTGTTGTAGGTAAGATTATAGTCAAATCAAATTAGAGAACTGGGCTAGAAATGGGGTTTTACATAATACTATTCTGTTCCAACCAGGATTATGAAGACAGGCATATGACACGATGTCATGTCTACTCTCCTTCGAATTCCAATTGTCCATTATGCGAAATACGAACAGGTATACAAGGCCTAGCTCGTCTTGCATCACTGACAAAGGGAACCCAGTCTGGAAGCATGACGAATGTTATTAGAAAATCATGTGATAATGAAAATGTTACATAGCTAATTTTCTTTACTCAGAAAATTCCAGGAGTGTTTGATAATATAAAATGAATCAGTTGTAAAAATGAAAGTAGAAAAAATTCGACATACTTCCTATTACAGCCGACTTCTAGGGATACACATGTGTAAAAAGCTGTGATATGCATAATTGAGAACATAATATGAAACAAATGAGAATGTAATTGAGAATGTAATTTCAATGTTTTTATTTATTTAACAGGATTTCCTAACACTGGTAAAAGTAGTATTATCAACAGTTTAAAAAGATCAAAGACCTGTAATGTTGGTGCTACACCTGGTGTTACAAGGTAATATTTATATACTATGATCACTGGAATCTTGTCTTATTTTCCTACTCGTGTCAAGTGCGGGGGAGGAGGCATGGTAGTTTTGTGGTTGGCACATTATCAATTAAAATAACTGACTGGTAGATTCAAAGTGTATTGTAATTTAGTTTGTTTATGCATTTACTCATAAGCAGACATTTAATATGCATATTTTAATTAGGGTAGGTAGATTTGTTTATGAATGTATAAGTTTACTGTTATAGTAAAATGATGAGCAACTTTAAGTTTCTGAGAATCTGATCATCAGTGTGTGTATATATATATATATGTGTGTGTGTACATTTGTAAATGCTGTGTGAGTGAGTGGAGCTGGTTAATATCGTATATATCCTATTGCAACTCGGCCAGTAGGGTGCTCTTAAGGCTGACTGGATAGAATGTGCGTCTTCCACACTGATCTCGGAAGAAGCTATACACAAATAATTATTTAAACAATCTTCTTACATTTAATGATTCTGTTTAACGTGTGTATATGAATGTATATTATTATATTGTAGAACGATGCAGGAGATACAGTTAGATAAACATATTAAATTATTAGATAGTCCTGGTGTTGTTATGGCAACTGGTAAATCTGATGTTGCACAGATTCTACGTAATGTAGTCAAGGTATATTGTATATTTGATCCTAAGTATTTAATTTAGAGTATAACAAAATGAAACATTGTTAGGAGAGGCTGGCTAGACAGGATTAGCTAAATTTAAAAGTTTATAAAATTTTAAAAATATATTCAATTGGCATCCATTGTGTATACACTGTCAAGGGTCATACAGAAATTTACATACATCTACGATTGGTTGAGAGGAGAAATGGCCTGACTTTGTGTTCGAAATATGCAGAATGCAATGTTAACTGTATGCAACATTTCCCATAGGTCATTGCATGATGAATGCAACAGTCAAAAGATGGTATTTTGTCCAGACCAATATTGGAGAGATGGAGTGATCAAGAGTACCCCCTTTTGCTATAATTGTGAAAACTTTTAATGAAAAATTGTTTTTCCCCAGATTGAAACGTTACCAGATCCTATAGAAGCTGTTGATGCTATTGTTAAACGATGTAATAAAGAACAGTTGATGTTACATTATTCTGTTGTTGATTATAAAGATGTCCGAGAGTTTCTAGCTCTATTAGCTACACGTCTGGGTAAACTCAATAAAGGTGGTATACCAAATATTAATAAAGCTGCTAGAATAGTTTTACAAGATTGGGTCAGGTGAGTTTACCACAAGTTGTATATTATTGCATGTACTTCTGGGCTCTTGATTCAATATGTTGCCAGTCGGTCAATGTTTCAGTTATTTGGTTTATGATAGCCATAACGATAATATGACAATTTTTAGCATTATCTCAATTTATAAATTAATTTTTAAGTCGTTTTACACATAAAAAAACTGTATTTAGTGTGTTTTTTGGAATATCTGATTTTATAGCATGTAAAATGACTGAGTGAAATTCTCCACCAGTACAGTTTCAGTGCCAGTAAGTCTAGACTGCTAAATATGATTGATATGAGAGCCTTTATGTACTTCTGTTATTGTTTCTAGTGGATCAATACCAAGAGTCCTGTCTCCATATATGGTCATATATTGTTGTCAGACTTGCCTGTTGTCTATAGACCAGAATTTTTGAAATACTCTTTTACTGATAATTGATGGGGAGAGAGGGAAATGGGGTTTAACATCCACTCGTCTCAAACTAGGTCATTTTGGGACTAACACATGTTTCAATTTTATTCCAATAATTCGCTTGCGCGTAGGGGTCTTTAACAGTGGGAGGAAACCGGAGGACCCAGAGAAAACCCACAAGGTTGGACAGGCGACCCTAGTCCTTGGCACATACAACCGGGGAATCGAAACCACGCCAGTTGATTTAATGACAGACTTTATGATACAGCTTGCATGTCCTAACCATTCGGCCATCCACCCCCACTCCGAGAATTGATGGTGTCTTCTAACTGATCATTTCAATATAGGAAACCCCCTTATTAAAGGTTATTGATCAAATATTACAATTTTCATTTGGATGAGTAAGAAAATGCTGACCATGTCTTAAAATCAATAAATTGTATATTTTGAAAACATATAATCTATTTTAAAATGTATATGAATGTATGATTTGTTTATTTTTAGTGGTAAGATAACATATTTCACTCATCCACCAGAACAGCGTAGTTTACCATCATATGTCAGTGCTGAGATTGTTACAAGTATGTCCGAGGCGTTTAATGTAGATAGTCTTAAAGCCCAAGAATCTAGAGATTTAGACAGTAAGTATCTTTATGAGTCTATGTATTTAAAGAGAGACATGAGTGCTTTGCAGATCTTTACAGGTGGGTGGGTGTCTTCTTTGAGTGACATTTAACAATTGACATACGTGATAAACACAAAAACATAATATGGAACACAATTACTATTTTATTTAAAGTGACGTTTCGTAAAGGTCGCTTTAATTCAAATAGTAATTGTGTTCCATATTATGTTTTTGTGTTTATTAGGTGGGTGTTTACAAAAGCGATTTTTGATTTGACAAAAAGTCAAAACTGTTGCATGGTATGTTTAGGCATACTCTTTCTAGAACATCTGATAACACCCCTGACAGTTTTAATTGTACTTTTATATCCCACTATAGAACTCAATTGCAGGGTAACTCCCAAGGATGTGAAAATCAAAATAGATATAATTTTATTCTTGACACCTTGCTCATCACCAGAAAAATAAAGTTTCATTCAGTTAATTTTATCTTGAATTTTAACTTTGTAAAATCCTCTACTTACAGCATTAAAGGGTCAGTCGTGTCAACATATGTTAGTCGAATCTGTTGGACCAATAAAAGCTATGATGGAAGAACCTGAATCAGAGGTGGAGATGTCAGATGATGATGATGATGATGGAGAAGATGAGGTAGATGATGAGGAAGTGGAAGCTATGGATGAAAAAGAAGACAACGCCGTGGAAGAAGATGGTGACAGTGAAGTAAGAGACAGATTTAGAAATTTTTAAATTGTTCTGGGTCATGTTTCACAAAGAAAACAACATTTGAACATTTTACAACTCTGTTGAACTTATATGTACCTAACTTTTGATGATTCGTCAATCAAACGGGCCCAGCTGTCAGCATAGACAAGTATACCCAAATCTCTGCTTTTCTCTATTTGCCAAGCTACCACACTATGTACAGTATGCCCTAAATGTCAACAGACCAAAACATTGGAACAATCATTTAATTCCTTTAAATCTAGCTTTCAGCAATTTCTTTATAAATTAACTTTTTTTGAAAAATCTATATCTGTTCACTGCTTACAAAAAACGGTTAGTTAATGGTAATGTAGCACTATAGAAGACAATTATTTTAACTGTTGTTGTTATATTATTTCAGTTATCCAAAGTAACAGTATCTCTACCAACTAGACCTAGATCATCTAGAGGTCAATCTAACAATGATGATGATGAAGGAAGAGATGTTATGGAGAATGTACAGTTAAATAAAGACAGACAGAAAGAATTTAAACAATTGAAGAAAAAGAGAAAAAGAGCTGGTAAGAATTTTTCTTAATTCACTGGACACATTTGATTAGTTTAATTAAATAAAAGGGCATGGTAAAAATATATTCAATAAAAAGTCATTCATTAATTAACTTGGTGTCTTTCTGAATGCGAGGGCCATAACATTTGAGTTCCCTGTCTCCAGAGTTAAAACTAATGTGTGGCTACCAAGAAAGATCAATAGAGCCATGCCAATTTTATCATTTTCTCTACTCTCCAAGCTTACTCTATTCTAAGCATCATTTTCCATTTGCTGTAACTTGTAGTAGATAGCAGCTACTTTCCAGGTTGTTATTCAAAATAAGAACTGGAGGGCTTCGAGCAGTCTAAAATGCACCTTTTAAAGCTAGCACTGTAGTTTTTGACGATAAGCTATGCCATTTTTTATTTGGAGTGATAAACTACACTTTAATCTCCAAAAAAATACCAGTTTTATTTACCAGCTATGTTCCAAAAGCATGATAATAATGGGTGCTGATGACAACAAAAGTCAAATTTTCTCAGTTATGCCTGCATTGATTTTCATCAACTTTGGCATAAACAATGCTAATTGCATGTTCAAAAAAGCTACAGGACAATTTTTGGCTAGGCTTTGGTTTGTCTGGTATCCATGGACATACAAAAAAACGATGAGTTTTCATGGAAATTCTATTAGTACATGCCCCCCCCCCCCTTCTGTGTTTAAGATTGGACAATATCTTGTATGTTAATTCATTTGTCTTCCTACATGACAGCTTTTTGACATTTTTTTTCTTTTAGATGCAATAGCTGGTAAATTATCTGATGCAATGAACTCAGCGTTAATGACAGAACCTGTAGATGAAGGTGATGACAGTGATGATAATTATAACTTTGATAAACATTTTAACTAGACGAAAAAATAAAAACAAAAGCTCTAAAGTGTGTTATGTTTTATTGTGGTACATTGTGGGCGTATTCAATACTGTTTTTCCTTGTTGTAGCTACGTTCTGGGAATCATTTGTGGATCATTGGCCTATCCTTGACTGCGATCAAAACCAGGGATAAATTATTCTACAGTTGCCACATTAATTCTTGTCAACTCTTATTTAGATCCTGCTTTTTTTATTTTTTTATCTCTTTTAAGGCACTGTGTTATTAATGTGCCGAGCGGGATTGGGTGGCCAAACACATGCTCTTTAGACTATAAGGTTTTAGGTTTATCATTGAGTCAAGTGATGTGGTTTCGATACCACACTTGTACGTGACATCTAACATAGAACCAAGTTATCTCATTCCAAAGCATCATCCTATTGATGTATAATATACATGTATGTGTACTTTGGACACGGGCTGACATCACTCGAAAACAATTTTTCTTTAAGAGGATGTAAAATGGAAACAATTTATATGGGTCTGTACATTTCCTCATTGCACTTTAATTTCAAATCAAAATTCAGGAAAAGTCTGATAAAAAAAATTCCCAATTTTATTTCATAAATATATCATTTTCATTGCAACAAATCCCACATTAAATATAAATCAAATATACATATGAACAATTTGAGGCACGTTTCTCAAAAAATTAAACTTAAGGTTCTTGTCTACGAGAAATTCCTATACTTGCCATACCAAGCTGGTCAACCATGGCTCAAATGTGTCGTTAACTTTAGTACTGCTAGATGTGGGATAAAGATCTCTGTGCAATTTCCAGCATTGGTTAATGGAGCTAATCAACTACAGAGCATGGGTAACTAGTGTGAAATATTGAGAGAAAGGCCCCCAGATTTTTTCAGCAGTTTTTAATTGATAGTTTTGAAAGCAAATGTTCCGAAAAAAATATGGATAGAGTTATGGATATTCAATCTCTGTATTGACAGAAAGTACAATAACAAATGGGAAAATATTGGAAATGCTAACTGTAAATACATTAATGAGTAATAATCGATATATGGTGAATGATAAAATTTAACTAAAACAAGGAAAATGAAATGATAAAATAACATCAGACTTTTAAGCAGATTATTAGTTAGCCTTTTAGTTCTCAAAATTAATGCATGATCATTATTGTGCAAGAAATCTTAAAGGACAAAACCAGTATCTATAGATTTTACATACGTAGTGATTAAAATGATTAGACACATTCAAAATTCTTTGGTGTTTATATTGCATAACATAGATACTTCTTGATATGGGTGTCAGGTCACCATCGTCATACTTATCTCAAAGTAAATAATCAAGATAATATGTGTTAAATACCAAACGGCTTCTTTCATTAAGTAAGTACAATTAGCTGAAACAATTATTAGGTATGGGCCATGGGGGCGCTTATTTTTAATGACATAAATTCTCATCTGCATCACAAAAGTCAGCTTAGCATGTATTATATCTCTGAGCAAAATGATGTATCTAAGTACTGTAAATGCCCTACTTGTTATCAGAAGATCATCGACAAATGACTGGATAGAACAGTCAATATCGAGAACATAATAAACATTTCCTTTACAAAACTTTATGTTTTTTTTAGCAATATCCCAGAATACACATACATAATAAATTCTCAAAATAGAAATGCAACAAAATAGAAATGCAACAATAAGATTCTATAAGAATTTCGTTGTATAACACAAAATAAGTGTAGGTTTCTTTGGGGAATTATATTTTCATTTCTGCTTTGATGCACATCAGCATTAAATATTAAAGCTCAAATTTTGCAGACTAAAAAACCACAATACAAAGTAACTTTACTGTAAAGCAAATGGGTCCATAAATTATTTAAATTGATCAATCGTTACGTAGGTTATGGCAATTTAAAGTTTGCATTACTTTCTTTTGACTGCGTGTTCAAAGCAAGTTACCTCCCCTTAGTCTCCAGTGGTAATGTCACAAGTTTTTGTCAATGAGAAATGAATAATTATCTTGGATGACAATACCGGTATAACAAGTCGACTTAAGGGAAACATTTCTTGTAGCTCAATTAATGGTGACTTCGTTAGTTCAACAGCTTGCCTATAAAATGTGCAAAACTAAATATATTCTTCTATTAGTGACAATTTCTTAGCGTTTTCTTTATTAGCGAATACAACTATTGTGAATTTTTATCCTGTAATTAAAGCTAGATCTAACTCTAATATACACAGCTATCCCAACAAAGATGGTGAACTTCTATTACCATATGCACCACCATAGGGAAATACATCGATCAGCACATCTATGCTTTTAAAATTTAAAATATTCCAATTTAATTTTACCTTCTGCACTTTCAATTGAAATCACTTTAGGTTTAAAATTCACTGGTAACTTTTTTGAAAGCAGAAATCCAGAAACAAACTGTGACATGGCACCATTTCATTGATTCACGTTTGTTCATGGCAATTTGAAAGTGCATATTATGCTCCATTTGGCCTACTGGTAATAGAAGTTCACACATCATTGATACATAATAAACATACATCCCATAAAATCACAAATAAAAACAAACAATAACAATAAATTTTGGTCCCCAATAATACATAATGTAAAAAAAACAACAAAACAATACATGTGCAGTTTGTGATATTCAATGTTTTATCAGTGAATGATTCAATTCATCCTCTAAGTTAAAACTAAGTTAGAATTGGATCATTTCACTGCGTTTTTTTTTTTAAAATCCAGGATTTAAAGAGGAGCAAAAGCTGAATTATTAATGAACAGATGCAAATGATTTTTATTTCGAGGAGAAATAAAAAAAATACTGAAAAATAAGAAATTAATGCGATTATACCCACCACATGCAAGGTAGGAGAATTTTGCCGACAACTGTCAAGGGTTTCTTTACATACAGGCCAATGTGTACATAGATGGGCCTTAGTTTTCCATCCCATACCAACGACTAGGCACACTTTCCTGTAGTGTAATCACCATTCATGACAAGTGAAACGGCACCAGGTTTAAAAAATCCTAAAGATTTTAAACCGACACATTCTAGGTTAGAGCCCAGTGCCCTGATTGCTCGACAACCATGATTCCCTGATATAGAAATAACAGAAGACTAGTTTAGAGCCCAGTTCCCTGACCACTCATCTACCATAGTCCCGTTATACTGATAATAACAGAAAGGCTAACTGAATTTAACATGACTAGTGTCGATAGTTGCTTTTTTCACATTAAGTTTTGCTCGCATTAATTTCTTGTTTTACAGTAGTCATAAAATTTTATAAGCAAATGTTATAAGGAACAAAAGTAGACATTTTTTTTCCCAGGATATTCCCACTTTAAATCTGCATCATCCAAAGAATTTGTTCATTGACAAGTTTAAACAGTCAGCAAAAAAAATCATTTAAATATTAAATATACGTTGCTATAGATCTTGACTCCTTGATGTGATTACATGATAATTTGTGGATCAGGAACAGATTGTGAGATTGATTTATGAGGTAAAATACGTCCACCATTGATATAAAGTTCATCTTTAACAATAACATCTTCACCTAATACAGATACATTCTCCATTCTTACCTACAAATAGAATAACATTACATTTAGGTCATTATTTAAAATAATACATAGTAAATAAACATGATAAATTTGAAAGTGGGCTTTAATGTCCATTCATTGTAACTAGTTTATTTCTGGACTAACATTCTTTATTTTAATAATTCATTAAATGCCTACTGTCTATGCCTTTTAGCAGTGAAAAAAATCTGAGGGAAAACTCATCAAAAATTGTCCCTGGTTTGTCAAACAGTAAGGGCACATAACTTTTCTACTAAAATGTCTCTGGAACCTTGGGATGTTTACTGGTCTACCCGTGTACACACATGAGTGATTGGGGTGTTTACTGGTCTACCTGTGTACACACTGGAGTGCTTTGGGTGTTTTAACTGGTCTACCTGTGTACACACAGGACTGATTGGGATGTTTATTGGTCTACCTGTGTACAGACAGGAAAGACCCCTTGACAGTTGGAATTAAACAAAGAGTAGGCAGACATGCCACTGTCCAACAAAAATCTAGTCAATGATTAAATCAGTGTCTTACACTCTGATGATAGTTCACACCTGTATGAACTGTATACTGAACAGCCAAGCAGCCACATACCATGTACACAATTGCAACTACAGGTATTTTGTCCAGAATAAAATTCATTGATAATGAAGCAGAGTCAAATTTGGCTGGAAGTGTAGTTGGGAGAGGAGGGGTTCGATATGAAATCCTTCAAGCATAAGCAGTCAACTATATTCCTGGCCGGAAAACAGATTTTGAAGTAAAAAACGTTTAATACGGCCAATAATACTTACCCAGTTACCAACAGTACATCTCCACCCTATAATACATGATTCTAACCAGGAATGTGATTTAATATGAGCACCACGTAATACAGTACAACGTTTAATACAGACACCATCTTCTATAACAACATCAGGTCCTATAGTAACATTAGGTCCTATACGACAATTACTTCCAATCTTAGCACTAGAATCCTGTAAACAAATATACATAGTAACATTAGGTCCTATACGACAGTTACTACCAATCTTAGCACTTAAATCCTGTAAACAAATATACATAGCAACATTAGGTCCTAACCAACAATTACACCTTAAACATATCAAGATGGTGATCTGTCAACCTTATTAGTTCTATGCATACTTGGATTCTTGTAAAAAAAAAACTATAATGGCCCCTAAAATAAGAGCTTTTACTTACTATTAAAACATTTCCTACAATTCCTGATCCAGCTTCATGTAATAAGGAGGGATTTTTCTGTTTAACAGAATTTAAATATAAACACATTCCTGTTAAAAAGTCTTTTGGCTGACCAACATCCATCCAAAACCCTACAAAAATCGAAAGTCACATTTAAATATGTTACATTACAGCAAGGCATTTGAAAATGTTAAAAGTTCCATCAACACGATGCGAGACATGTCAAGTATTAAGAGTGGAAACCACAAACCCAGCACAATTGGAAAACATCCAGTGACGGTCTGGAGTATAAATCTTGACTATGAATGGGGAGAAGCGAAGAAAGTAGCCTTCGACTGTACTTGATATAAATCTACTTTAAAGGTTCTATGTTTAACTGGGAGCAGAAAAGACACCAGAGGAAGTGCATGATACTTAAGACGACTAAGCTAGGACAGTGCAATGCTCATCCTTTTCTTTAAATCAGCAGGGTTGGATGGCCGAATGGTTAGTGCGTGCGCGTTGTATCATAAAGTCTGTCATTGAGTCAACTGGCGTGGTTTTGATTCCCTGGTTGTACATGACAAGGAGTAAGGTCGCCTGTCTAACCTCGTGGGTTTTCTCCGGAGCCTTCGGTTTCCTCCCACTGCTAAAGACCCCTACGCGCAAGCGAATTATAGAAATAAAATTGAACCATGTTAGTTCCAAAATGACCTAGTTTGTGTCGAGTGGACATTAAACCCCATATCTCTCTCGTTTTCTTTAAATCAAATGTTTATTGATCAGGGATAAATGGGCAGGCTTTTGTAAAGCTCCACCTACCTATAACACATACTTGTGTTGGTAAGGGTATTAACATCCAGATGTGTGCCAGCACCTTTCTACTACATACAAAGTGGTCATATAATAAGATTAGGTGATATCCACCACATTAAATAATAACATAAAAACTTGACCAAATACCCTTTAACTCCATAGCAAATAGTTGAACATCCGCTGCCATTACTGGAAATATTTCTTTTTCTATAGATGTTGGTTTTAACTGAAATTGATCATTCAAAACATCAATCCATTGATCTATGATATTACAATCTTTTCTTTCTTACATTAATAATTTTATCCAAAGAAATGACATTTATAGATCAATTTGGGACAATTTTTAACAAATGATTAAATTGTACGAATAAATCATCATTACAGTTATAATATCTTTGCAAAAAATTCAACACGCTGGCCAGTGCTCCCAGTATTAGTGGGTGTAGCATGTCTGTTGAACTACAGAGTTACATTGCTTTCGAATCCAAATAAACTCTTTGTATTTCATTACCAAATTCAAGGTTCTGGTCAATGTCTAATAAGCAAATTTTACCCAGCTTCAATTGAACTAGGAAGAAAATGTTTCTTGTGCTGTTAAAGAGTTAAAATGACGCTGATAGTATGTATTTTGAGCATGTGTGAATATTTACCTCTATTCTGTTTAATATCGATGTGTTAAATATATATAAACCAGCGTTTATTTTATTAGAGACATATTCCTGAGGTTTCTCTACAAACTGTTTGATCTGACCATTTTCTACATCGTACACTACCACACCATATTTAGAAGGTTCTTCTACTTTTGTCACCTGATAAAATACAAGAAATAAAAATATAAATTTGTTCCTTGGATTAATATAATCATGAATTGACAATTGTTGGAGGACCAAATACAGAAATGATCAATCAGGAGTCATTCTACATGACATGGGCTTCTAACCTTGTTGCCACAAGGGCTGTTTAAGCAGGGCTCACACTGGCTTTCATTTTTTTCCGCCAAAATGGGTGATAATTTTTATTTAAAAAAAATGTTCATACTTTTTTCGGCCAACTGGAATATTTTATCTGCCAAAAATGTGTGATAACAAAGACAACATCTAACAATTTTATGCCACAGCTAGGTTGATTATAAAAGAATTACCGATATATACAATGCAATATACAGCAACCTTAAAAATCCGTCTTTACATAATAGGTTAGCAAAGTTTGGATTTATTAAGATCAGATTTTATTTTTGGTGACCTTAGCCTATTTGAACATACTGCACCATATATTTTCAGTATTTACATGTCAAATCTCATCTAAGGATTGCCAATTTTCCAAAGATTTATGTGTTGGTTTACAATAGGCCTATTGTTATTTTCAGGTACCGTAAAGGTATTAGAATCTGAATCCCTGATAGAAAGATATAAATGTCAATTATATTTGTAAGAACGCTTAGAATTATACCCGTCGTTCACTTTTAAAGCCTTTTTGCGACGGTAATATGATACAAATGACGAACTGTTTTCTCGCTCAAGAATCGCCACTATTCAACTCGTTCTTACGTTTTCGACCAGTGGCGATAATATAATTTGAAATAATGATATCCGATAGGCATGCTTGTATATTTTACATGCCGTATATGAAGCCACAGTAAACGGAATTCAGGTATCAAAATATTTAATTCTCTTCGAAAGAAACTGTCAGCCATTTTGATTACGTGTACAATGTATTGCCATTTGTTTTTAAGACAAAACGAAACATCAAATAATCACCGCTTGGATTAATCATTAGGAGTAAATAATGACTTGAGATAGGCTTTATAGATATCTTTGGCAATTATCAATCAACTAATCATTAATCCAAGGCAACTGATTAGTATTACTCACTGACGCAATCCGGATTATCAGCCAGTTAATTAATTTATAGTATCCCGCCATGTGATTGACACATGGTAAATCCAGGATAAATCCGATTCGAATTTTAAGATTTTTTTCCGCCAATTCTCAAAAAGAATCGCCAGAACTGCCAAACATTATCGCCAAAATCAAATTTTAATCGCCACTTTCATATTTTTATCGCCAATTGCGACTTTGGCGACCGACAGTGTGAGCCCTGTGTTTAAGTATGGTGCTACTGGAGATATGTGATCTGGCTGCGATGGTGTGTTCCAGTAGGGGCAAGTAGACTTGTTGCCTTGGGGCTTCTTTTATTTTTGTATCTATTTTCTTACCAAGACATTAGCATAAAAATAGAAAATGTGGGAATTGGCCATAAACAAATCATATCAACAATAAAATTCACCTACCATTATTGTACCTTCTTTACCATGATGTTTATGAAACTGTATCATATCTTTAAAGGGGAATTCACAGATAACGTCACTATTTAAAACAAAGAATGGATCTGTATCTTGACTTAATAAATCACGAGCGAAGGCTAGAGGACCAGCTGAAATAAATAAGAGAAAAACTTTGGTAATATGTCTACAGCTCTGGTTAAAAGAAAGACAAGTCACAGTTGGTTATTTCCCATTTTCTGTTTATCCGTAAAACTGATCAGAAATACACAATATTTGCTTTCTCCTGATTTTCAAAGTCAGTTGCAGGATTTTTTACCCTTCCAAAATTAAAGTGTTGTGAACATTGAATCTCTAAGAGGAATATCAATCCAAAACTGGTTTCATTTTCATTCGGTATTACACAGATATAATGACTAGTTGCAAAACAGGATAATTTAGTTATGTTCTTTAATATCTATACAATCCTACCTGTTCCTAGAGCTTCTGGTTCTACAGACAGTGTTATCTTTATTTTTAACTGAAAAGACAATAAATTAATATCATTAATATTTTTCATATTGATTTATAAAATTATTAAAATATGCCACAATTTGGAATTCAGTTTTTTTGGCTAGCTGTCTAGTACAATGTTTCAGATAAAATAGTATTGGTAATCTAGCAGACTGATTTATTTCAAACTAAAGGGATTAACCGGTGGAAAGTTAGTAGAAATGCTGCGATTTCAGTGTATTTTAAGTCCACTTTAAAATGGATATAACTTATTAAAGAAACAAAGGTAAGACTTCTCATGCATATGGTGTCATAATTTTAATTATCATGGGGCAACTCAACTAGAGAAATTTCTTTAACTGGTCACTGAGAGTGTTCAGCAAATAGTTTTAAGAACCGCTTCAGTTTATTAAACATTATAATGTATTCCTCTTATGGTAATCTTAATAGCAAGAAACACATGTAGTCTCATTCGCATGTTATTAACAACCAACCTCTTCTTCAACATGTTTTAGTTCTTTTTCCATTTGTTCAGCTCTATAACTAACAGCTAATATAATATGACTGACACCTGCCTGTAATATAATATTAAATATACAATACAAATAACCATGTCTATCTAAATTCGCTATACATGTAAATTGCATAATGTATAATACAATAAAACCGTCTTATCGATATTCTGTCCAAAATCTAGAAGACCTAAACCAATCGACAGAACACATGAAGCTCGCTATACAATATATAAATTGGACAATAATTTTTAAAACATTTCATACAATATATTATCTGTAACTCAGATATTTTTTAAAATCATTTTTCTTTTAAATTTTTCATCTAATAATAAATATTCCCACAAAAGCTTGTAAACCTAGTCCTATTAGCTATTCTAATCTAAAGCATGTCACTATTCCCCATATATTAACAGGTTGGTAAAAAATTTGTCAAAATATTGTGTTATGTCCTAGAATTGTTGTTTAATGTAAGTATTTCTTAATTTTGAACTGGTTTGATGAATGAACATAGTGTTTATTTTGATATTCATAATCTTAAAAGATATTCATAATCTTAAAAAAGGACTCCATTTGATTTCACCCTTGGAAAATATCAGTATGTCAACCAGTATTTATGAAATGAGTAAACAGATAAAAGTCAAACGTGGAGTAATAAATGTAAACTGTACAAGGCTGTTACAACACCCAGTAGATAACTTTATCCTCATAATCTCCCCATCTCTATTTACCCTAATCTACCTAGTAATATCTGCATAATCCACCCCACTCTATCTAAACTAATCCACACTGACACCAGATGCAGCTTGTGATCAAAACTGTTACCACAAAGGATTTGAAATATTATCTCCAAAATATGATATAAATCAACATGTTGGTCATAGATTCCCCCCCCCCCCCCCCTTAATATTTTAAATAATGATCTACAAAGATTCATGGTAGCACGTTGAAAATCAAAATACAAAGAACTATCCACAATCTTAGCAAGAACTGAAATAGGGTTTAACGTCCTACTCTTCTGATTTTATCAAATTCTAGTCATTTTCATTCTATTCTATTTTTTTTTTCTTTTCCATTTATACAAAGTGTTCCTTAATGTAGGAGTATTTCCTACAGACTTGATCACATGTACTGTATTGCATTCTAAAACTACAAATTAAATTTGTATATTCACTTTCTATCCAATATTATAAAGATACTTTCAAAAACTGTACACTTACTCAATGAAAATATCTCTTTAAATTTTTGTGCCTATTTCAGGCCAGACCTTGTACATGTATAATTTTTGTGTCTATTTGGGAAATAAATATTCAATAACAGGATACCTGCCCTTGTATTAATATAATATGTCTGACGACAGGGACAATGATAATCGCTATTTCCATGGCTTCTCTTACGTCTAGTGCCAATCACAGGATACATGTATAGACATTAAAATGAGTATGGCTGTTATTTTTACCTCAGCCAAAGCTTCTAATTGATGCAATAACATAGGTTTATTAGCAAACTCCACCAATGGTTTTGGTGTACTTAATGTCAACGGGCGTAGCCTTGTTCCATATCCTCCCACTAAAATTAAAGCCTTCATCTTGATTCTCTACAATAAAACAAATGTACACATATTCAATTATCTACCAGATAAGCACAGGTATGGGTTCTGAATCCCTTCGGGTAAATCACCTGAGGTGGGAACATGTCGCAGGACCTTGAGTTGCAGACTTTAGTACTGAGTCTAGTTGATTCCCATGTAATCACACAGCCCTGTTCAAGTTGACAGTTTGGATCATCAAATGAGTCAGCAATTCATGGCAAATAAGATAAGTTAAAGAGTTGTGTCCCCTCACCGTGACACAAGTCCTTAGCTATAACAAATTGCCAGATTATCAATATCACGACTGTCGAGTCCGAGTCATTAAGTCTTGAGTCGAGATAAATTTATCGAGTCGCAAGTCGGTTCTTTGATGTGACTTAAAGTAGCTAAGTCTCTAACTCAATATCATCCAAAATCTTCAACATTGAAAACACGATTTATTTGTCAAATTAAATCAACATTCATGTTGTGATCTTACCGGAAAAAGATGGGCTTTTGATATCCAATATTTAAGACAAAATAAACATTTTACCATTGGTACACGAATCGTGTACCATAATGCGCTTCAGCCCCAGTTGTATAAAGAGACTCGAGGGACGAGGCTTGACACATTGCACCAAATCAAACGGCGTATGTAGACTGGAATAACCAGACGCTAGAAATTTGCACTCGCAAGAGACTGCTGGCTTATTTCGCCGAACATAACTGATTTGAAATTGGAGTAAAAACGGAAACCATTGAATGTAAATCAGTTTATATACATTCATATTACAGTATTATATGCGTTGCGTCCCACTTTTGTCAATTTCTAGGTCCCAAATGTTAGCGATTTAGCTCCTTTAAGTCGGATTCCAGTCCGAGTCACAGTTGAGTTCCCACCTCTGTAAACCACAGCAGTGTATTCAAAGTATGTACCATTGCCTCAAAATTGAAACGAAGACAAATAAGAAGTTAGGTAAATCAATGGTGTTGATAACATAGAAATAATGTATAATTTCTTACTGCGATCCATTAGCTATCCGTGTCTTAGTGAAGTGGTTATACATTTTATCATCATATTATACATGCCAGAGATAAGATATTGTACCGAAACATCCGTTTAGACGACCTGTAGTTTATTGTCAAAATTATACCTTACTGTATTATCAATATTTAGACTGAATAAATATAAAGTACCGGTACCGGTACCAAAACAAATAACTATTATTAACTGACCATTTTTAGGCTGCACGTGAATCTGCACTAGCTGTTATAAGTAACACTTCCAGTAAACTGTCTCAAAGCAAATTCATACATTATGAATTATGTCTGGCAATAAATTGATTATTTTTACCAACATAATTAAAAGCAGGTGAATAAATAAAGAGACTAACTTAGTAACTATAAATTATTTATAACCTACGCTAGTTCAGCTCCTAACCCTACGCAAGTTCTATTGCTAGCAGGTGATTGAGAATAAAGAATCAATAGGTATCGAGAGTTCGCATAAATTCTTACTTTTGTCTCTGTGGTAAGTTGCGTCGCTGTCCACTCCCAACAATTATCAGGTAAACAATCATAGAAAAAGTTACCGGACCATAAACTAATCAATTTTTATTATGAACTGAACTGAAGCAATCATTCACCCACTGTCATGTTGAGCCTTTCCAGAGACAGAGCATGAATGAGTGACAAGATACAACACGTGTCTGTGGATTAAAACTGGCAAAATGTCGATTAAGATAACAATACTATTAATTACCTGTCTTGATTAGGTGCCCAAAACTTATCGACCCTGTCAAAACTTGCCACGCAAGACTTAACAGATGATGAAATGACGCCACGAAAACGGAGTCTACTTCCGGCCGAGCCCCCAAAAGCAGGAAGTAAACCGAAAGTAGATTTGTTTATGGCCACAGGTCCAATGCACTGATTAATGATCCAATGACGTCTAGGATTAGGAGTTTTTACGGGTTTCCATTTTGACACCAATTTCGGTCATGCGCAGTGACTGGCCTTACTTACATAACTGTTTTTGAGTAAAAAAAATACCCTTGTAACAAATTTACCAATAACATGTCATGTCTTGCTTAAATCATAAATGAAATTGACAGCTTTTTTTGAACTAATTTCCAACCACAGATTGACAGAATCAGTACCAGAAGCTGATATTTATGAGACTATTATTTTTTATTTATTTTAGAAATGAAATGAAAGGAAATACGTCCTACTCCGATGGTTTTATTTTAGAATTGTCAATCCATGGATAAATGTCCGATACATCGATGTCATAGTTCTGAAAGCTGTTAAGTCTCAAAAAATGTCGGATTTAGTTTTTGAGATATGAGAAAAACCTATTTCAATCATAATAGCGCAGTTAGGATATCAACATTTTTAAAAGCTTTTTTTTTTTTTGTGGAAGTTAGGCCAATTGAATAATTAATAGCAGAAATCTAGGCATATAAAAGGTAAGATCTGTGCCAATCAGGTGGATTCTTTAGAGATCAAATACCATGTAGATTCTTTAGGAGATATGGTTGAGGTTCAAGTGACACCATCTGGATTCAGTAGACACCGTACGAGAGCCATGTAGTTGGATCCGTCAGTAACTCGCTATGCGAGTTTCGTTTGGTTTTGAGATAGACTGAGAGACATGTTATGTTTATGTAGTCTATGCTTGTAATCTATGCTTGACATAAAATGTAGAAACAAATTGTTGTACTGTTGTTCCTGAGTGATAAACATTTTAGCTGCTGATAAAAATAAATACACAACCTGAGAAGGCGTAGTGAGAGTAAGAATTACAATAATCCTCGCCAGAGACAATTCTAGACGATCACAGGCTAAGACGATGTGTAGCAAGTGAATTTATCAGATGTCGGATGGGGTAAACGATTTGGTGGCACTGCTTTCGTATTCGACTGACTGTAAAGCAACATTTGTTCGATGCATGTGCAATGCATGTTCTGGAATTTCTTAAAACTTGGAGAAACCATTTTGAAACTCTAAATATTTCCATCACAAATCATAGTCATATACTAATCTGTGAACATAAGCACATCTTGACTACAGAAAGTATATATTATCTTGTTAAATTTCTTATGTGCACACAAAGGAATAAACCAATTGTCTTTTCAAATGAATATTTCTTTATTTTCAAACATCTTAATACCGTTTTTTTCTTCAAATAATTTTTTAAATAATTTATATTCCAAAAAATCTTAACATATCAACTCTATAAAGGATAGTATTACAATTTTGTTTACCCATTTTGGCTTTCCATCATATTGGTCTTCAAATATAATTTTATTTTTATATTTCCACCACTCAAAATGCAAACACTTATGAAAATGTATATTTTAGAAGTTTTCGATGAAAGATGATAACAATTTCAAAGCTAAATATTTCATATTATATAAGATAAATTTAAAGGTTATTGAATGTAGAATTTATATGTATGCATGTTTATTTGCGTTTTAAATTTTATGTTTTTACCCATGTGTCTCACTTAGCTAGAGCAGGGCACATGTGGTAATATGTAGTACTGTCAAGAAATAAAAATAAATCTAAATGGTTTATTTTAAATTGAAGTAATTAAAACAATTAGCATATACAAATATATAAAAAACGTAAATATCATAATATATAACAACAACAGTAATAATAATAGCAATTTGTCACAAAAATAAAAGAGCAAGAGTTTGCCTTGACAGAAAAAAAGTAGAGCTCCTACTAGACGCAATGGTGAGAATGAAAAACACAAATGAAATTATTATATAACACTTTCGACTTGTGTTTGTCATTTTCAGAGGAAACTGCCTGTTGTTTTCTCAAATTAATGTGAAATAGCTATAGTATTTCTTGTTCGGAAAAAGCTCTTCTTTTTTTGTCGTTACCTTCACAAAGCAGTTTAATACTGATATCTACTCCAAGTTACTTAGACATGCATTATTATAGATATATTCTACCATTCATTGCACTCTAAACTTTACAACAGTATCAGCAGCCATTTGAAGACACAGGAGTCAAGCTGTGTCAAATGGAAAATGATTCAAACAATAGCCATTTACCTGTATATATAAAATTACTTTTGCTATTAAAATGCTATTTGTATATAAATTTTTTAAAAGTTCTATAATAAAGGTATCCTTCACCTATTTACAAACGTACACCGATCATCATTAGTATACATACAGGTCCTTGTTTTTTTTTATGCCATCTGCACAACTAGTCACTAGACATTGTTCCTTGCCAGACCCCTACTTCCTGCACCACTTACCAGGGAATTTTTGTGGGCATCACTGGGACTGAACCCAGGGTCTCCTGGTTAGTGAGTCAGTGCCTGACTGACTGAGCCACCCTGGCTCTCTCCAGGAAATTACATCAGATACACACTTTCACAGGCGCACTAACCTGACCAGTGGTGTATGCAAAATTCTGGAAATAATAGGTCTACAAAAGTTTTATAATTATTTAATTTGATATTTTATGTCGATTTTCAGGTCGTCAAACTGTCACCATCCCAAAGTTTTCATAAATATTATAATAGGCTATCAATCACAAAGAAAGTGCAATAGCTAAATCCATAGAATTTGTTGGGATATGATTTAAGCTACTGAACTTCAGTCAATATTTTCAACAATATCTATATTTTCAAGTGTACAGGAAGCTATCACATGTTAAGACAAGACCCAAGGTGAATTTAAAAAATTAAATACATGTGTTTAATATGCACCTCTTATAAAGCTCTATGGATGTCATGCACTCTGCCAATAAAATACCTTTTTTTAAATACATGTAATAGCAATCAACAAACACACAATGGAAGTGACTAGTTTTTGTAAGAATGTACAACTGCAATGTAGGATCCGTTCTGACTGGACCCAGTAAAACTTGGTATCTTCATCACCAAAGCTCTTGTTTGACTGAAATGCTTAACATTTAAAATATAATAATTGGTAAAAAAAGTGTCTTAATACTCAAGAATATACGGTATATCTTACATATGGTAGCTTTACAAATTCTAATTCTGTAACAAAATATTTGCTCGGTAATTTGCTCCCAATGACAATTAAACATTTCAATATTCACAATATCTTTATAGATATTGATATTTTTATATTAAACATTAATAATCCATACCCATATCACTAGAACTATGTACAAGTATATTCTACTAAATTCACTAATAACTGCCATGCATTCAGTAGACTTAATATTACTCTAGCTGCCTTGGTCACCATCATGTCAAGACAATCATTACAAACAATATATTATATAGACTTGCATGAACTACACTGTGTTATAGGGCTAATCTCGATTATATTTTGAAGAATAAAACTGCTTAATTTTGTGTTAAAAGCCCTTAAAAATCCTCTATTTTAGCGCTGAGCAACTAACTCAATATACCTAACTCAATATACGTGACATTTTTCAAACAACTTAAATGGAGATCGGTGTCCCAAGCTGTATTATACGGTGTCTGGATAAAACCAGACTTTTATTTTAAAAAATAATGTGTACCAGTAGTTGAAATTTACCTTACGTTATCAAGTACAGCATGTGGCTCATGCACTGTATAGACCTCTAAGGGAACGGCAATAGATTATCAGGTCACCCAACGAAAAAATTGACCCAAAATCTTAAGAGGGTTACATGTCCAGATATGCGGTTTTGACGTTCACATCCAAACGACTGAATATTTTGAGGTAAAATTTTGAGAGAAGGGAAATACACTATTCCTCTATATTTTGGTATTTAGATTTCATATGTAAACAGACTTTTATTTCTGAGACTGTTAAAATTGGGATGGTCCCTTTAAAAGCAGGGCTCTGGTTATCATATTATTTCTTTATACAAATTTACTTTTTATATTTAGTGGAGGTATTGCACTAGCTTGATTCACTGTATCACATATCTAAAACACACACAGAGGCTTGTCTTTTACAAGTTGTCGGTGCTAGTTTTAAAATCACACATTAAAAAGTGTGTGCATAAAAATCCAGGATTATTGAGGTGTGCTTGATTCATGGTGTCACACTTTACAAATTGTAACAACAATCTGTAACAGTCAAGTTATCTGTGTTGAATTCAATAGTTGTTCAATCAATTTATATTGGTTCCAGAAAAGTGATTTCCAGTAATAATAAATTAAGTGAGCCACCTTTATACAAGAAGCAGTTAATATGTATAATCACGTATTTCCTCAAAGTAAAAATCATATCACAGTTGGGTACCTAATATAATTACACATAATCCTCGCTTTAATCTTGTCATGCAATCTAGTCCCATTCTTCAGGTAGTGAGGATAACGATCCAAACCTAGAAAGACAACAACACACCACCATTAGAAATCTCATATATATTTCAGTGACGTTCATATCAGGGGTTTTACGTCTACTTCCACTTATTTAATTATAGTCCCAAACAACTGTGTGAAGTGTTTTGACTGAAAAAATACCATTTTTCAGTTATCCAGTACAGCCATGTCTACAGAGTATAACTCAGATACATGTGCACATTGACTTCCAAATTTATTTTCACACATCTACCTTTATATCATAGTGGAAGCCATATAATACAATCAGCCAGGTATGTACACTTAAGGTCAAATACTACCTGAATAAGACATCAAGTTTCATAAACAAAGACAAAATAAGGATCAGCAAATCCTGTAATTCAATATTTAAACATACATTATGCAAGAGCTAAATCTGCCAATTGCAGGTCTTTCTTTCGGACAGAAATGTTATCTAAATTATTAATTAGACATTAATTAACTTATCCAGATCATAATCAACTTTCGATGTCATCACTAGTCTGCAATATTAACTGGATTAGGATCCTATTTGCTGCTCGACTTTCATTCATGATTTAATCATGTAATGGATAATCAAGACTATGTTTTTTTATCGTACTGACTTTAGTAATGATGATCAAGTCTAGGTCGAAATTCATTTGCTAAATTCTCGGTTCAGAGTGAATCAATTTGACTGAAATTTTCAGCAAATTCCCTTTACATTATCTAGTTTTTAACTATTATAGTGAGAACTGCCAGCTCTTTATCTAATCTCCCATAATGTATATTTAAATTGTTTGCATGCAGGTTTGTTTAGCAATAAAAAGAAATGAGAGAACCCAGAGAAAACTTATAACTGTGAGATGTAATTTACATCGGTTAGAAACCAACGGTTCTGTTCATATTGGAATTATTATCTGCACAAAGATACATTATGTAAGAGCTGAGGTAAATCTGCCTATTGCAGGTCTTTATGTTTTTGGCTTCAAATGTTATATAATCTATAATTACTTAGACATTTATTCTCATGACAAGCCTATATATCCCCTCTCCAGATCATCGGACGGAGGAGATTTAAATGGATTGTAACAGGATCGCCATTTAATGATTTAATTTAAAAATGGTGAATCGAGACTTAGTCTTGATTAACAATTACTGTTGCTACAATAAAAAACAATCTATACCACATCTTGTCAAAACTTCAAACAGTGATAACTTTGCTCAGAATGAAGTAATTTGAATGAAATTTTCAATATAGTCATTTTGCAATACCCATTTTTGAACTATTATAGCAAGAACAGCCAACTAAATCTTACATAATGCATGTTTAAGTTTGAATACAAATTCAACTGGAGTAGATGATTGTTGAAAAACACTCTCCATTATTTGAAAAAAAAAGAAAAGGAAATTGCTCTCCAATAAACGCTATCCATAACCTGAAGAGCCTTTTCTTGCTTATAGTCAAACATGCTTTGCTATTGTTGAAGGAACTTCTAGGAAATATAGTCAGGATTGGTCAAAAGCAACTTGCAAACTACCATGTATAGTTTATTTTTAACTGAAACTAATGAGATGAGGAGAGCTATTTAAGATAAATATGTAGGTGAGTACATATACCATTGTTTCCATAATTTAATAGCATACCTTTCAATAATAGTATTATTTTCTTTAACTAACTGTACCATCTCTTCAACTGAACTTCTGGTAGTTTTTAACCTGTTTGTAAAATACAATTGATTAAATAGATGATGAAATAAATTTAGAGCGTTGTGTGTAAGAAGTAAGTTAGTCACACAGATCCTTTGACACACACCCTCCCCCCTTTAAAAAAAAACAACTCTCCTTTATCAGAATCTTTAAGAATATTGGAAACCAGAAGAGTTATTTTGTATTTCCCAAAATTAGGCAAGCGACCCCTGTCCTGTCACAAACCAGCCTGGGATTAAAACCTGAAACAAGGACACTTCATTGATGTCTTACCTTCTGATGTAAACTAGATCATTTTGGGACTAGCACATGGTTCAATATTATTTCATAAATTCGCGTGCGGTCTTTGGCAGTGGGAGGAAACCAGAGAACTCGCAGAAAACCCATGAGGTTGGACAGGTGACCCTACTCCTTGTCATGTACAACCGGGGAATCAAAACCACGCCAGTTGACTCAATGACAGACCTTATAATACAGCATGCACATTCGGCCATTCACCCCCCCACCCCCTCTGATGTAAATCAAATTGCATGCATTAAGACAATAAACTAGAGTGTGGCTATGGTAAATAACGAAAACTTACCCATCCAATATATCTCCAGCAACTTGTCTTCTCATAGATTCATCTTTTTTGGTATCATTAACACTAGCACTAGCAAAACTCTGTGATGCCACCAACATTAAACTTTTAGTTTCATTATCAGGTGCACCATCATCTAATACACTAATAAAACACTGCATCAGCTGGGGAAAATATATAAACATGATTATAGTTCTACATCTTTCATCACTATAAAAACTGTTTCCATTTAGAACCGTATAAACCAGGTGTGGCCATCCTTTGGCTTAAGTGGCACAATTAACATATTAGACCATTCAAAGTGGGGCATTTCTCCACATAATAATAATGATCTAATATAAGGAAAGTGTGTTTTTCTTTAATTGTGCACAATTTCCCCCTATGTCTTTACTCCAATACGTATTGGTACATTTCAGAATATCGGGAAAGTCTTGTAAATGCCCTTCAGGTCTTTGTTTTGAATTTTTGTTGCCACACTTGCATGGATGGTTTGGAGAGTCTTATGGGGGTACCCCTTGTCAGCTGATACCTATTTAGAGTTATTGCATTTGTCCTTGAAACCTACTTATTCCAAATCTCAGATTTCTTCTTTGACTGAGCAACATCCTATGAAGTTCTTGATGTCTTACAAAGCTGGTGGTGGACATATTTTTACTGTCTAGCAACATTAAGATTTTATTGGGTAATTTCTGCTTGCAACAGATACTACCTAGTGTTAAAGGTATTAACTTATGTCAAAGATGTTCAAGGTGAAAAATTTTCAAGTCGTAAAACAAATTAAAATGAAATGGGGTTTAACGTCCTACTGTTCTGCTTCAACTGGGCTAATGAAGATGAGCATATGCCACACAGTGTGCTATGAGACAAATTTCGCCCTACTCTTATATCAAATTCCAACTGACAAGGGATCTTTTACATGCATGCCAATGTGTACACGTGACCTCGGTTTTTCGTCCCATCCGATTGACTAGACAGCTGTCCTTGTCAGGCCCTCTGCTCTGCACCACACCACTGAAAAGGGGAAACCACACAGGAAAATCCTGATAAACTTTCTTGGCCAACACTGGGAGCGAACCCATGACCTCCAGGCTAGTGAGCCAGCGTCTTACTCATTCAGCCACCGTGGCTCCAAGTTGTAAAACAATGTGTATGCTAAAATTGTTAATTTTGTCAGCTTCTCATACAAGAAGTGGTATAAAGTGTCTGATATCTGCCCTGTTAATAGTGGCATCATTCAACAATGGAAATAAGTCTATCTTACTTCATTAAATTTATCATAAAATGAACTCTGTAACTGGATTAGATTCTTCATTCTTGTTTTATTCTTGGCACTCTCTCTTCGACTGTCTGTAGCTTTCCTATAAAAGAATAATAAAATTACTGGGATTAAATTGAATAATTCAAGTGTTTTTCTTCAGTCTATCGATGTAGAGTGCATGCATCATAATCTTTAGTCAATGGTAATGGACATTATTATTAATCATTTCGACACTTAGAGACTTCAGCTGAGAAACAGGGAGTTGGATTCTGGAGGTTACTCTTTTAAGTTGTGATAACATTCATATGCATGATTTACATGGGCACGATTCCTGGAGAGTAACCCGGGTATCATTTAATCTTTTGTACCTAGCACTAATTTCTTTCACATTCACCCCAAATCATCTAATTTGTAGTTGTGTCCGGTTTAAAGCTGACAGATTAATTTTGATAATGAGTGTCCAATTTACAAGTATTTAATTTTCTGAACACTGTTCAAAAATTAATCATTATACGTCAATAATCAATTTGGTCGGGTTTTTTTTTTTTAACAATGATTGAAAAATTAGACGTTTGTAAATTAGACACCCATTATCAAAATTGAATGGTCAGCTTTAAACAGAACACTAATTTCGATTAGCTACTAACCCAGCTGGGGAGCCTATCAGATTCCTCGATCAACGCGAATACCAAGTCTCGCGCTTTCCAGCTAAAATGTCTACCTGTGATAATCGAGTTGCAAAGTTCAAGGTCCGTTCAATGTCAAGGTTTCCGTGGAGGTTGACACGTTTGATTTGAGCGTGTTTGTGTCATAACCCCTGATTGGACACTATCATTGACGTGTCTGCGTTAAAGGGAGATAAAGTCGCTATAAGTAAAGGAATTGCCAACCAGTCTAGCAACATCTAGATGTTGTAAAACTCGCAGTTGTAGCTTCAGGAACTTGCATTCCCATCTACTCTTCATTAAATTCCAACTGCCAAGGGTTCTTTAACATGCATGTCAACGTGTATTCTGTTTTACAACCCATCCGACTGACTGGACGCCCTTCCTTTCCAAACCCTCGGTCCTGCACCACTGACAAGGGGAAACCAGCACCATACTCCCTGAGCCATTGTGGTGCCATTAATTTAAAAACAGAACCTACCTGTACCAAACTTGATAAGCATTATATAAATCATGGGCCCGTGGACAACAATGAGTCGTTAGTCGTTTCTTGATTTCTTCGGATATTTTCTTTATCTCCAACCTAAAAATAGAACATGATAATATGGTCCAGATCTGGTGTAAATTATGAAGTTGGTCGATTTTGCACTTTTGATTGAAGACCAATTCTCAAAGCTGTGGCTCAGAAAACTAGTCTCTTTTTACTAGCTTAGAGGTGTCGATCATATGGAAACATTCTACCATTCTTCATTTAAGTCCAAGCTAAAGGGACAAAAACTGACTAAATCAGATGGTATATTGATAGAATTAGAACTTTGCACTGAACAATGATAAAAACTGACTAAATGAATTGGTACATTATATTGATATAATTAGAATTTTCCACTGAATGATGATAAAAACATGAATTAAGAATTGTTATGACATACTTGTTTGGCTGCTTACATCAAAATATATACTAATGTCCAAAAGAAAGTATACACTGTGCATTTTGTGCTGCATCAACCAAAGTCGTTTTTCCATGGTATACGGTATTTGGGTAGAATGTCAATTTGTTTCACATTTTTATTTTGCTTAGAAATGTTGAGTTTGGATGCAAGAGACAAACTCAGTAATGCTTTATCAAATATTTTTAACCTAAACAAAACTTCGTCATACTTTTAGTGTGTATACTTTCTTTTGGACATCAGTATATGAGAATGAAAAAGCAGTCATGGTTATATTTGGATTTAAAATGGAATGGAATCTCCATAATATTATATAAATTGAACTAGAATCCAAAAATATCTAGTAATCTATTATTTCTGTACCTTTCGTATTTATGTATCTGTTCATCGTTATAAGGTAATATTCTTTTAGCTCGATTTTCTTTTAAAGTCATTGTAGATTCTTCCAGTTTAATCACAAGCTGGTTCAAAATTTCTGGACTGAAAATGAAAGTATCATTCTATTTAGTTTCAGATATAACACTATTAATTCCCTATTATTACTGTTTGGGTTGATGTTGGGTGTTTGGTTAAGATAGAATGTCTCAGCTAAGTTTGATTAGTAGTTTGGATAGGACAAAAAACTAATGTCACATGGTACAAACTGGTTGTGCAAATAAGTGATGTAGACAGAAATGCAACTGTTTAGAAAAACCTATACAAAAGCTATGAACCTTGTAGTAATTGAGCTCAATCAAAGAGGAAATAGATTTATATTTCTCAATGATTTGTTGAAAGATAGGTTGCCAGGCAACGAAACATACGCCCACAGCAACTAAATCGTCCGGGCAGTCAACAAGGGTTGTCGCATATTTTTACTTTTTTCGGTAATGAAACATTTATAATACACTAAAATCTGATTAAGAGCAACAACTCACGAAGTAATTATCAGAAAACTATTAGAATTTGTTTGGTTTTTATAAAGTTCTGCCCCATGCTAACGTTTTGTATGCAAAGCTTTTAATATCATGGATTTAACTGTTTAAGTCATAAAAATTCATTGAAAATCAATATACTTCTTCGTCTCAAGATCTTAAACTCTGTGTATCAATCTGAAGTCAATCGGATTATAACTTTAGCCTTTAGAGCATCACAAGATTTTGCAAAGTGATCAAGGGCCATAACTTTGGCAGTAATTATCGGAAATCGTTTAAAATCAATAGGAATCTTCGTCTCATGACCTCAAACACTGTATAAATTTAAACTCAATCGGATATTAACTTTAGCCTCTAGAGCATCCACAAGATTCTTTGAAGTGATCAAGGGCCATAACTCTGGCAGTAATTATCGGAAATCGCTGAAAATCAATAGGCTTCTTCGTCTCATGACCTTAAACACTGTGTATAAATTGAAAGTCAATCGGATATTAACTTTGGCCTCTAGAGCGTCCACAAGATTTTTCAAAGTGATCAAGGGCCATAACTCTGGCAGCAAATATTGGAAATCGCTGAAAATCAATAGGCTTCTTCGTCTCATGACCTTAAACACTGTGTATAAATTTAAAGTTAATCGAATATTAACTTTCGCTGCTAGAGCATCCACAAGATTTTTTGAAGTGATCAAGGGCCATAACTCTGGCAGTAATTATCAGAAATCACTGAAAACCAATAGGCTTCATCATCTTATGACCTTAAACACTGTGTATAAATTTAATGCCAATCGGATGTTAACTTTAGCCTCTAGAGCATCCACAAGATTTTTTAAAGTGATCAAGGGCCATAACTCTGGCAGTAATTATCGGAAATCGTTGAAAATCAATAGGTTTCTTCGTCTCATGACCTTAAACATTGTGTATAAATTTAAAGTCAATCGGATATTAACTTTGGCCTTTAGAGCATCCACAAGATTTTTTGAAGTGATCAAGGGCCATAACTCTGGCATTTATTATCGGAAATCGTTGAAAATCAATAGGCTTCTTCGTCTCATGACCTCAAATACTGTGTATAAATTTAAGGTCAATTGGATATTAACTTTGGCCTCTAGAGCGTCCACAAGATTTTTCAAAGTGATCAAGGGCCATAACTCTGGCAGTAATTATCGGAAATCGCTGAAAATCAATAGGCTTCTTCGTCTCAAGACCTTAAACACTGTGTATAAATTTAAAGTCAATCGGGTATTAACTTTGGCCTTTAGAGCATCCACAAGATTTTTTGAAGTGATCAAGGGCCATAGCTCTGGCATTTATTATCGGAAATCGTTGAAAATCAATAGGCTTCTTCGTCTCATGACCTCAAATACTGTGTATAAATTTAAGGTCAATTGGATATTAACTTTGGCCTCTAGAGCGTCCACAAGATTTTTCAAAGTGATCAAGGGCCATAACTCTGGCAGTAATTATCGGAAATCGCTGAAAATCAATAGGCTTCTTCGTCTCAAGACCTTAAACACTGTGTATAAATTTAAAGTCAATCAGATATTAACTTTAGCCTCTAGAGCGTCCACAAGCAATTGTGGACGCCGGACCGTCGGACGGACGGACGGACAGGGGCAACGACAATATACAACCACATTTCAATGTGGGCGTATAAAAATGAAATTGTTCCCTGTATAAGGCAGTTCATCTTATTGGCCAGCTTACCATCTATCAACAGAAAGGCAGCCCTCTGTAAATTTCCATTCCATAGTAAGTTGTTTTGCCTCCAGATGAGATGTTGTTAATTTTTTTATAGATAATCTCAATTCTTCTAATAATGCTTGAATCTGTAGAGGGAAAAATGTACCAATCAGGGTATTCTTTTTAAAATGTGGTAATTTTAATGTATTGTGTATTTGTTAATATCATTAACAGTAGAAAATTGTTCCAAATATTGCATGCATTTCTCAATACCTCCACCACAATAGAAGCAGATCATTTTTAAAAGTAGCATTCCCATTTTATAAGGAATAGCTCCTACAAAACAAACCCCTGCTAATAGGAAGTACCATTATTGCAACTCCTTATGTATGAAATGCATTACCGCAAAGACTTGGGGTATATTACCTGCACATAGAAAAAAGGAAATACAGTGACTTGCTGAAAACACTGGGATAAATTAAATCAGAAACTGTGAAGTCCCTACGAAAAAGAACTTGATACAACTTGTCTGCAATAGAAACTATATAGTAATTTAATGCAAATATGAATGTATAATTTCCTGCAGATGCGAATCGGGGTGTATACAAAATGACAGGATTTCCAATAACAACTAACTTACAGAAGTAAACAGATGGTCACAAATAGGAACTGAAATATATAAATACCTGTTTTGTACGCGAGTCAAATTCTGTCATGGCTTCTGTTTGAATCTGTTCTATGCGGGTAATAAGTTCTTGTAAAGGTTCGACAGGATTTTTATTAAAGAGGATACGTATTGAGTTGATTTGTAGAGAAATAATTTTTATAAACTTTCTAAACCATGCTTTTGTTGTTTCACAAAACTGTGTCACATGGTCTAAGTTGCTATGTTCTGTTTGAATTCCTTGGTTTAAATCAATACTGATAAAAAAATAAATCATATTCAGCTTTAATAAGATAGGTTGCCAGGCAACAAAACATGGCCACAACAACTAAGTCGTCCACAAAGGTAGTCACATTTTTATTCTTTTGTGTGTAAAAGGAGAATAAGACACTAAAACTGATCAAGGGTAACAACCCATGAAGTACTTATCATAAATAATTCAAATTTGATTTGGTTTCTAGATCTTCCTGTTTCTAAAGTTTATTAAATAAAACATAAGGCCAGTATAATCAGATGATAACTTTTGCTGTTCCATTTATTGGAAATCATTGTAAATCAATAGGCCTCTTCATCTCATCAACATAAACACTTTGTTTAAATCGTCCGAGATAACTTTAGCCTCTAGAGTAGCCACATGATTTTTTAAATTGATTAACTCTAATTATCGGAAATCATTGATAATCAATTCACTGCTTTGTCTCATGAACATAAAGGATAGACTGCATATATTGGTGCTTTGTAAATTGAGTCGTTCACATAGGCTAGTGAGAACTGCAAGAGAAGACAACTCTGCTTATAGTACCTGTATTGCTTAACAGCTAAATGTTGTAATTTATTTTGTTGTACTATGGTAGATATTGCTGCTTGTACAGAATGACCTATTCTACAACACTCTCTTGCTGTACGGTAATCTAATTCTAAGTTTGCATGAGGCTGATCATTAATCAGTGGAAATGGAGCTGAAAAATACAAGTCATCATGAGATAAATATTTATTATAAATCCAAAATAATACACTGGTGGCTGGAAGACAGAAGACAATTTAAAGAGATGTGGTTATATATTTGTCTACCACCATACAGATAGGAGTATCCTAGTTGAAATGTTGAAAAGTAATAATATCAGTCATTGTGTATCATTAATATTGTACACTGTGTTAGAAAAACCTAATTCAAAATTACTGAAATAAAGATAGGTTGCCAGGCAACAAAGCAGCTAAATTGTCTGAGCAGTCGACAAGAGTTTTTTTCTTTATAGTTAATGAGAGAAATTACAAGACAATGATATGCCAATATCGAAAGGAACCAAGATCTTTTGGAAATAAACCTGTATTTCAAGTTTCGTCAAAATCGGACAAAAATTGTGACCTCTAGAGGGCCCACAACCTTCATATTACATCCTTTTACAAACTTTGCACACAAATTTTGTCGGGCAGTTTAGTTTCAATTTTCATGATATTCGAACTCAACCATCATCATGGTTTAACGGTGATATATTCGGACATTTTTTTTAAATCGGATAAAAATTGTGACCCTCTAGAAGGACCACAAGCTAAAAGCAAGATTTTTCGTACAATCAGGGGCTATAATCCAAGAAGTTACAATCTGATGTGACCAATATCGAAAGGAACCAAGACTTTTGGGTCATAAATCGGATAAAAATTGTGACCTGTAGAGGGTCCACAAACAAATTGACAAATTGTGGACAGACGGACAGGGGCGACGACAATATAACAAAGTGAAACAAGGGCCATAACTCTAGAGGAGTAATTAATGGATACTGCTGAAATTCAATAGACTGCTTTGTTTTACTAATCTAAATAATGTATATAACTCTAACACAGATCCTATGATAATTTTAGTTGTTTTTGTTTTACTGATCAAATAATGCAGAAAAATTTAATTCAGATAAGATGATAACTTTTGTTCACAAGGTTCAACAAAGTGAAACAAGGGCCATAACTCTAGAAATGAATCAAGGAAATTGCTGAAATTCAAGGCTTCTTCGTATTACTAATTTAAATAATGCAAGTAAATCTAATATAGATCAGATTATAACTTTAGTCATTAGGGTGTTCACAGTGTTCTACAAAGTAAAACAAGGACCATAACTCTAGAAATAATTAACAGAAATTGTTAAAATTACATAGACTTTTTTGTCTCACTAATGTTAACAACGTATAAAAATTAAATGATCCGATAATAAATGTAGTCTGTAGAGTGTTCACAAGAAATTTAAATGAGGGCATGTAAAAAGCTAAAACTAACCTATATAAACTGGATCATGTAAAATACATAAATTTCAAAATGATCAGAAAATAAATTTAGTCTGTAGAGTGTTCACAAGAAATTTCCATGAGGGTGTATAAAAAGCTTTTTAAAACTAACCTATATAACCTGGATCAGGATATGCATGAAACTCTTCAATCTTATTAAAGATAAAAATAGGATTATGTACAGTAATGTTATCTGGGTAATTTTTGACTGTAAGTAATGAGTCAATGGCTGCTTCTATATGTCGATTCTCAAACAGCAATAGCTGGTTTTCTTTCTCTATATCGGTCTGTTTCGTGATGTTCTCATGTAATTTAGATAAACTGAAAATAAATAAATATGAATAAATTGTAGGATCTTTGTAAGAGATAACTTCAACATAAAATGAACAAGCCAACAGTGAGGCTGATGTCCCCCGCCGAAATAGGAAAATAATTAGAGGACACATATAAATTTATCACAAATTATCTTTTACAAAGTACTGAACAATCAAACAGTATATCTTTACTTATAGTCTAACAATCAAAGTAGGAGAGTTATTGTTTTCCAAAGTCTCGACCAATCAAATTGCGTATCGCTCTGCTTACCCTGAGCAGAAAATGCTCATTATCAAACTTAGTCAAGGTATTACTGTAATGAAACTATACACCAAGTTTCATCAATCTCACTTAATTAGAACTAAAGTTATCGTGTCCCAAAGCATCAACCAATCAAATTGCTTATCTCTGCTTACCCTAAGCGGAAAATGCTCATCTTCGAACTCCATCAAGGCATTGACCTAATCAACACATACACCAAGTTTGAACATTCTAGCTCAATTAGGAAGAGAGTTATCGTGCCCCAAAGTATCAACCAATCAAATTGCTTATCTCTGCTTACCCTAAGCGGAAAATGCTCATCTTCGAACTCCATCAAGGCATTGACCTAATAAACACATACACCAAGTTTGAACATTCTAGCTCAATTAAAAGTTATCGTGTCCCAAAGCATCAACCAATCAAATTGCTTATCTCTGCTTACCCTAAGCGGAAAATGCTCATCTTCGAACTCCATCAAGGCATTGACCTAATCAACACATACACCAAGTTTGAACATTCTAGCCCAATTAGGAAGAGAGTTATCGTGTCCCAAAGCATCAACCAATCAAATTGCTTATCTCTGCTTACCCTAAGCGGAAAATGCTCATCTTCGAACTCCATCAAGGCATTGACCTAATAAACACATACACCAAGTTTGAACATTCTAGCTCAATTAGGAAGAGAGTTATTGTGTCCCAAAAAGTGTGACGGACAGACAGACGGACGGACAGACAGACAGACAGACAGACAGACAGACAGACAGACAGACAGACAGACAGACAGACAGACGAACCCATTTTAATAGTCCCCTGCTTTCTTCGAAAGGCGGGGGACAAAAATAACATAAAATGCAATAAGTTTGAATACTGATTCAGACAATAGACTATAACATAATAACAAGCAGTCTAACTAAAAAAGGCATATTGGTCAAAAAATTGTTCAAATGTATAATTTCTAATGAAATCATGATGTCTAAAGTTCTCATTTCTATTAATTTCATGCCTGTCATCTTTTTTTTCTCCCTGATTGTTAGCCAGCACCTTAAAGATAATTAATTTCTATACACTGAAACCAAAATAATACACAATGCTTTATATAGCAATATGAGAACAATCTGGGGATCTTGTAGTGAATCTCTCTTGATCCACACATTCCCAAAGAAATCCAAAGCCTCATAGCTTACCTGTCTTCGGTATTAAGGTATATTTTAAGACTTGAAGACATGTTAGGACAATAAGCATGGACCACTGATTTACTACAAAGACTGTCAACAGTCTCAAAATATGTTTCAAATGTCCACATATGGTCTGGGTTGATTTCTAATAACGATGCCAGTAATGGAATTAGATAAATTTGTAAACCCCTGAAAAAATAACCATCAACATATAAACAAAAACAGGAATTGATATAATTGAACAATAAATACTTGTAATCTGAAATGAGGATATTGCTTAGCATATATATAAAGTACTTTGACTAACAGAACTAGCTATGTTTTTGGCAGCTTTTCCCACATCAAAAACCCTACTATTGAAGAATATCTTGGCCCAATATTATTATATAGCGTGCTGAGAACCAAAGTGCTTTGATGCATTTTACAAACAACTATTGACAAAATAAATGGGTTACAATATTTTCTTACAACAGCTATAAATCAACTGTTTTGCGTAAATTAAAGGGAAGACCATTCCATAGTTCTGGAGCTTGTGCAGTGAAAGACATGTTGCCATATGATACAAGTTTTATTTTAAAGTGTTTTCATAAAATGTGATTCAAAGATGATCTGAGACTTCTACTCAGATAAATATACATTATACAAGAGCTATATCTGTCTACTGTGGGCCTTTCTTTAGGCCTGTAATGTTATATAAACTATTAATTAGACATTTATTAATATGACAAACCCATAATCAACTCTTGATACCATCGGATGTCACCGATATTAGGTAGATTAGAATCGTTCGGCCATTTAATGAATTAATTTGAAGAAGCAAGACTAAGCTTCGTACAACCAGTACAGTGGTTACTATCAATGCACAAACCTTCAAAACGTCAAAGGCTATATATCTTCACTCAGAATAAAGTAATCTGAATCAAATTTTTAATATATTCATTTTGCATTATCTATTTTTGAACTACTATAGCAAGAATGGCCAGCTCTGTATCTACATCTTACATAATGTATCTTTAAAAAACAAGATGTAGAAAAATAGGATGTTAAACCCCATTTCATATCAGTTCTTCATTTTGAAGATTTCTACTTGGTGAATATAATTCTAAAAGTTAAATAACATGGTGTGAAACCGTTTCTACACTTAAAAATAATATATATAAATCATACAGGTTGAACTCACTGAGATAGAGTACAGGTGTTTGGTAATACTCGATTCCAGATTATTGGATCATTGGCTTTAAGTTGTATACCAGATATTACACCTCGTTCTTTCTGACTCACTATCTTATACCTTCAACAGATTATCAACAATAACAGGGCTACATTCTATTAAAATATTACAGAGCAGGGATTCTATATCAAAATTTTGATTGTCACACATTTTTAGTTTGGGTTAACAGAGGTCAGAATTGGATAACCAGAAGTCGTTTGTCAGCTTCAGGAAATAGCGTCATTAATTTCCATTCCTTTTAATAGACTTCAACTAGAAACATTTTTATGTTATGTAGCATATCGTGTTCTGAATACAAAAAAAAAAAAAATTCAGAATAACTTGTGTAGCATTTAAAAAAATACATTGGCCGAATGGTTAGCATATGCGCGCTGTATTATAAGGCCTATCATTGAGTCAACTGGCGTGTTTTCGAATCCCTGATTGTACGTGACAAGGAGTAGGGTTGCCTGTCCAACCTCGTGTGTTTTCTCTGAATCCTCCGGTTTCCTCCCACTGCTAAAGACCCCTACGCGCAAGCGATTTATTGAAATAAAATTAAACCATATGTTGGTCCCGAAATGACCTAGTCTGTGTCGAGTGAACGTTAAACCCCATTTCTCTCTCTCTCTCTTTTAAAATTTTTATCATGACATGATTAAGTACAGCAATTTTGTGATTAAAAAAGTTACATTTTTGTCACTAATATTAAATGTAAAGTGGTTTACATAAATCAGTGTTTCTGTTGCCTGGTAAATCAGAAGCAATATGTAGATATAGAAATATCCTAAATCTAAGATGTAAATATTTTGTATTTTTGGAGGGGAAAATTTATTAAAATTTATGAAATTTTGTTCTCTCATGTATATATGTATACATGTATATGCAATTGGCAAGATGCTCTGAACACCTGCACTTAATCTTTAAAGGATGAGAAATCACTGATAAACAAACATGTGTGTAGACGCGGGTCCAGGGCTCGTAATGGTTGGAAATGGCATCTACATTGTTCCATTTTTCTAAATATATTTTGGGAGGCAACCCAGACCCCTGTTGTAGGATTTTGTTGCTTTTGGCACTTGCACAGTTTTACTACAACACATCAATCTGGAGATCTGAAATTTTCAGGACTCCCCCCCCCCCCCCATTGAAAGTTCTGGATCCACCCCCAGTATGCTGGCCTTTCGAAATTATTTTAAGATTATGGTGATAACATATAAATCTGTAAAAACCTACATGAGTTCTTTATCACGTCTACCACCAAACGGACGAAATGGAAGGTTTCCAGTTGCCATGTGATAGTAAGTTACACCAATACTCCACAAATCGACAGATGCATCAAATATTTTACTGTTATCTCTCCGTAATACAGCTTTCTCATACATATGTGGATGCTAGAAATAAATATATAAATGTTAGAAAATCAAACAGGCCAATTTGGTAATGGATTACAGATACATTGTACAGCCTGTCACGCTCGAGGAATATGAAAACTTCAGCTTGCCCAAATGCATATAGATATTCAATTCCTGGTGAGAAGCTCTTTAAAACTGCAAAATATTTTCAAAGAGAACATATTTCAGAGATTTTTTACTTGACAGTTATTCATTCTAAATCACATTAGAAGGCACAAAAATAGCCAGAAAATCAACTTTAAAACACAGGGAAAACTGCCTTTTTAAGTTGGACATAAGCGAAGGTTCAAGGGGAGTTACCCCCAAGAACTATCTGGTGATAAACTGGAGGTGAAATGGGGTTTATTGTCCTCCTAGTGTACTGCTCTGACAGGGCTAATGAAGACAGGCATATGCTATACAGTGTGCTATGACGGAAATTTTGCCCTGACAGCTGCGCTAAGGCCTACCCATATATAGAATTCAACTGCCAAGGGATCTTTTACGTGCATATCAATGTGTACAAGTCATTTATAGCACGCTTCATTCATTACAGGTTTTGTCCCATCTGAACGACTAGATAGCTGTCCTTGCTGACAAGGGAAACCACGCCGGAAAATCCTGATGAACTTCCTCGGCCAACACTGAGAGCGAACCCGCGACCTGATGACTAGCGAGCCAGCATCTTACTCACTTAGCTGCCGTGGTTCCCATTATAAACTGGACTAAAGAAATAAAAAGATTCTATATTACCAAATATTCTTCTGTTCCATATAGAGATATAAACTGTTCTTGATCTTGTAATTCTCTTGCTGCTCCGAAATCAGTTAATTTATACACAGATCTATAAAAATACAATATTTATAATATTATAAAAACAATCTAAATCACTGGCTGTGGAGCTATTCCATATAAGATTGATGTTCATACAGAATTCAAATTGGAAGATAATTCTATAACCTGTACCTCCTACTTGAGGTAGGTTGGAGAAATTCTAACCTTTGTAGCATTTCTTACAGCAGCAAGGATAATCTGGCAATCTTTGAATGATGTTTCTTGTAACATGGATGGGAAATCTTCCTTTGTTCTTTTCGTTGAATAAGCAGATTGTTTCCCCTCTAGTAGATTGGGTGGACCTTATCCGTGCAATAACTTGACATGTTCAATGTTATTGCATACTTTTGCTGGTTTACACTAGTTTTAGTAGAAATCATACAGAGAAGTGGTGTGAGTTTTGTGTGCAATAACAAGCATGCTGAGCAGGTGTCAATGCTACAAGTCATTTATAGCACGCTTCATTCATTACAGGTTACATAGAATTAGATAGGAATAATACACAGGTCACAATTACTCTTTATTTTTGAGCTGAGAAGCCTAGTCGAAACATTGTGACCTGTGTATTCCAGTTCAATTACTAAATGCCATTAAGCATGATGTTTTTAAAACGTTAACTACCCCCTATTGTGTAATTAATTTGACGAAGTGACGAAGAACTATGTACTATGTTCTAAGAATAGATTGGGGAAAATGCCTCCAAGGCGTAATATTACGCCCTACACACAGTGAGTGGCAGTTGTCCAGAACGTAATATAACGTCCTACACATGCTGCAATCGTGGGGGAATTCCCAAGGGATTCCACCAAGTGACGAACTATATTCTAAGAATAGGTTGGGGAAAATACCTTCAATGCGTTATATAACGCCCTACACACAGTGAGTGGCAGTTGTCCAGGACGTTATATAACAACCTACGCACTTAACGGGTTACAACAATTTAGATATAAATGACGATTATTACCTGCCATCAGGGTCTATACATCGTAGAATATTTCCTGGTTTTACATCACGATGTACAACAGCGTTACTACGTAAATGTTTCATACCACTGGCTAGTAAATAAAAATAACCAAATAAATAATTTGAAAATTTCATTCAAATTACTCTATTGTGAGCGAAGATATTAGCCTTTGAAGGTTTGAAAAGACGTGTGGAATAATTTCAAAGCTAAGTCTCGCTCCTCCATTTTTAGCTTAAATCAAAATATGACTAAACTGTTCTAATCTATCTAATATCGGAAAAATCTGATGCCATCGAGAGTTAATTATGGCCTGGATAAGTTAATTAATGTCTAATTAATAATTTAGAAAACATTTCAGGCCTAAAGAAAGACATGCAATAGGCAGATTTAGCTCTTGCATAATGCATGTTTAAGTAGTTGTAGTTTGTAAAAGTGACATCTTGAGGACCTTAACGGCACAATCTAATTCAACATTCGAATGAAAAAATAAGATTTTTGGCATTAGACAAAGTATTTAGGCACATGCCACGCCCAATCTTGTGATAAATGACACTTTGCTCATCCTGAATTTGGTTGCTGACAGCAGTATACCATCACAATAATAACTTACCAACATGCTGTAGAACCAACAAAACTTCTTCCTCTGGTAAACCAAATCTATTTTTGGATTCCTCCAACAAATTAAATAAACTACCATGTGCACAGTATTCCATTACAATAACTTTGTTATATGTTTGATTCTGAATTTGAAAAAACAAAAACATCTAATATTCAAATCTCTGATTCTAAACGATTATCTTTAATTTTGAAACTGTTCTTTCTCTCTCATGTCCAATTGTAAGGCCATGCAATACAAAAAATACTGATATTAAAAAGATGAGTCTTTAAGACAAATGACTGGAGACATATTGTATGGCAGTGACATGGTGGGACAGTCGCCACAAGTGGATGGGGTTGGGCAGATTTTGCAATGGCATCCCTGTGGGGTTGAGTAGCTTCTGCAGAAAGCACCAATCCAAAACACAGTAGTCTGAAGGCTGCGATTAAAAAAGTTGGGGTCTGGGAAGTGGTGGACTTCCCTCCCCTGTTTGTATTCATGCATAAGCATACAAGCCGGGGTGGTGGGGGTGTGTAGGGGTAAAAATGATAAGCCCTCCCCCCGTCCAAAAGTAAATTTGGTCCAAACCCCTATGTGTACATGTCAAGTAAATAAATAATATACAGCTTACTTCATCTTCAATAGCGAGTAGTTGAACAATATTCTTATGATTTAATTTTTTCATCACTTCGAATTCTCTTGTCTGTATGGAGATTGGACGATTAAAGCTGGCAGGACTAAATACTTTTACCGCAACCTTGTGAAAGGTCCTCTGTTAAAATATGAAAAATAAAACCATCTCACTGTACCATACTTACTCATGTATTACCACTATTATATTTTTTTCATACTCAGATGTGCTTATTTAGGCTACTAATAACAAGTCTTTGCATTAGTATATACTTTACCGTTTTATAAGTTAGCCCTGTTCTTCTATTCAACTGACAAAACTGACAGTCTATTTGCCTATTTACTAATAACAAGTCTTTGCATGAATATAATACATAGTTTTTACTTTTCCGTTTTATAAGTTAGCCCTGTTCCTCTATTAAACTGACAAAACTAACAATCTATGTGCTTGATTACTAATAACAAGTCTTTGCATGAATATAGTAGGCTATATATTTTTTACTTTTCTGTTTTATAAGTTAGCTCTGTTCCTCTATTAAAATGACAAAACTGACAGTCTATGTATAAAAGTTCACCAGGCCCACAACAGCACTACGTATCCTCAAATCAAACATATAGATAACCAGCGGCTGCCAGGCAGGATACGCCCACATTTTCGAGAGATGGATAGAGAACAAGCTAAAAAGAAAGTGATTTTCCCTACAATCAAGGGCCATAATTCAGGAAAGTACAATTCGATATGCGCAAATATCGACAAGAATCAAGATCTTTGTGTTATAAACTTACATTTCAAGTTTCAACAAAATTGGATAAAAATTGTGACCTCCATAGGATCCACAACCTTGATATATGATATTTTTACGCTATTTGTGAACGAAGGGCGGCCATTTTGTCTGTCAGATTTGGGCCGATTTTTACGAAGTCAGCTGTCCTTATGGTGTAACTGTGATATAATAATACGTTTTTTTAAATCGGATAAAAACGCGATTTTTCGTACAATCAGGGACCATAATTCAGGAAGTTCCATTCCAATCTGCGCGAATATCAAAATGAACCGAGTGTAACGGTTATAATATATAATAATACGTTTTTTTAAATCAGATAAAAATTATGACCTCTATAGGGTCCTCTAGCTAAAAACTTGAGTTTCCGTACAATCAGGGGCCATAATTCAGGAAGTAATGGTCCGATATGCGCTAATATCGAAAGGAACCGAGATCTTTGGGTTATAAACTTACATTTCAAGTTTCAACAAAATCGGATAACCAGCGGCTGCCAGGCAGAATACGCCCACATTTTCGAGAGATGGATAGAGAACAAGCTAAAAAGAAAGTGATTTTTCCTACAATCAAGGGCCATAATTCAGGAAATTACAATTCGATATGTGCAAATATCGAAAGGAACCGAAATCATTGGGTTATAAACTTACATTTCAAGTTTCAACAAAATCAGATAAAAATTGTGACCTCTATAGGTCTACAACCTTGATATACCATGTTTTTACACTATTTGAGAACGAAGGGCGGCCATTTTGTCTTTCAATTTTGGGCTGAATTTCACGAAATTCGAACTCAGCCGTCCTTAGGGTGTAAAATATGATATAATTATATGTTTGTTTAAATCGGATAAAAATTATGACCTCTATAGGGTCCACAAGCTAAAAACGTGATTTTTCGTACAATCAGGGGGCATAATTCAGGAAGTTATGGTCCGATATGCGCGAATGTCGAAAGGAACTGAGATCTTTGTGTTATAAACTTACATTTCAAGTTTCAACAAAATCGGATAAAAATTGTGACCTCTATAGGGTCCACAACCTTGATATACCATATTTTTACGCTATTTGAGAACGAAGGGCGGCCATTTTGTCGTCCTTGGGGGGTAACGGTGATATAATAATACGGTTTTTTAAATCGGATAAAAATTATGACCTCTATAGGGTCCACAAGCTAAAAACGCGATTTTTCGTACAAACAGGGGCCATAATTCAGGAAGTTACGGTTCGATATGCGCGAATATCGAGAGGAACCGAGATCTTTGGGTTATAAACTTACATTTCAAGTTTCTACAAAATCGGATAAAAATTGTGACCTCTATAGGGTCCACAACCTTGATATACCATATTTTTACACTATTTGAGAACGAACGGTGGCCATTTTGTCTGTCAATTTTGGGCCGATTTTCACGAAATTCAAACTCAGTCGTCCTTATGGTGTAACGGTGATATAATTATACGTTTTTTTAAATCGGATAAAAATTATGACCTCTATAGGGTCCACAAGCTAAAAACACGATTTTTCGTACAATCAGGGGCCATAACTCAGAAGTTACGGTCCGATATGCGCAAATATCGAAAGGAACCGAGATCTTTGGGTTATAAACTTACATTTCAAGTTTCAACAAAATCGGATAAAAATTGTGACCTCTATAGGGTCCACAACCTTGATATACCATATTTTTACGCTATTTGAGAACGAACGGCGGCCATTTTGTCTGTCAATTTTGGGCTGATTTTCACGAAATTCGAACTCAGTCGTCCTTATGGTGTAACGGTGATATAATAATACGTTTTTTTTAAATCGGATAAAAATTTTGACTTCTATAGGGTCCACAAGCTAAAAACGAGATTTTTCGTACAATCCGGGGCAATAATTTAGGAAAGTACAATTCGATATGCGCGAATATCGAAAGGAACCGAGATCTTTGGGTTATAAACTTACATTTCAAGTTTCAACAAAATCGGATAAAAATTGTGACCTCTGTAGGGTCCACAACCTTGATATACCATATTTTTACGCTTTTTGAGAACGAACGGCGGCCATTTTGTCTGTCAATTAGGGTGTAACGGTGATATAATAATATGGTTTTTGAAATCGGATAAAAATTATGACCTCTATAGGGTCCACAAGCTAAAAACGCGATTTTTCGTACAATCAGGGGCCATAATTCAGGAAGTTACGGTCCGATATGCGCGAATATCGAAAGGAACCGAGATCTTTGGGTTATAAACTTACATTTCAAGTTTCAACAAAATCGGATAAAAATTGTGACCTCTGTAGGGTCCACAACCTTGATATACCATATTTTTACGCAATTTGAGAACGAACGGTGGCCATTTTGTCTGTCAATTTTGGGCCAATTTTTACGAAATTCGAACTCAACCATCCTTAGGGTGTAACGGTGATATAATAATACGTTTTTTTAAATCGGATAAAAATTATGACCTCTATAGGGTCCACAAGCTAAAAACGCGATTTTTCGTACAATCAGGGGCCATAATTGAGGAAGTGACGGTGCGATATGCGCGAATATCGAAAGGAACTGAGATCTTTGGGTTATAAACTTACATTTCAAGTTTCAACAAAATCGGATAAAAATTGTGACCTCTATAGGGTCCACAAGCTAAAAACGTGATTTTTCGTATAAACAGGGGCCATAATCCATGAAGTTTCGATCGGATACACGCCAATATGGAAAGCAGCCGAGATCTTTTGGGGATAAACCTATATTTCAAGTTTCGTCAAAATCGGACAAGAATTGTGACCTGTAGAGAGTCCACAAACAAATTGTGGACGGACCGACGTCCGGACGGACAGGGGCGACGACAATATACGTCCACATGAAAATGTGGGCGTATAATAAACACAATTAAGTTTTTGAAATGAAATGAGGTTTAACATTCTACTTTTCCATACCAATTAGGCTAATGAAAATAGGCATCATAAACCATGCAGTGTGCTATGAGGAAGATTTTGTTTGAGTGGAAAGCGATGCTACGACCTACTACTCTTTATTCCGAAAACCAGCTGTCAAGGGCTCTTTTACGTGCATGCCAATTTGAGATTTAGAGCTACAAAACTGAACGTGTTCACCAGAGAAAACAAACAGAAGTCAGATCAAAGTCGCTGATCACAATTGCACTTTTCAGAATATCTAACTTTTTATCACAGCTTAATCCCCTGGCCCCGGTTTCACAAATCATTCTCAGGCTGAAGTTAAGAATTTATTCAAAATTGTTCGCCTTATTTTAAGTAAAATATAGCCCTTTATAAAACTTTTGTTGTTTGAATGTATCAAATACATGAATAAGAAACAATGTGCAAAGATTTGTGTTTCTGGATCAAAGATATTTCTTATAAACAGTGATTGAAAGTTGAGTAAATTCTTAAGTCTGAGAATGCTTTGTGAAACCGGGGCCTGCACATTTAACATTTAAGTTAGGAAAAAAATCAAAGGTGGGTAATAATCTCCTAGCTTTGAACCATCAAAATATTTCATCGAACACTTTTAGGTGGCAGTGGCTTGTTTACATCATCTGCAGTATTGGAAATACTCAACTCAAACATTTTTGGACTGATATTCTTTTTACAGATTCAACTTTCACAGTATTTTAGTTTGTAAGCAATTGACAACCTGTGACAATCAACAGCTTTAAGATTTAAATTCAATTCAGATAATCTGAAATCACTGTTAGGCTGTTAGCTATATGTAAGGCCTATCTCAAAACCCAATCCGGCATACGTCAGGGCTCTATAAAAGTTGAGTGTGCCTGCGCACACACTTGAAAATGTGCCTGCAGGGTCATACTGAAACACAGGGATGTGGCCATGATTTGGTGAGTGGTGTTAAAATATATTAGGCGAGCGGAGCGAGGCAAAAAAAATTTTGGGAGGGGGGCGTGGTCTTTTATGAAAATTTAAACCCTTCTTGGTGTATTTTCAGAGCATCTGCTGCCTTTTGTATTTGGTTCAGTGCAAATCAAATTTCCATTTATATATTCAAATTTTACAATTTACTTAATTTTCATCAATGATACAGGGATCTAAAAACTTTTTGACACCACCCGACCGAGCATAAAATTGTCCTGCCCCACTCTGTTTCTCTGGATAGATAAGTTGAGGACCTTTCGATATTTGTTGTTTTGTTGGGTTTTTTTTCAAATATTACTTTATTACTTTGAGATTAAAAATTAAAACGATTCTTAAAACGGTGTTTGTGTTTTATTTGAGTACAACGAATTATGACAACAGGTAGATATTGATAATTAAAACATGTTGCATTATTTGACTTGTTGGTAAAGTTGTTGTACGTGTCTCACGAATATTATTATTATTATGGTGGAATGAGAATCAGGTCAGGCAGAAACTGAGAAAGCTCTCATCGTCCTCCTAGTCCTACTCTCGGGTCGTAGCAAATCCACGGTCAACACAGGTAAGAAATAAAATAAGATCATCGTGAAAATATGCAGGCACATGTTGGACAATTACGACATTCAAACCTTTAACATTGGAGTGCCGTAAATTGGTCTGGGTGACCTATTTACGGTAAATAAACAAATATAAAGACCGTAGAATAATTGTAAAATGAATAGACCTAGGCCTACACATCTTCTAAGTATAAATAAACAAAATACCAATACATCTTTCTTTAAACTAATTTGGGATGATAGGGTCTACTACGGCACACAAAAATAAATTATGCCGTGACAGACATGGTTTGCGTACGTCGGCTTTTACCATGGCTTTGCCGTTTAATTGCCGTGGTAAATTTCGAGCGCCGGGTTTGTGTACAGAGAAGGACGAAGGGGTTTAAATACGACTGGGCCTTTTTCGATTTTTTCTTTGTGCTGGGCGGCAAAAAATAGTGCCGGGCACAGGCGCCGCCCGGCGTGGCTACATCTTTAAAAATGTGCCTGCAAAAAAAATTTTTCAAGCAAATGTGCCTGCGCATGCCGTGCGCATGTGCGCGGAAATATCGATGCCTGCGTACGTGTTTTAACTTGCACACCACCTGCAAGAAACCGGGTTAAAATTTTGTATGTGCAGGACCAAAAGTCTCTATGGATAGTCTGCAATCTTCTAAGGTGAGGAAAACATGCAAGTGCCGTGTAAATCTTAGACATAATGGGTTTACTAAAATTTCCCCCGTGGACTGCTTGTAAAAGCACGTACAGATGATTGTCATCCATTCTTAACCCGAGACAGGACACATTATTAGTCAGTCTTCTACTCTAATTTCTTTTTTTGCTAGATTCTTTCAACCCATAATCCATGAATTATCTATTAAAAGTAAAATTTACCTTGCTGCGTCCCATATAGACGACACTGGTGGCTCCATGTCCCAATACATTCTGTAAATCCCATACAAAGTTCATGGAACCCTTCATCGTCACACCTGCCATTTTCTTTCTTGAGCTATTAGATAATTTTTAAAAATCTTGTCAAAGAAACATACATGTATGCCCAGAAGCTGCCTTGTAGTAATAACTGTTACTTGTGATGTTTTTAAAACATTGAACAGGAAGTTTGTCCTGTAACATATTAGCTTTCGAATCTAAACAGAAAGACACCAAAGTTCACAATCACACAATAGGACACAATAAACGGTCCCTGCGAATCTAAAAATGGTGGACTGACACACAACTGATGCAGGTGACAATATCAAAATGTGGGAATAAAATAAAATAAATTTTTTGGGGTTCCGATGAGTGATCTATTTAACCTCCAAACTTTTGATATCTTTAAGTACTGGTTCAGTATTTTAAATCAGTGTTTTAAGTAATTTTGTATGTTTCTATAATAAAAAGATGACACTTTGCAGATTTTTCTAGAATACAGACCTCCTTAAACATATCGAGGCAATTTTATATTGTTTTATTTTGGATAAATCTACTGAAAAAAAAGATTTAAAGGGTATATAAGGATCTAACTCAATTAGTCCAGAGTCTTCGACATTACAAACACAAATCATTGGTCCATTCCATTTAATAGTGGTGTTATTATTCATCTTTCCATGAAAACATGGGCTCATGACATTCAATAATATCTAAGACACAATGTGAACAGTTATAAAATCTGTACACGCCGGCTTCTACTTGATGCTTTAGAGCACTATATATTTGGATTAAGGCACCTTGATGAACAAGGCTAAAGTCAGTGCATAAATTAATGTCAAACCGTACTTTTAATGTAGACTGGATGAACTGGGCGCGAGCTACTGTACATTCAATTTGGACTATTAGTATATTTTGACAAACAACACTGATTAGAAATTACAATAAAAATTAAATGTAAATCAGTTTATACACTCATATCAAAATAATATGTGACTTTTATTTGGCCCATTTTTGGTTCCAAAAAATAAAGAATTTGTTCCTATAGTATAAAATAATAATGTTGAAATAGCAGTATGGGATCAAGTACTAAGTAGTTCCTAAATAAAGGAACTAGGGATTAAGTATTATTACATATATGTATATATATAGATCTACTACTCCCGCCAATTCCCCTACCCCAACCCCCTTGAGTTTAATTTCAATACTGAAATTTTTTTTAAAGATTACCTTTGAAGCAGTTTTCCGTCACAGATCAAATATAATTCAATAAATCAAAAATTAATTTCTACTTTCACTTTGCTCGTGACAATTAGAATTACACATATCGTGATTATGAATTATGATTTCACAAATTCTCTGGTTATTTCAACATCGCAATATATTCGAGTTTTCTTAAAACCACACATATACCTACTGTAAGATATATCTATGGTGGAAAATTCATTATGGACATGTTAAGTTTGTTTTTTGGCGTATAAACAAACCATATTGATCTGCAATCTTTTTAGCTTCCGTTTCCTGCGATGGGCGTTTCCGAAACAATATTAATTCAAGGGAGCAAACTCCATTTAAGGGACAAAGAAAACACAAAACTTCAATAAACTGCACTGGAAATTTCAAATTTTACATTTTCACAGCTAAATTGAAAACAGAAATAAATGGATAATTTTTCATTCAACAGATCTATTGCATGTCCGTCCTTACAATTTTTGTAAATTTAGCGCAGCCTTTGGATTTAGGAAAAGGAACTAATCAATTTGAGGTACAAATCTCGTGCATATTCTAATTCTGGTTCGGCATATTCAATTTCTTTCAACTGATTTCAATAACATAGGAAAAGGTACGAATCAATTATGAAACAGCCAGGTTACGAAACAGCCTGCACCCAATTTTGTGGTTTGCTTCTCTGGTGCTATGGAAGTTGCACAGGAATTGGGAATGGGACTGACATTTTGTTACCTGTGTTGGCAGAATCTTTATGTATGCCTCCACGATGATCTTTATGGTCATAGACCTATATATTATTATAGACAACACAAGAAAATTATACCTGTTTTTACATTATGATAAACACATTCCTCTGTTCATAGTCACATATTTTATTTACCAGTAATAAATTAAAACAATTTACAGCAAGTATATGACGACTTGGTTCAAAAATAATATTCATGCAGTACAACTAAAAACATTTTTACAGTAGTGCTTTTCTTTGGCAGGAAATAAACATCAACATATGCATATCATCAACTCTTTTAAAGTTACTTACAATCTTTTGATTTGAGATCTGCTTGGAAGAAAACCCCTATATAATAATAATTTACAATAATACATAAATTAGAAGTTCCGTATTGCTTATTCTCTAATAATGCCCACTGTTTATCTCTGATATGGTTATTTTTGTTGCCAACTAATTTAAGAATTTCATTTCTTAACTCCATGCAAAGACAGTTCTTGTCTTAACTCCATGCGGAGACTGGATGTGGTTGGCTTTTATAAATAAATAACAGTATTGCCACCTCAGGGTTCCCGCGGCTTCGTCAAACATTTTTTCAAGGATATTCAAGGATAAATATACGTCAAATTCAAGGATTTTCAAGGACATTTTTTAGCCTAAAGTTACAATTTTTCATCTTAAAAATAACCAAAACATTACCAACTATCGTTATAATCTCATATTTAAAAGGAATTGAAGACATTTGAAACAAAATTAAGGATCTCAACTGAAATTCAAGGATATTTTCCTATTTCCGCGAAATTCAAGGATATTCAAGACCTTGAAAATGAAATTTTAAATTTAAGGATATTCAAGGATTTTCAAGGACCGCGGGAACCCTGCACCTTAAAGATCTAATAAGGAACTATTAAGTAAACTTTCCTGGAAAATGCTGGCCAACAGGCAGTAGTGACTACACGATTAAGAATCTGCTACAGATTCATGTTTCAAACCATTTTTAGGATTCAGATTTATGAATGGTCGCCACTGTAAATGCAAAGAATTTACACCACCAGGCGAATTTGCATATTCCGGAATCTGGGTTCAGATTTTAAAATCCTCAAAAAGTGAGATTCGAATGAATTCGAAATCTTTAATAAATTAGATTTAGTGTTGCAGCATTTAAACACATGAAATATCAAATTAACCATTAGAGAAATACTATAAAATATTATGAATGAAATGAAAAAAAGATCTACATGTATGATTTTAATTATGTAAATTTATTTTTGATATAAATGGTTTCTGGTTGAATAATTCCCCCTGTCAGCTCCTCCTCTACACCATCTAACAGCCAATCATGATTAGTTATTTCTAATGCTTCCCATTCGGCTTTAAATGCTTTCATTGGATCTGGGGGAGCCATCATGGCTGAACCAGACATTTGTTCCTGCATCATTCGTGTTTGATCAGCAGCTGAAAATATAATTAATATAAGAATTAAAGGGGAACCGCCAGATATTAAAGGTATTTTAACAATGTACTTGGCCATAATAGATTTAATTTTTCATCCTTATTTCATTAAAAGTGCATTCCCCCAGCAATTTGACCCAAGCTGATCATCAGTCAATATTCACTAGGTCAGTACAATCACTGAAGGGGCATGACATTGGTGCAAGTTAGCTCACAATATCAACTCTTTTCCTTCTGAAGAGCAAATCAAATTCTAGAACATTTTTTTTAAGTATTAGAAAAAAATAATAAAGATGTATGAAGTATCTTTGGATAAAAAATATTTCCTATTTAGTGTACGTAAATGGGTATATAAAATGAATAAAAGGCACCAGTCTGCTCGGACCAGTTTACATTACTACATCTTATGTAAACAATGTATGCACTATAGAGCCAATGATTGATAGCGGGCGATCTGAGGTCACATGTAGAAGACATTTGAACTTATAAAATAGTTAGATAGAACTAGGTAATTCTCGGTCAATGACTTACCTACTGATTAATTATCACAGAAAGACTGTTTCTTTGCTGCCTTATTATCTATACATAAACAAAGACCTAGAAGGGTCAGAGAATTTTGTCTTTTGAGAACACATGATATGAATTATTATTGGGGAAACAACAAATTTGTATTCTTACCATTATCTTGACCTAATATTAATGTATACATGCTTCTTAAACCAAATACATTTAAAAAATACCATGACGCTGAACTAACCCTGTAATAAAAAATAGAAATAGCAGCCACATGATACAATAAAAAGTTCACCATAAAAGATAGAATCTGTCTTCCAAAAAATCCAACTCTGTCTCTGTTGAAATGAAAAGAGTTACAAAACAAAAGCATTACACTGATTTTAAATAGCCAATCAGCCAATATTTGCATCACAATACCTAGACTTTTTAAAATTCCCTTTATGAAAAACGTGGCCAGAAAGCCCAAAACTTATATCTTCCTCCTGTCCCATTACACGTTTATTAATCTCACTTCCCTAAACCATGCTTTCACTTTCACGAAATTCAAAGAGGTCTAATCTCTATCTCTCCCATACTCAACAGAAGGCTTGATCTCGCTTTAACTCTGTACATCTTATCAAGCCCTTCACATAATACCCTGCATATTTCAGATCGAATTTCGATTGGCTACTGATCCAGTTGGGGAGCCTATCAGATACCTCGATCCTCTCGAATACCAAGTTTCGTGCTTTCCAGCTAAAATGTCTACCTGCGATAATCGTGTTGCAAAGTTCTGTGGAGTTCGCCATGTTTGATTTGAATGTGTTTGTGTCACAACCTCTGATTGGACGCTATCATTCATGTGTCTGCATTAAAGGGAAATAACGTAGCTATAAATTCGAAAATTGCAGACCAATCTAGACATTGTAAAATCACGATCGTTGCTTCGTGAACATGTATCTCTCCAGGCATTATTAACTATGTTAAGTGCATTCATGTTTATTAATGTGAAATCTTACCAAGAAGCGTCTAATGACTGAAGTTCTACTCCACGCTGTAACATGGGTTTAAATCGTAACGTTAATGGAAAAGGTACTTTTGCTGAAAGATAAAATATTTTTTAATGCTCAAGAGAACTATTGATCCAACAAGAAATCTTTATTGAAACATTTTCTTTACCCACAAGGTTCTTTCATCACTGGCAGGAGCCATGGTGTTTAAGTGAGTAGGTCACTGTTGTAAGAGTAAGCCGTAGTGCTGCTGTTCGAGCAAACTTTCCCTCATAGAACACTGGTCTATGCCCATCTTCATTAGCAGAACAGTAGGACATTAAAGCCCATTTCATTTCATTTTTTGATCACTGGAGGAAATCAGTTACATGTGGGAACGCTTTAGAAAACCCATGTGATATTTGTTTATTTTTTGCAATGTCTATATTCTGTCTTGTCCGCAGGCTTAGCGTGTAGATTTTTGTTTTGTGTGTAGTGCGGTCCTCCTGCATTAACTAATAAGGTTAGCAGGCTCATAAAAATCCATTTTATTTGCAAACCAAATTTGGTCACAAATGGCCAATATGTTTATGCACAATTTCTAAAATTGTCCTGAAAAAAAGATGATTGTCTGAAAGCATACTGTTACTCTATTTGATATTGATCCTGTGTTTACCCATCAGTCTATGCGAAATGATATTTTTTTTACTGGACATTTGGGCAGGTATTATTCCAACTATTACTGGACCGATTGAGATTTTACTGGTCCAAAAAAGTTCATACCAAAAATATGCATAAAATAAGTAATAATGGCCTAAAACTCGAAAAACAACAAACAGTATATATAAGGGGGAAAATACTTTACTTTATTACAAAGATTATCTATTGTATAAAGACTTTTTCGCACACTTCCTTAATTGTCAATTTGTGTTAATGATAACAATAAATAGACAGCGCAAAGAAAATATAATCCCTTAGATGACAATCGAGTCTACCAGAAGCCAATGTTATTAATACAATAAAAGGACTTTCGTTTTAGTCTGGATTAACCTAGCCTACTACTTACTAGACTAGCTCGATATACAGTACTACGTACTCGAGATAAGATTTTGTTTACATTTTAAACAAAAGTGAAATTAACACAATAAATTAAACTAGAATTCAACAGTCCGTGTACGAAGTGCCATCAGTCAGTGCCAATACGGCGATGATTTAATATTTGTATAATTGTAAGTTGAGTGTCCGTTAACCCGTCCACAAGCAAACCCGTCCACGGTTAAGGTAATACCGGTACTTGACTTGTATATTATTTAATTGATTAGAATAGATCAGTTTTACTCATTGGTTGTTTATATTGCTTTATTTACCTAATAATCAACTAGCTTGGCTCGCCATCCCGACAGCGATTAGTTCAAGCTCAAATTCTTTATTCCTTTAAGCCAAAGACTCATCAGGTATAACATATAGTACAAACAAATAAATAAATACAATATGTACAAAAACAATATAGTTCACCGATGTTTTTGTAATAAAGAACAATAGTATTGTTTGTTGATTAGCATTAAGATTTTAGACAAAATAGTAAGTTCACCAATGTTTTTGTACTAAAGTAGACCCGTATTGTTTGTTAATTGACTTTATCCCATGATTTAAAAAATTGGCAATGGTTAATATTGGGTCAAAAATAATTCCTTAAATTGCGCCGGAGCCCCTTTTAGATAAATTGAATTCGCATAAAAACAACAAAGAGTGGCTACGTGCGATTTTATTCTTTTATCTTTGATTCACGGGACATTTCTGTTATTCAAACAAATCTGCACGAGAATGACAACATACAAGTTGACAGTTACCATTGATTTGGGGTTCATGTAGAATAGGCTCTTCTATCGAGCCTAGTTATTCTTTTCTAAAATAAAATGAGTGCCTTGGATTTTTGTGTGGATTTGATAGCGGTTATACTTTACTAATATTCTCTGACATCGGAGACTTGTGTCGCGTTCATTTCATTTTTGCGGTAAGTCTGAGCTTCTTATGTCTGATTTTAACGCGCTTTCGACTCCCGTTGCAAGTTCTATTTGTCTTATTTCTATTTGTAAGACCGGTAACCTAAATACCGTTATAGTTTGCAATTTTAAAGTCTATCTTTACCGTGATTCGAGAGTAATTCTTAACTATGCACTCTAAACATGTATAGTCTTATGCATACGTGTCCTTCAAATGTACTAGACATGCAGCTTTACATGACTGGTTGGAAATGTAACCGCATATATCGTGCAGAATATGTGAACACGCGTGTTATTACTATACGACTTTACCTAACGCGTCCGTATTATTAACGAAAATATTCAACATTCATAACATCGTGGCAGAATATCGTTTTGACATCGATTGTTTATGACAAATATAACCGTTAATTTTGCATGTTAAATTACACTGAGGCCTATCGTGTCCCGCGATTATCGAGGCACACGATAGCGACTGCTACACTGTACGTACTCGAGATAAGATTTTGTTTACATTTTAAACAATAGTGAAATTAACACAATAAATTAAACGAGAATTCAACAGTCCGTGCACGAAGTGCCGTCAGTCAGTGCCAATACGGCGATGATTTAATACAACCAGCAGTCAGTAAACCGGGTCCAGAATCTTTCCGGACAACTGGACCGGTATTCATGATGAAAATACCGGACCGAGAGCTATTTTATCGGTAATGACCGACGGCTTTCGCATCGACTGTTACCCATGGCCATTCTATTTGCTAGGTGGTCACATTTTGTGTTTATTCACACTTACTTGTTAAAAATCCAGAAAATGCCCAGTTAATCCATCCACCAATAACTATCATAGGTAAAACATTTGTTACATTTCCTTTCATCATATCTGTCATCATACTAGGATCTGAAATTATACATTTGAAAATCGTATAAATTCTAATTCATTAAAGCTAGAGTCAAGTTAGTCTTACCTTTTAGACAATATGAGACCTTCATGGAATTTTCATTTCTACAACTATAAACCAATAGACATGAAGCTTTTTCCAGTCTTTGAAATTGTAAATGAAATGTGACTGTAACAAAAGTAAATTGATTGGAGTTTTACATCTTATCCACTGCTTCGAGCATTGACCTTTTTATGCCATCAACTTTACGTGCAGAGCAAACTAAAACTCATTGTCAAGTCAAAATATTGACAAACAAGGCAACATGTACATGGATTTGAGATTAACAATTTTGAAAACAGTTTATTTAATATGATATTAATTTACCTGTCATTGGATTCTTAACCTGGGCTTCTCTTTTTTCTACATTAAAAAATCCTTTTTCTTCATGATTGAAAAAACTCTTTCTTACTAAAAATGACTGTAAAATATGAAAAGAATCAAATATTTGAGTACATAAATTATGGCTACAAATTTGTATAACTTAAATATAATTGAAATGATTCTTTCAGAAAGATTTAGTGTAAAAAAAAAGTTTTTTGACAGTGTTTCACTAATGCTGAAGCCTCCCATACATGTACATAAGAATGTTTTGTATAGTCTATAAGCCATCTGTCCCTCACAATGACATGCACGATTCCACTGGAAGGTCACTTGAATAAGTCTTAAAGTGTGTTCTTAAAGTTGTCTTAAATGACTGCAGTCATGACCCAACTTCTAATATTTTGAGTTAGTTTGTTCCAGAGAAGAGTACAACTTAATTGATGTGTTTCAACAAACCAGGGTGAGGGTCAACTTACATCTTTTGGGATATATTTTCCATTTTCTCTGAGTATTCTACTTCGCATCAAAGCATGACTGCAATAAATTAAAAAGTTTAAATGAGAACTAATGTACACAATATGTAAATCAATATAGGCCTACAGGTAAATCATAATTTATCATAATAAACGATACATGTAACTATACATGGAGAGAACATTACAAGTAGCTTAGACACAAGGCATTTTTAAAGGCCACAATAAAAGCATTTTTTCTCACCATTTTCATCCAAACCCAAGAAAGCATTAACAATAAGTGCATATAAATGTACAGTTCATATAGTCATTTGAGTAAATCTTTGTTCTCTTGATTTTGATAATCAGGCTAGTTTTAATATACATGTAGCTAGGTAAGAGCTAGGTAGATTGGCCGATCTATCACCTTTTCAACAAGCTCTGACTACAGATATACCGTAAATGGTGTTCAACATTCCTATAGGCCTTAAAGGATTTGGCTTCTTTTTTAAAATGTCCTTTTTCCATTACTATTTAGTAGAAAAGGTCGAAAGGACATTCAGAATTTTGGACGATCATCTGTAGTGCTAGACTTTAGTTTACAATCTAGTAGTACTAGTTGTCTGTTTATATTTTCAGTTTATTTATTTTCACTAATCCCATCTCCCAGTCCCATGCATGTGATGTTATTAAAGTTTGATATATTTATATATATAGATTTTGGTTATTTGTTGACTGTTACATGACTGATTATAGTATATGTACACTACATCTGAAGATATAATTATTCTAGCCAACATAACACATTCAACCATAACTTAGGATCTGGACAAGTCACTTCTGTAAACATAACATGGCTTCTCTTCTCAATCTCATTTTATCAAATCAATCATCTGACAATCATTCAGAACTGATATGAAAAATACAAACCTATCTGCAACTTGTTGAAGATCTGACTTTTTATCGGATGAAAGAAGAATAGTAACATAATGACGGATTATTCCAACTAAAAATGTTATCACCACGATAGGTAAAAATACCCAAATTCTTATATTTGAATCTAATAACAAGTCTGCCATGCTCGTAAAATAAGATAAATTTTCTTCAACCGGAAGGGTTACATTCGGTCCTCTTCGTTTAGAAAAATGAAAAAAAAAACTTTCCCCGGTTTACCGATTGTTACAATAATGAAGTTATCTCCCTTGTATCATATAATATACTCTTTAAAAAGTAGAGGATATTCAGAAACAATACAAAACTGCGGAAAAGCACTGCTGTTTTTTTTATTAGAGGTAACCAGTGTATGTTAATAACAGGCCATTTGCCTACACATGAACATAAACAGTTCATATGGGCGGCTTATCTGACGGCCCCATTTCACCCGCAAAGAGATATGTCAAAAGTAAAAATGAAAGTTTTTGATTTTTGTAATTAGTACAGACATCCACCAATCCTCAGACATTCAGCAATTCGTCGTGGCATGCTCCTAATCCTTAATGGACGTTTCGGTACAATAAAAATATTATCTTCTATCTATTACTCTTCAAAAAAAAAGTAGGAGATATTGAAATGCAAATACCTATGCGGGTTGTGATATGATAAATAGTCATAGATACTTGACATGCTTTGAGAGTATGTTCACAGATGAAGAACTTATCGCCCCAACAGAACCACTGAACTGCACGTCCGACACGCAATAGCGTCATCCATACACGTGGGAGGGGTTCATTGTCAAAATATTTTTATTGTACCGAAACGTCCATTAAGGACAGCATACAATATAAACATGAAGATAAATACCGATATTAATAACGATAAATAATAATATGATAATGGCACAGCATACAATAAAAGTATAATTCATGGGTATAAATGTCATAGATATATAAATAACGAGACCACATAGTATAGATATTTACATGGAAATATGATATAAACATATAGGAATTCTGGGAAAATTATATGAATCAAGTAATAAAATATGTAATGAAATATGTTAATACATGGATATCTAGATTATAATTTTGATACAGAAAGGTAGAAACAGCTCACACTATTTTTGCTCTTAGGTTCATTGCCTGGAATACAAACCCACTAACTGATTTTGTTATATTTACTCCTACATACATAATAATATATGAATTAACAATATCCAGAGAAGTATTACCAAAAGTAAAATTTACATTTTTTCACTTGGAAAACTTATCTTTTGGTGTATTTAAAAAACACATTATTTTAGGTTTAATTTGGTTTACTTCTAATTTCCAGTTATTACAAAATTCATGCAGATGGTTAAGATATTTTTGAAGACCCAGCGGAAAAGTTGAGAATAATACAAGATCATCTGCAAATAGGAGGTTGGATGTTTTAAGATTTCCGAGACAAGGAGCCGCTGTGTCATCGATTTAAGTTTGCAAATCATTCACATAACTATTGAACAACGTTGGGCTCAAGACGCAGCCCTGTTTGACGCCGATATCTTAACTTTTTTGTTTGGAAAGATCATTGTTGATTTTAACTATGTATGAAGTATCGTTATACATTGAATTTATTATATGTTAAAGACTTTTCCATTTATGCAATGTTTCAGTAATTTAAGTAATAGCTTTAGTAAAATCTATGAAACTGATTAAAACATTTCGATTCTTACGTTTATATTTATTTAGGATCGTTTCAGAATGTATATATTGTCCTTAGTAGTACGATGACTTTTACGAAAGCCACCCTGAGCTTGATCTAACGTATTGTTTGACTCTAGATAATCCGTAATTGAATTATTAATAATTGAGAGGAAGCATTTAGAAATACAACTAACCAGGAAAAGACAATTCCCGGGGTCTTCCCTTGGACATTTTGTATGTACTGGTAATATGTAGGATATAGATTTCAGCTTGAAGGTTACTACGGAAGCGAAGATTAAATTTAAAAAAAAACCCATCATATACCGATCTATTAGAATTTCTGAAGAAGCCATTAGCATTTCGTTTAGAATATAGTCTGGGTCATTTGATTTTCCAGGTTTTAACTTTTTAAATTAATTTCTTACTTCTATAACTGAAATTTCTTGGTTTAATTCAAGGTTTACATTAATTGATATTTGAAGATCGTGGATTAATTTATCTATTTCCTGAGAGTCGGAATCGTTTATACACTGTATTTTTATTTTGGAATAATTTAGAAAAATGCTGATGCCAGTTATCAATATTTTTATTTTGGAATAATTTAGAAAAATGCTGATGCCAGTTATCAATAGGAATATCACTGTCAGTCTTTGGGCTATCATTTTAATCATGTAGCAAAGAATATACCATAGACCACACGTCAAACTTGACCATTAATTTTCTACCTTGGACCTACCCGCTGCTCAAATTCCTGAACACGCCCGTTTCCATCCCTGGTTAGGTGTTCCAGTTGCTACACTTACATTCTAATCACATCAGACATTTCACCCACATGATTCGCTCGTTAGTGATTTTTCATTGACTTAAAATGTTTGCCGAATAATAGAAAATCTATTCACGATTCTAATAAAAGGATAATATTGCTAGAATTAATCGAACTACGTTTTATCGAGTTCTCTAAGAATTAGTTTTTTATTCCAAATATTTTCCTAGAATGTAAGAATATATAGTTTAGAAAGTTTCTTTTTAACCACGGTCTAGTCTTAATTTGATGGCTAAGTGGGTAAGACGCTGGCTCTCTAGCCTGGAGGTTGCGTGTTCGATCCCTGCATTGGTCGAGAAAGTTCATCGAAATTTTATAATGTGGTTTCCCCTTCTCTGTAGAGCAGGACGAAGGGCCTGACAAGGACAACTGTCTAGTCGTTCGGATGGGACGACAAACCGAGGACCAGTGTATACATTGGCGTGCACGTAAAAGATTCCTTGGCAGTTGCCGCTGTCCGGACAAAAGTTCCCTCATTGCACACTGTATGGCTTATGCCCGTCTTCATTAACTCAGTCGGAGCAGAACAGCAGGACGTTAAATTCCATTTCATTTTTCTCTTATTTGGAATTCCAACTGTCAAGGGTTCTTTTATCCCAATGCCAGGCCGTCCACCCTGCACCACTGATAAGGGTAAATCACTATTACTTTATGGTCAGCCCCTTCTCTGTCACGTGTTAAAACAATTAGGACTCTTCGCCAAAACATGGAATTATTTCATCACCAAGTTGTATTTTTGTGGTGGAAGGATTTGTTATTGGAGAAACGTAAAAAGAAAGAGACAACGTGTAAAATTCGTAGCCTATTTTCCTACTTTGTATAATGTTTCTACTGACAGAGAAGCGGTTGTAGACCACTTAGCGGTCCCTGGATTTGATAGTCTTACAGCAGGAGACAAACCTGGAAATATAGTCCACCTAATGTTTTTTGATGGGCATATCTGCAATGTGTAGATTTAGAATACAAATGATAGCAACATGCATCCTAGGGGAAATTTAAATATTCAAGATGGCCGACACGAGGCATTTTTTTATATTATTGGGTAAAATTCGTGACCCATTCTCTGGACCTCGGTTTGAAGTTGGTTTCTATAAGACGCCCACCCGTTTAATCCCACGAACTTATGTACCCCCCCCCCCCCCAAAAAAAAAAAGGGATTGCTAATTCCGCTAGGAGTCCAAATTCAAAATGTGTTTAGATGTGTAGGCCTAATATATTGAAATATAGGTTTTCGGGGTCACTTAATTAAAATATAAACATAAAGATAGGTTCTAACTAAAATGTATTCTAAAATGACCACTATGTTCAAAATGGCGTCTACATTAATTGACGAGAAATATCGATGTAATAGAGAGAGAAAGAAATGGGTTTAACGTCACTCGACACAAACTAGGTCATTTCTGGACTAACAAATGGTTAAATTTTATTTCAATAATTCGTTAGCGCGTAGGGGTCTTTAGCAGTGGGAGTAAACCGGAGGACCCGGAGAAAGCCCACGAGGTTGGATAGGCGATCCTACTCCTGGTCACGTACAAGCGGAGAAATGGAAACCACGCCACTTGCCTCAATGACAGACCTTATGATGAAACAAGTGGTGGTTAGGGGCCGCCCACAACCTCTAAATAACAGTATAAAATATTCATTTATTATTCTGTTTCTATGAAACGTGCATATTTCACCTTTTTGTTGGTTGGGGTGATGTAGCTGATGAAATTGAATGTTATATTGGGGTTCAGGTATGCAGCACAAATCACCACTGACACTCCGATATTTCAATTTTTTTTCCAGCAAGCTTTACAAATAAGAAAAACAATAGGAAACTGTGATAACGATTCTTTATTTATATTATGACACCCTTTATTATTTGTGCCCATTGCCAAAATATCTTATTACATGGATTATGATGATTCATTATAGCTGTAAATTATGCATCGTAAAAATTACATTTGTAACCCAATTCAAATTGAACCCAGAAAAAGTCCAAGCATTGCAGTACTTAGATATTGCTTTCAAAAACAAAAAAAGAAAAAATTCTATAGTATTCGAGTATTTAGTTTATATTGAGTATTGTTTTCAATAAGCGATATTACTACATAAAAATTCCAATCTCGAGTATTCGAGGAAATAGATCATATTGTTTTTTTCAATAAGCGATATTACTACATAAAAATTCCAATCTCGAGTATTCGAGGAAATAGATCATATTGTTTTTTTCAATAAGCGATATTACTACATAAAAATTCCAATCTCGAGTATTCGAGGAAATAGATCATATTGTTTTTTTCAATAAGCGATATTACTACATAAAACACCCAATCTCAACAAATAATAACATTAATGGTTAAAACGAGGGCATGACAATAGGGGAAAAATGAGAGCATGAACTTAACCATTGATATTTCATGTAATGTAAAATTGATAATAATGATATTAATGAGAGCATGAAGTGAATAAGCTGATTGCATTAGTTTCAATATGCATGTTTGCCCAGCTTCCCGGTAGGCTATCTTAAAATTCTCTCGTATTTACCAGATAGCTCTGCCATAATTACGAGATACGAGGGCTGGCTGAAAATTCTGCTAAAGGTTCGAGGTTTACACACCTTTGCCAATTCTGTGGCAAGGCCTGGATGTCGGACAGGAAGAAATTTTATTAAGCCACCATAAAAAGTCGTTCAAAGCAGGAATTTTGGATTCAGGATGATAGTGATAAGCCCAGGTCTCATCCATGGTTACGAATCTAGCCAAAATATTACCATGATCTGCTTCAAAACGGCGCAGATTTTGACGTCAGGAATCTGACACGTTTCTGACCCGCAGTCAAGAGCCTAATTGGCACCCATCTTGCAGAAACTTTTGTGATTTCTAACCCATTGGCGATAATTGCTCAACCCTCTCATGAGAGATGTCCAGAACACTGGTAATATGACGAGTGGCCAATCGTCGATCAGCAATCACCATATCATACACCCGGTTAATGTTTTCTTGAATGGTGGCTGTTTATGGCCTTCGAGGAAGCGGGGCATCGCCAAGGCTCTCTCTGTTGCGCTTAAATTCCACAACCCACTTCTTTAATGTGCAAAATGAAGAGGCACCATGCACTAAAGTGGAAACCATGTCGGCATGTGTCTGTATTGGGGTAAGTCCATTCTGTTGCAGGTACATGGTGACTGTCATATAGCCAGTTTGTCGATTTCTGGTGATTTCAATGGATAGGCTCGCAAGATGGCCTGGTACGAAGACGATAATCACGCTATAGTCGCAGTTCTTATGATTGTACTTGTTGGTGGCAAAAGTTTGTTTCAACCCAATTGATCTGCCCTTTTCAGGCTTAGAACTGTTCAGCCAGCACTCCTAACTATGTCGTAATGAAGGGGTAATCAGAATCATTTTTTGTTCATTTGATCGATCTGTTATGGAAAAATTCCGGGAACTGCCGACTGACAATCTGGTTAAAATACAGATTTATACTTTGTTTTTGTTATACTTTCGATGGCCTATACTACACGAAGAGCCGACCAGTTGTTTTGGAAGGTCGTGTCAGAGGTCATAAGAGCGACTTTTGACCCTATGACGTCAGACATTTGATTAACCACTCAACATTGATGTTTTTAGTGGATTACCCCCAGTTCCGGTCACCTCACGCCAAACAGACCGTTTCATTTTCTAATCCCTCACATCATCCAGAACACGTCAATGATAACAACTCTTCCAGATCCTAGTCTAGTAAAGACAAGTAAAACGAAATTTTGAACTATAAAAACGAAACGAAGTTAATTGGATCTGTGTTATAAACAGATTGGCGGACTGAAGTCTTGCAAAGTGCAAGAACTTAAAACAGCATTGCTCGTATTCATTTTAATAATACCCAATGGAATCTTCATTATCGACTGGAAGCCATAATAGATTGATAATCATGATCATTGTAAATCAATACGTGTACATTATATAATTTTTGTAGCTTTGTTGAATAAGTGATATACATTCTCCCGGCGTTTTCACAAAGAAAGACATAAAAAATAATACACCAATTAGTACCTACATGTTTTCTATGAAAACAACCCAGCCATATTATATATATATATATGTATAGACCCGCAAGCTAAAACCAAGCAGCAAGATGTGACTCGTAATGATAAAATATTATTGACTAAACCTTGGTTCGCAGTGACAAACGGTAGAGAGCAATATTTATCGGACGGGGCAAGTAAAGGAATTTTAAACGACGCGAGTCACCCGTCTCACAAATACAACGTCCCAAATGAGCAAAACAGCTGAAATTAGGTTGATCTGGTTTGCGATTTCTATCCATGGGCAAGAACCACGGAAGATAAGCAGAAGTAGGTCTGTTCATTTATTTTAATTTGCTGAAACTGTCGACTAATGAAGCCCCTCTTTTAACACTGTTTAATCTGCGGATCTAAGATTGTTAATGTCAACAGATAACCGAACCACTTCACAAAACACATGAAATTAAATCGATTATTTTATTTTCCACCCACAAGGACAAGCCGTTTTACCTTTATCAACAAGAGTTAAAGTGTTATAGACTGTAACTAACATATTGTATGGCAAGTCTAAAGTTGTACAGGATGCCCCGCAGTCTATACACAGCTATAATACATATGAAGCTGACAGCAGTGACTATATAAATTGGTTAAAGGCGATGCACCACCTATTTCTATATTTAACAACAGATGGACAACGATGACTAAACACTTCCACACGGCAGACGAGATTAAAGATTGGGTTCGTTACGTCATCGTCGGAATCAGAACAAGCAATTGGCAGTTGAAAAAGGCAGAAACAAGACTAAAAGTTAATTTCGACATACAAAATAAACAACTTCGACCGATATACTAAAAGCATCGCCATCTATAACCTTGCGAGCCCATATTGAAAGATCTGGTCGATGGGTGACGTCACTAATGCAGTAATGACCTATTAGGTGGTGTAGAATTTTTCTAAAAGTTGAGCACCGGGTATCTGTCATCATTATCCATCTTTTATTAGAATACAGAAACAGTTCAGACATTGCCATCACGTGTACTTATTCAACTAGTAAAACCACTGACCGTGTATACGATCCATGGTAAAACTATTTGGAACACGTAGAAATTCGTCACTGACACTAAACATTTCATTTTAAGTCATTTGCTTCATTAAAATCCAAATGTACTTTTGAAAAGTCCATTCACAGATGTAGACAGCGTCTGCCACAAATCCGAATTGATAGCACAATTCACATCAAAAGATTGTAACATGTTCAAAACGAAAGCCACAAAGAGACTGTTAACAAAAGGAGATTCAACAATAAATGTTCATATACATTGCTCCAGTCTGACAGACTAATTGCCGTAACGATAGTAAGGTTCAGTAATAACTACCGAATCCAGTACGCCCCCGCCCCGAGTCCAGAAAGCATTTCCAGACTTAAGCTAGAATTTACTCAAAATTGTTCGCCATATTTGTCCTAAAATATAGCTCTTTATAAACCGCTTGTTGTTTTAGTGTATCAAATACATCAATAAGAAACTATGTGCAAAGTCCGGTTTCATTGAGATCTTGTAGCCCAAGGACTCGTTCTAACCTTCTTTATAAAACACATTTCATCCACCATTGTCTATAATAATATTTACGAATTAAACCTATGGCCGATTGTCATTTTTTGCAGCCCAATCCGTATGTAATGTGCTTACTGCTCTATGTTGAAAACCTAATACTCTCGGTTCTAAACCTGACCGTAATCCATTGTAGCTTATGCACCACAGGTAACCATTGCGTATATTGTGCTACCCAAAGCGTATATAAAGCGCCCAAAGCCCTCTGATGTTTATGGAATTATCTAACCAACGGGATGATGTGATGCGTTTCCAAAGTTTTTCTTTGTAATAAATACTTACGATGCCGTAAGGTAAGTATATCGGACATCTTGGCGTATCGTGTCACATGATTCCAATGGTTGCCAGTAAATAAAAGTTCTATTATTCGTACACCACGCCTTGGCAACCAAAAGTCTAAAGACATATAAGGTGTAGAGATACATATGAACCACCCCAGCACCAACTACAAAGACTAAATCGGTCGATAAAATGTCTTTATATGTTTGCCATCCCGGATAACTTTTTGGACTCGCGCCGCTGTTGGCTAAATTTGCTTCTTGATACACAAAGTTTGTAATGGCGTACATTGTCACCATCACCATTGGATAGACAACGTGAAGAATACGTATTGGAGATGACGTAATTAAGGCATTTATCGTGACGTAGAGCGCAGTTCCTCCATAAGTAACCACTGCAAATATTGACACACTTTCACCTGTAATAGAGAAGATATTTATAAATTAAGGCTACAATTCACATAAAAAGCATTATTCATTGTATCTATTTTACTCTTTGCTTAAAGGTAAATGTCATTTGATAGTCCCTGTATGCAAAAGAAAGCAGCTATGTCGCGAAAAAGGTTTTTAACGGATTATGCATTCAAGAAATGTAATCCCTAGATCAAACAATCTGGCCCAAGAGCAGTCAAGAAATCTAGCGTTTAATTTGGCTGTTGAATATATGATGGAACTCAACTGGCAACGCTATGCTTCCAAAAATGAGACACCATCGAACTATGGCGGCGCCCACAGTAGTTTCAAACACATGTCAATAATAATTGAGAATATAATGAACACTTAATAACATTATGCACAATAGAGTTGATTAGGTGATGAAAACCTTGACATGTTATTTTATCCACGATTCACCGACAGCCCTTCTTCAAGCACATGTTATAAATGTTGTCAATTGGTTCATTAGATCACTTATTGTGAAAGTCATATGGTGATTGACGTTTCCGATTCAGCACCAGCGCACCATTCAAACTCCATGCTTCCTTTATGTCTGTCTGGCCTCTGATAGTTTCATTTAGAGAGCTGTCGAACAAATTAGACTTATCTTTCGATTCCTTTCCATTTTAAGAGAAAGGGCACTCGATAAAACCAGGTCATTTCGAGACTAACACATGTTATATTTTATTTCCCCTAATTAGATGTGTGTATATTCGGAGTATCCGGATAAAACCCACCGGGTTACGCAGAGGGCCCCATCTCAAGACATCTACAAACCAAGGATGTCGATAACGAATGGGTATTATATAAACACGAATGGTCCACTGAGCTAATTATTTCCCCTAATTAGATATGTGTATATTTGGAGTATCCGGATAACACCCACCGGGTTACGCAGAGGACCCCAATCCAAGACATCTACAAACCATGGATATCGATAACCAATGGGATTAATATGAACACGAATGGTCCACTGAGCTAATTTATCTAGTTAAATAAAAGAACCTCTCGGTCTCCCATTCTTAAAGCTTGATTAAACCCACTTGCTTGATATCATGTAACAGACAAATAGAAAACATTTATATTTTCACATTAGTCATATTAGACTGGTGTTAGGTTCACTAATTACGACCGACAACTGTAAAATCACCGAATATCAATTCAAGTCATCGCACCGAGAACCTCTCATCGAATTGATCTTGTCTGCATTAAAGAGACAATCCGTTTTGTTCATTCTATACAGCAAAAGAAAGGGATGAACATTTTGTTTGATTTGAATGGAATGGAAAAGGATTAAAGCGTGGTCAACACAATCTGTCGGTAGCTTTAATTCATGACGGGTGTCATATGTGTCACTCTTTTTAAACCACCTAATACCACTTTATATTTAAGCTAACATGTATTTAAATCACTGGGCTGGTGGTGCTTAGCCTCGGTACTAACTTCTACCAAAAAGCATCGGTTTATAAAATGTATGTCAAACTTTGTGTTCCAGTTGGTTATATACAAGGCTCACAATTTGTAGAATACCCGGTACCGCGTTGGGATTCGTTTACTTTTGTATTGGGCCACTTCATATTTTCTGTAATTACCTGTGTACATGCTAGCGAGGGGCTATCCCAATCCGTCAATATTGGGATCACCATACTAATTTAGACACGAGACCTCCGTTTCACCCACATTCGAACGACAAAAGATAAAAGTAGGAAGACTTTTCGTGTCCATTACAATACATTAAACTGGAATAGAGTTGTGATTCCAACAAAGGGACATTCACTGCAAACTGTGTTAAATCATTGTCATATTTATTTCCCTTTAGACGACGGAATCCACTTGGTCTGCAGACACGTGGGTATCCCCCCCCCCCCCAAAGAGTCCCGTTCTGTCGCTCGCTCAAAATATTCATTTGCTTTACCAACTTTGACGGTATATAAATATACATTTATTCATTTCGTGGCCCCTTACTTTCTCTAAAGCTGACTAAGCTACTGGATGAAACGTCTATTTAAGGAATCAATGGAGTCATTTGGGTTGTCAGATATACTAAATTCATTTATACAACAGACTCTAGATATTTGCATGAAACAAATTACACCTTTGAAAGGTTGTACAATCGAATTGTCTGGCGTTTCATTTATATAACCCACATCAATTATTTCTCTTTCTCTACGGTCGCTGGTCATCCATAATAATCATATTAATTCTCTTCTTAGACAAAACAATACAAAATACCATGACAGACGAGCCACTTTCATTCTTTGACGGATGAGGTCACATTTATCAAATTTTTTTCAGACATGTTGTGTATCTTTTTGAAAGGCCTGTTGATTTTCAATCAGTACATGAACATTGACAGACCAGACACTTTTATTCTTCGTTGATTGACTTATTGAGGTATACTGGCTTCCACTCCGTGAAATGTTAGTCATCTGAAGATAGTGTGCTAATTTCATCGGTTCCTTTGTTTTTCATAGACTGAACCGAGAGAGCCCAAATCAGATTTTTTGGCAGAATTTTCGATAGTTATTGACATCTCATTGCCTTATTTTCCATAATGATTGACGTGACCTGTTGATTCAAGCTAGTAAAAAGAGATCAAGAGTATCGTCTAGATCTAGATGACAAATTCCACTCTTACCGTTGGATGTTTAAGTGAGATCTTATAATGTCGTAAAACAAAACGACGCAAAGTAATAATAAGATGCCTACTGATGTTTTATATTTCCAGTTAACCGTCTTGAAATACTTGTGTCCTTCTAATTTCAGAGAAAAGACCGATGGATTTTCAGTCAATATGAACCGTGGTTTATCGAACCATCCAAGCTACTATACAATTTCCCTGTCAACCCCGCAGTCGCTAGTCTTGACAGGTAAAATCCGAACTGTAAAACATCCCAATGGTATTTTTGGAACTGACACATTCTATGCGAGAGACCCTTGCAGTGACTGCTCGAATACCACTATGCATGCCTCTTTAAGAGTCTTTTCAGTGTGATGGTAATGGTAACATCGCGATGAGTATATTAAATTAATTTACAAGCCATTATTTTATTACATATAACCAGTCGTCCCACTAACCTTTGGTATTTCCTGTCCAGATAAGATCAGTCTGACCAAGAATTGCCATAATTGAGAGAAATGTTAAACAGGAATATTATGATTTGATAATAATCTTTTCTCATTTCCCTTCTTTAAATCTAACATATTAAACGCCATCTTCTTATGACAATAGACCTCATTTCATTACGAGGAACCATTTAAGATCTTAGGGAAAGGCAAGATGGCGGCATGTAGTCATTTTAGGCCAATATACTGTTTAGTAAAACTACCTTTTATTGCATATGGTCTAAACGTCTATACACACCTTGTGGTCTAAACCATGAATAAGTCCCGTGTAGCTGACATGGAAGGGTGTTGAGTTGCTCGTACGGGACCAAATATTAAGGTTCAGTGTAAAAATTGGTGGCGTACGTAAAAGACTTTATAATATATTCCTTTCCTAACTTTTCCTTTTAATAAATTGGACATGAAGAAGACAGACACTTTAACATAGCAATCCATATCTTAATTCAACAGTTGATTTATTAGTAAGTATTAATATTTAGTACGTCTCGTTGAAGTGATTATTGAAGTCAGGACACGTGAATAATTGCTAGTTATTAATCACACGACCAGTAATAAATATCGCACAGACATAGTCTACAGAGATTTGCCTTCACATTTATATATTATAAAAGACTTAAAAGTCTCGAAATTATATAGACATTAAAAGGCAATGCCCATCTAAAGATTAAGAAAATATTTAACTACCCGTAAAACTTAAATCTTGATCCGCTGATAAGTGTCGTCTAGACGTTAGGCAAAAAAATATACCACGGTCCATCGATGTAGTCGTTGGAATGCCCCCCCCCCCCACCATACCACCATCGCAATTCACTCCCATCATTTACATTTTGGTATTTATCTATACTATTAAAAAAAAGTAGGGGATATTTGATTTTGGGGGCATAATACTAAAATATGCAAATGACTACGAAAAAAGTCACTATAGAACCTAACAGAAGAAACATTTCAAGTTACATGTGACGCCCAAACGCACCAATAGCTACCGCATGGAATGCAGGTGATGCTTGGGATCATCATGGGGGTCCAACCCAAGATTTGCACGACTCTGACTTTGAATGTTACAGTCATTGTGGCATTGAATTCCAGGGTGGAAACATCAGTTTAATTGTTTTAGTGACCAGAAAACAAATTTTGATATGCGTCGGCTTACCCAAAATGAAAGGTTACGTGCCCTTGGCATGCTACAGATCGGCACAACACAGGCGGTTGTGGCGCGGACGATGAATGTTTCTCAGTCTGTCATAAGCAGGCTATGGTCCAGATACCGTGATACACAATCTGTACAGGACAGACCACGCTCAGGTCGACCAAGGGCGACAACTCAAGCCCAGGATCGATTTATCCGTACCTTGGCCTTGAGAAATCGTGTCATCACAGCAAATCAGATCAGCGCTCGTCTTCAAACAGACACTGGTGTGAGAGTGAGTGGCCAGACGATTCGGAATCGACTGCATAGGGGTCACCTTCGCGCCCGACGTCCTCGCGTGATCCCTTGTGTGAGAGATCATCACATTCAGGCAAGACGTCGTTGGTGTAGGGATCGTCAACACTGGGATAATCGACGCTGGAGCGATGTGATGTTTTCAGATGAGTCAAGGTTCACTGTTGATTTTTTGGACCGACGTAGGAGGGTGTGGCGTCGTCGAAACGAGCGCTTCCAAGACGTTAACGTCATCAGACATGATCGATTTGGGGGTGGTTCTGTTATGGTGTGGGGAGGCATCACTGTTGCTGGAAGAACGGCTTTACATGTTGTTGCAGGGCGTGTTACAGGCCAGTACTACCGGGACAACATCATGGCAGTCCATGTTGTAGCGTTCGCACGACGTCATGGCCGCCGTTTCATCTTCCAGGATGA